AAAAATTTACGTACAAGTAGGTACTGAGGCGCCTTGGACAAGATGACGTCATAGAGTAGGGCAGCAATATGCAAACGTCTCCTGTTTTCCATGTTGAGTATGTTCGCCTTGACAATATATGGAGTTATATGGCTTCGGGGGGTATACCCCAACGAAATCGGATGCAAGCATTTTATACCCTGTGTATGGCCTGCTTTGACCGCGCGAAGAGTCTAAGCCCATATACAGCATCCTCATAATTAAATTTGGTTTTCAAATCAAAGATTTTCGTCAAAAAGTATACGCAGACTTCAATATCATGGCCACGTTCACATTGGATTGGCTATTTATGGGAAATGGATAATGATGGGCGAAATATTTTGGATCTTGTGATCCCAACGCCATAAATTTTTGTTTTTGTGGGATTTAGAATAAGAGAATTCGACGAATCCGAATTAACGTCAGAAATAGCTTTTGAAGTAGAAAGAGTAATAGAGCTGTATATCATCAGGATACATATGGAAACGACAGCGTATTAAGTGTGACTCAATATCTGCTGAATAGAGAATAAATATAAAAGGTTCCAAAATAGAGAGAGAAATCGTAGTCGTACCGTATCTTCTCGTATTACAGCGCCAGTACTACACCAATTGGCTGCATCTGGTGAAAAACCATAAAATTAAATTAAATTAGGAGGTTTAATTCGTGATGAGCCTTAATGTGTATCCATAGGTTTTTTGGTTGGTTAATGGAGTTATTTACATATTTATCGAAGTAAAGTTTATATTCGATAAATAGCGCCACATTCACCTGTTTTTTGCGGTCTTTATAATGATTAATATGTGATTCTCATTTACTCTTCCTAGCCCTAATGTATGCTTCATCGCGGGTCTTCATCATACATTTTAAATTATATGTCACCCATGGATAGTGACGTTGTCTAGCAAAAACCCATTTACGAGGTGCATAAAAATCGAATAATGTGCTGAGATAAGACGTAAAAAGATAATAGATCTTACTGTCCACGTCTGCTAAATGCCGAATTGTCTCCCGAGAAGTAGCTAAAAGCGTATTATTACAACTCTCCATATTAATATCCTTTAAAGCGCGGAACGAGATCCAACTAGGTTTAAATTTTTGCTTAATTATATTAAAAGTACAAAATACAAACGCATGACTGCTTAAATCTCTTATGTGATCGAGTGCCGCTTCCGACACCGGAGCATTTTTTATTATTTTTTTATTTTATTAAGAAATAGCTGTACATCGAACCAAGGCGGTCTATAAGCAGTTTGCCCCGAATGGTAGTTCTCACCCACATCTGTTATCACACACAACTAGATTTACAGCAGGATGTGACAATAAACGAACAGACATCATTTTATTAATGTAAAAACCTACGCCTCCACCGCGAGTGCGAACCGACGGTGGGCGGAGAATATGTCGAAGCCTGTAACCCGTCACCTGAGGAGCGCGTCCCGTCTCTCCCTCCCGAAGCCACGTCTCCTTCACGGCTAGTATGTCCACCTTCCTAGTGACCCTGGATTCAAGAGTCCAACCTTTAACCTTTCTCTACTATTTACCATATTGTCTTACAAAGTAATTCACAAACAGGTCTTTCACATAAGCAATTCTTTTTTTATACACGAGACGTTCAAATAATTCTAATATTTGAGCCAATGAAATCGCGACGTGCTCAGTATTTTCGCCGTTCGCCTCGAAAACTCCCGCGATCTCCACATCATTCATGAGGCATTGCTGTTCAGACTGATTCAGACGTCTCTTCAATAGTTCTACTTCACCGTTTACTTCACAGCTATGCTGATTATTAGCCCCCAGCTGAAGCACGCTCTCTTCCAGTTTGGATATTCTAGATTCCATATTATCTTGCTTCATACTTGTGAAGGAGGCAATTGCTCTAGTGAGTTAAGATTATGTTTCTGACTTGAAGTCGATAATAATCGTGCGAAGGGATAAGATTTGATCTTTTAACTCCTCGAACGATGAAGCGACGACGTCACTTGATAATGCTAAAGAACCAATATCACCGGGCGTAGTCGCATCGTTATGAGGTATGCTGCTAGCAGCAACATAATCTCGATTACTCTTCGAGCGAGCTATCAGACACGGCTTGTAGCATTTTTTCGAACTTGGACTTACTGCTTTTGGGCAATTTTTATGCAAGTGAAAATTACAGTCTTTGTCATCGAACGCCATCTGGAGCAATCGCAAAGAACTTCGCACACATTAGATAAATTTATTTAATTGATCGGGCATGTCGTTGCAAACACTTGCATTATCTTTAATGATTTTTTGCGGATTTAACTCGAACGCCAAGATAATTTATGTCCAAACTGTTTCTCTTGCTATAAACCTTTTTCCTCTCCGATACCAACAAAACGGATCGTTATGCATCGAACGCCATCTGGAGCAATAGCAAAGAACTTCGCACACATAGTGCATTTTTTTGATGGATTGGGCATGTCACTAGAATTCGTATTCAAATTCAAAAGTGAGTCACCAGATGGCGCAATAGCGTATAATAATACACTTTTTGTTAGATTTTAACTTTGCGAAAGTTGCCCAAACACTTGCACTATCTTTAGTGATTTTTTGCGGATTTCACTCGAACGCCAAGATAATTTAAGTCCAAACTGTTTGTCTTGCTATAAACCTCTTTCCTCTCCGATACCAACAATACGGGTAGTCACATCAACCGAAGGCACTTGTTGTCAAACAGAAACAGCTGATTTCAATAAGTATCTTATCTCACACAAAACAACGAGTTACGTGTTACTAACACTCACTACAAAAATATAAGCTGTATAAAGCTACATTATGCACTTTGCTTATAGAATAACTAGCTGTGCCGGCGACTTCGTCCGCGTGGAATAGTGACTTGGGGCAGAATTTTTAATTATTAGGGCTGTTTATTAATTTATGTAAGGGCGCATTTAAGGCAGCTAATCTATGTTGTAAGTGCAATTCTGCCGCTACACTCCCACTCCCACTGCTGTTCCTATTCCCAAAAAGCCAAAGAAGAAAGTTTCATTGTTCTAGCTTCAAAAACCACGAATTTCCAAACTTTTATTCCCTTTTTCAACCCTCATCAACGTTTTTTTGGTATTTAAAGTAGTATGTAGTAGTATATAAAAAGTAGTATATGTCCTTTCTCAGGCTCTAGAATATCTGTGTACCAAATTTCATTTAAATCAGTTCAGCAGTTTCGGGTTAAAGCCGCACTGACAGATAGACAGTGTTACTTTCGCATTTATAATATTAGTATAGATTTATTTACATAAAAATGTATAAATGTTATGGATAACACGGGTTGATTTCGTTCGGCATTTCTATCACTTTGTTAAATGTAAAAAAGTCTGCGTCTGATGTCTTAAAAACTGATTCTAAAACAAAGAAACTTAGAACTGTTTTCAAAGCGTTCGCAAGGACCAAGACCACGCAAGGTCTTATAATTGCTTGGCGCCAGTGTCGGGTCGTGATAACGGCTGATATTGGAAGGATGTTCCGGCAATTATTTAACCGGAAATGCGCACGAGCTCTGCAGCGCATCGTATAGCGCCCGTCACACTCGCATACATTAAAGGAACGTCATCTTACCACTAAATCGTATGGAGCCAAAGCAGCTCCTTATCTCGCTATGCGAACCATAAAGCAACTGACAATTCACGAAAACTATCGATTTCCCGTGGCTGCAGCTTGCACTACATCTGATGCCTTTTACACCATCAGCTCGAGAGTGCCCCATTGTATACGGATGTCAGCAGCTCCCCCCGTGGTTACCGGCGTACCCAGTGCCCCCGTTGAAGCCACTACTACATAGTGAAAGTGCGAGTGATAGTGCATTTTATAACATAAATATTCTATAATCGGTACAAGTGAACAAAGTGTATTGTCTATCATTTCGCCCAGGGACTTTAAATTATCTTTAAGTGCAAAAGTAGGAAACTATAGCCTAAATTTAATTTGTATATCATGTTAATATCAATTTGAAGCTTGAACTCTTTCAGTAGTTCAAAATATTCTTTAAACAACTAGTAACACTTATCTAGTTCACGTCACTTACTATTGCAGTAGTAACATTTTTAGTCTTACTTTTTATAATCAACATTGCTAACTTTACAACGACATTCAGTCAGTTACATTTCTTAATTTGAGTTTATTTCCTATTTCCAATGTTAGCTAGCTCTTTTCCTTTTTTTCTGAGGCGGCAGGATGTACGGACAAACGCCCGTACAAAATTACTATATTTTAATAATAATATTATTTTATAGTATAGCTAGCATAATAATTCTAAATCTATGTCAGCGTCGTACTCACTTCAATGTTTATATTAGAAGCAAATTTACAAGGTTAGCTTAGTAAGCATCTTACTTTCCCACTTTATTGTGAATTATAATAAAACAATATTGATAGGAAATAAATCAGTTGCACTACAGCACTCATTGGGTTTGGTTACTTCACCTCCCTCTTAATCTTTATCACATCAAAGCTGTTAACTCTACAGCATAACGTTAGCAAATACATTCACGTATACTTTTCCGAACTGTTATACGCAACAGTCTCTGATACCCGAAACTCGGGAGTATACACTAAACTGTTATTCACTACACACGGCTTGCAGCATTTTTTCGAACTTGGACTTACTGCTTTTAGGCAATATTTATCCAAGTGAAATACACAGTCTATGCATCAAGCGCCATCTGGAGCAATCGCAAAGAACTTCGCACACATAGTGCATTTATTTGATGGATTGGGCATGTTGTTGGAATAATTGATTTCAAAACTTTATTAATTTTTACATTTTATTGCACATGAAGGCACTATAAAATTTAAAAATCGAAAATAAATTGAACAAATTTTCGACTCGGGCAGGACTTAAACCGGCATCGTCAGCGTTCCGTGCTGTTTCTCTACCAATTGAGCTACCGAGTTCTACACCTCATCGTCGAATTTTTTCAACTTATTGATACATGCACCTCTCGCGCATTGTAATTTCAACCTTAACACTCGCGTATTAGGGTTCGCATAAGGTAATACGCAATCCAATACAAAGGTTGAACAAAATGTGGAGTGGCTACGAACAACATAAAGATTGAATCATATTTTATTTGATCTAGTTTCAGGTTCTATAGTCGTTTACTATACTATATATACTCAAATCCTCCCCCCTTTTTTCGAATTCTTTTTAATCTTAGTAGTCTTGTTCAATGACAACAGCACAATGATAACATAAATATACTGACTTATCTTCCTAGTGTTTACCGTATTACCTTTGTGTAATATTCTCCATCTTTTAGCTTTGGCATTTTTTAATATTTTTCTAATTTTTGGTGCTCCAAACCACATGTATATTGCACAACTACTTGCTAAGCAAGCAAGGGTGCTTAAGCAAGTAGTTAGTGCAATATATATATATTCCTTGATGCCAAGCTCCATAGCATCAGACCCTGGTCTGTTGCATACGCTAGTTGGTGCATGCCTGTCTGGAATAGATTTACATGGACAATTGTTTCTAGTCTTTGAATATGACATGGTTTGCTTCAATGGGCAAACTGAATTAATAGTTATAAATTGAATCAATCTTACTATTTAGGTCAGTTGGTGTTGAACTTTCTGTTTGACTGTAAGAACTGAGTTCATGTTCAGAAATAAAAAAGATTGAGTATCAAGTGGTGTGAATAAGCACTCTTCAAATAGTATTATGTCCAGACTCACTTTTAACATGTACTTAAGCCGTCATTAAAAATGCATTTACCGTTACTTCAATACTTGAACTGATGGAACAATGCTATCCTTCATTTTGCTGCTAATTATTTATGATGTAGAAGAGTCATGTCACCTGTTGCACAACCCATGATGTGACCTGGCAACAGACAATTAAAACATAAATGATTTTGTATTACTAAAAACTACAGTGAGACAAAGTTTGATGACATTTATTACATATTGCACCATTTTTGTTTATTTTCACGGAAACATGAAATTATTTTGAATTTTGTGTATCTTTGGTATTAGTAGGTAAAAATAAGTAGGTTAAGGTTTAAAATTTGTACTATAAAATGTTTGCAGCCTCGCCAACTATGTGCATCTTAATTGTTTATTGTAAAGAGAAAAACTTTCCCACTCTCTCTGGCACTTTTGCAGGGGTTTGAAATGAAGCTCTCAGTATTGTGCACTGGACTTGCGAAAAGTAATCCTCGTAGTTCCCAGAATATGGTAGATAACTTCAAGGTAACCGGACGTAGTGTCACAAACCCAGGTTGTGTCTAAGTTGCGAGAGGACTCGATAATAGGTTAGTCGTCGACGGTTTCTTCAAATTGCTGATTGGTGGACAATACCGTTTTATTGTTTTGTTATTTTAGAAATACTTTTGATTCGGTTCGCACTATACCTATCTAATACCTTTTTGTAAGTCCAACTTTCTGGTATTTCTGGACTGGTATTATTTGACATATTGTGGTCGTCCGTGCCTTGTTTTATTTGTTTATGACTTAATGGTAATGTTTTCGCTCTTTGTTTGTCCACATGAAGCGAGAACATTTAAACTTGTTTTAATAGTTCATTTAAGTCATTTTCACTTGTAAACACAACGCGAACAGAAAAATTGAATTAAGTCAATGTCAGCCGTCGTCGTTAACAAAATATATAGATTATAAACAAAACAGTGACGCTTCACGATAGGTGGTTTTACCTACGAAAAAGCAGTAATAATGGACTTTAAATAAATCCTCTATCCGTTACAAGGATTCTCGTCATCTTGCCAACGTCGTCAAACGTAACGTTAAACGGAATTTAAACTCAACCAATGGGATACTTTTTCTATACTCCATTTTTTTGTCGGATAATCCCGCTGATTCCACTTATAAAGATCCAAGAAGCACGATCATCACATAGTATTCTCTGGCGCCCGACACGATGGCAATAGCAATAGCGATGGAACTATATGATGTTGAAATTTAATGTAGGTTAATTTTTTGATATAGATTGTTTAGATTCATTTGCTTGTAAGTTTGAAGGAAGTAAATTTATTCATTTATCTATGAACCAGCCAAATACGATTTTTACAAGCGACTTGGCAACACAAAAACTAGCAACGCTGATCGATGGTTAGCCATGGTAAAATAACTATAAGTACTCGTTTCGCCATACAGCATTTTAATATAACCAAACAAAACAAGATTCAAAACACAATTACAATTTTTATAGGTATTTAATTCACATTTATATAATAATTTTCTCCTCGCGCTATTGACAAGACAAATAATTGGCGAACACAACAGTGACTATGCGCTGCTAATCGTAAAAGTAGCTCCTCTTCTTTTCTTCTCAAGTGTAGACGAGTACCAGTAGAACGACAAAGAAGCCCGAAGTTAGACATATTATGAGACCTATCTTTTTCTGTGAAATACATTTTATAATTTATTTTAGGGTCTATAACTCTAAGAAAGACATAAAAGCGCCTGAATTTAATACATACTACATGAAAAAATTGCTATGGTAATAAAAGCAGTAGCAAATTTTAACGAATGTCACAAGAAAATGTACTCCATGTTTGTTGGGTACAAGCTTGGCGTACATTTTTATGGCTATCAAAGAGTCAAAATAGAAATCTATGACCTTTCTGGCTTTCCTCCGGGAGACGGTTCCTTTGAGCAGGTCTCTGCCTCCATACTCGACGCGCTCCGTCGCCTGCAGCGCGTAGTACTCCACGCTATCCACCTGGTCTTGCTGCAACAAAACCGAATCTCATTAAGATCTCTCGCCACTCTCGTTGCCTCCGCTTACGGCCCCTGCGCACCTGCGCCGCGATAAGATGCGCGAGCTGCACGAAGAGGTCCCGGACTTCCGTGAGAGTGGCTTCGACGCGCACCAGCTCATCGCGCCGAACCTCCGCATCTCGCAGGGCCCCTTGCGCCGCCGCCCTCTCCGTTTCTAGCTGAGTGAAAATATGATTACCATATACGCAGTTGTCCCACTGTGGAATATCGGGAAGCTCGCACTACTCACGTTATCCACGAAGAAGGAGACATTGTCAGAATCCAGCAACCTCTCGCACTCTTCGTCCGTTATGTCGACATTCGCTGAAATGTTTACGGGGGTACCTTTCGTTAGTTTTATCTAAGTTTTAGTTTGTAGTGACCGTAGATCGTGTCGGGGTATCGGCGTGGGATGTCAAAAACTAAGTGCATATTATCTAATAACCAATTACGATTAGGCGAGTCGATTCGGACTCAAAGGATGTAACGGATAGAAGTGGACGCTAACTGAGTTTGATTTGGTCGCGAAGCAGGCTTAGCTGGGTGTCTCGCAGCGACTGCAGCGCCGCGTAGTGGTCGCGCAGGGCGGTCGCGTAGATGCGTCGCGTGGCGGCACACTGCAGGCGGGCCACTCTTCCCTCGAGGCCGGCCGAGCTGGCCGAAGCGCGCTCTTCGAGTTGCCGCAGAGCACCGCACACTTTGAGCCCGACGGCGTTCGACGAAGTCGCCAACGCGTCCACTCGCTCTTGCAGAACTAGGGAATACCTCTGTATCAATAGGTTTAAATTGAATATTATTCGATGCGACCGCTCGGTTCGTCAGTACTGTACCCTTGTTCGTATGGTAGGTCGGATCGGAGTGAAGGCTGCGAACGAGCCGCGTGTTGAAGACGACCTCGTCGATCCAATATCGGATCCTCTGCACCTGCAAAGGTCTATATGTAAACTGCTATTAAAATTGGAATCGCGGCGGTGACATCAGTGAATGTCGACATCGTTAACGAGGTCGCAACTCGCGCCATCGCGTGGAATGCTCGCGACCATTAGAAGCCGGTTCTTACTAATGATTATTACGAGGAAAGCAGTAAAAACCTATCGACCGCAGCCAATACCTCCTCGACGATCTCCTGAATCTGTCGATGGTGACGGTCATCAATAAATGGATCCGCCTCCGAGTGCGAAAGGCACTCCTCCGTCGACGGCCCCGGCTCCGAGCTCACACCGGCGTCGCGTGCTCTCTGCGCATGAAAAAATTCATACTTATCTTATTTTTAAAACTTCCACCTTTCACTGTTTTTCTAGTAAATGCAAATTTTCGAGAATTACGCATGCCGCAAATTGGGCGAAAAGAGACAGCGCGGCATAGTTGTTGTGAAGTGAGACAGGTACATGCCGTGCGGTGTGTGTACTCATCTTGTTATCTTATTGCTTAGGTCGTATGTTTACGGCAACACTGAGGTCACACATGACAGTCAATATGTAACGATGACTGCATTCTTAGCAGCCGTGATACATAAACGATCACAATATTTCGACACTGCCCATCGATGCCGTTCCCCACACTCGGTACTCACGCGACGCAGCTCCGGCAGTCGGTCCTTGCAGGTCATGGCAAATCGCAGTGCAGTCTAAACGGGCATGTCGGAGAATGTCCGCGAGCGTCTCGCGCGGACGAGCAGCGCGCGCGGCGGTATCTAATCGCGGACTGATAGCGCCGCGATAAGGCGCGCGAATCTGCGACGCGATACACACTGCCGCCGCGGACGTCACGCATCGTGCGAACGGCCAACGGGGCATTCCGCTCACCGAACGAAGTGCCGCCTCAGCCCTCACGGGGTCGACGACCCTCTGACGCTACCGAGTGAATTGGATGACGGCATTTTACAGAATCGTTCATAAAATTTTTCATGTATACATTAATTAAGAGATTAGATTTCATGTTTATTAATTTATATATAGTATTTGCTGACTCAACTAGCCTAGAGGTCTACTTCGACGCTGACTGACTGAAATACTTTGTCAACTTAGCCGTCCAGAGTCAACGGATGTTAGATAATAGCCGATTGAGACCGCTCGCTAGTGCTAAAGTGGCACAATAAGTTTTGATCAATTTGCCGCCAACTCGAGTCATGTTTTATGACTGAAATAGAGAACAATTTCTAAATTCTCTGAACCAAGCCTGGGTTCACAATCTGAAACAATTTGTAGGATTTTAGCTGTTATAATCTCACCCAGAAAACTTTGTACTTTGTTGTCTTCTGCCCTCTCAGTTTAATTTAGTTCTATACTCATAAATCATAGTCAAACCTTTCCAACTTTCTTGTACAACTTAGTCCTCACTTTGTCTTTGCCTTGCATGTTGTGTCTGTCTATAAGTGTTTTACAAATTACATTTCTAATTATGGCTGAATAGAAGACAATCGATTGAGCTAATTTTCCCTCTCAATATGAGGTGATACTGTAACAAGTGACAACAAAAGTTCAAGTAGACAGTGTCACTAGATGGCGTTACTTTAAATACTGAAATAAAAGAGGTCGCTGTAAAGCTTCAACATTTTATGTATGAAACGATATTTGGGGCATCACATTACTTATTTTTGCTATTTGCTAACAACCTGCAATAGCTTTACAAACTATAGCTTGTTGTTGCGGGTTATTCTTAACGGAGTCTTTAATAGGTATTAATTCGTTTAGATCTCTTTTCTTATAGCTATAAATAGTTAACGATTTTATGTTAAATTGTTATTATATTATTTAACTTGAGTCTGCTTTCTTGTCTGCCTTGGGGAGCCATCATCGAATACCTAGTGCTGACAGCTGCAACAAAGCCGTCACAAAAAAAGGTCAAGATGGTGTCAAATTACAATTGGTCGTGGTTCGATTCGTCGTCGTCGACGAGTCTAATCTGTAAGTCTAGTTTGTAGTTTTCTATACATTTTTCTATTTATTTTCTCTTCTGTCATATTTGATTATTTTAATTCGTTCTGCAATACCAAGCGTGTGTCTTAGAAGGCATGTTTAGGGAAACGGGTGTTTTATTAAAAGACACGACAGAGTCTATTATGTTTTATTATAACATATTGACAGTTTCCTACACATCCACCTTACGTCGCGTGCTGCGCTAAGTGATATGGGCTGTACAGGGCGAAGGCGCCTCTCATAAATATGTATATCCGACACTATGTCCTATCTTAACAGCTAGGTGCGTCCTCGTGGACAGCTTCACAGATAACAGACGCCACTATACAATATAAAAGTTCGTCACTAAAACTTACTAATAAAAAATAACATGAACTTTAAGATTCTGTACAATATCTATAAATAATCTTTAGCTTTTAGAACTAAATCGCTTCACTCGAGTCCGTCACGCCCGATGCGTATGTACAGAGGCCGACCGTCTATGTCGGGCGTGCGCGTCAGTCGCGGGGCGCCCGCGCCAGAAGCGCAAGCGGCTGCAGCGACGCGCCGGGGAACCCTGCGTGTGCCCCGGGCATACCGTGCGCACCCGAGAGGCCGTGCTGCCCGGGGAGGTGCAAGCCGTGCGGGTGCGACAGCCCGTGCGCCAGCGCAGGCAATAGTGCGCCACTAGGGGACGACGCGCCGCCCGGTCCCTCGCCCGCCGGAGGGTTTATCCGCTTCTCCTGAGAACGAAAAACTGCGTTAGGAGGTTTGTCAGTGTAAATGCGGGGCAACTGATCGCCCGGGACTCACCTTCTGTCGTCGATTGCAGAACCATACGCGAACGACCTCCTTCTCCATGCACAGAGAATCGGCGAGGGCGGCAATCTCTTCGCTGGTGGGTTTCGGGTTGTGCAGGAAGGCCTTTTCGAGGGCGACGCGCACGCCAGACTCTATGGACGTGCGCTTCTTGCGGCGCCGACCTACCGCCTCGGCCAGCCCCGCGCCGAGCGCGGCGCCCCCACCGCCCGGGAGCGACGAGTCTGCGTCTTCGAGCCACTTCTGGAGCAGCGGTTTCAGCTTGCACATATTCTTGAAACTTAAGTTTAACGCCTCAAACCGCGAGATAGTCGTCTGTGAAAAGTCGTTGCCGTACAGCTTGCCCATGGCGAGACCGACGTCGCCCTGCGTGAAACCTGTGGATGCAGATTTATTGTTTCATTGGGAACCGACAAAAAGTCCGTGCATCATCGGGTTTTATACACACCCAATTTGATCCGTCGCTGTTTGAAGGTTTTCGCAAAGTGTTCTAGTTCCTCTAGGTCGGCAGTGTCGTCCGCCGGGTCGAGAGCGCGAGGCTTGTGCGCGTGCGCATGTAGCGGCGAATGTGCGTGCGAGTGGGGAGACCGCGCCCGCCCCGGGCCAGGAGTGTGCGGCGTGAGGAAAGCGCCCGCCCCGGGCGGAGGCGAGCGGGACAGCGGCGAAGGAGAGCGAGTGTGGGGCGCGGGAGGGCAGTGCGGAGGACCGGCCGCCGCGCGCGCCTGCAGCTGCTGGAGCTGTTGCGCCGCCGCCTGCGCCACCGCCTGCTGTACCTGTCGAACGAACGACTCGGTCAATCATCAGCAATGCACGACCGTCGACCACCCGCTCTTCGCAACTAAGTACCTGCGTATGCAATAACAAGGAATGTGCCCCGTGCTGCGTGAGCAACAAATGTTGCAGCTGTGCCAACGCGTTGCCAGCTCCCGCCGCGCTCTGCAACGTAATACAAAATTTATCGTTAAAATAGTTGAACTATAAAACATTATTTATAGCAACGAAAAATACAATCACTCACAAGAACGGCTGCGGTGGCTGCAGGATCGGGGGCGCGGTGCGGTGTGCGGGGGCGGGGATGGGATCTACCGCGGGGAGGCTGTGGGGCAGAGGGAGGGCGCTCGTCTCCGCTCTGTTCGCCTTCACCGCTCGCTGAACCATCTGAAAACGAGGTCGTGACGAATTAGAATGCAGTTTTATGATATTCATGGAAATGTCACAACATATAATTCAATTATAATTGTATACCAAACCTTGTTAAGTGGGAAATTTTTATTATACCTATTCGAACATTTTTAACCCCAAATGAAAAATAGAAATTAAATATTAATTAATTCGTAGTTTTAAATTTATTGTTATCACTTTCTTGTTCTTGTTCCTGAGATATTTCTTTTACTGTGTTATAGATTTGTTGTATTCCCGTCAAGTTGTTTAAGGTTTTAAGACATCTATTTTTTTGCATCTGACTGTTTGTTTCGTTTCCAAAAAAAATAAAAGAAGCGTTATTGAGGTTAAACTTATATCGTTTCCAACTACGTTTCTATTTCCTGACTTTTTAGTCTTTTCGGGCAGCATGGACGAGTTGGGCTAGCCTGGTGGTGCTGCTAACGTGAAGCCCCTTCTCCGTCAGACGCGAAGGCTTTTCTGCGCTGGGCGTTGTTTTCCTTAAATTAGTCTAATTTGTGGTAGGAACTTTATTTGAAATTGAAATTTGGTAACAAATAGTTTCCCCGATTTCTTCAACATAAATATGTACCTTATACTTATGTACTTAATAATAGATTATAACATCAAGGGGATTTGATTTTGATAAGACGCCTGGCAGTAATATGACTTCCTCTTTAGGTTAATAAATTCACAATGTATTAGTTTATAAGACATGTTAAAAAAGCCGGACTGAGTTTCTTGGGTGTTCTTCTCAGTTGTGTTGCTTTTTTTAACACTTTGTAGAATCACGACAAACAGGCAGACAACAAAAAAAATTGTTTTTAAAATTTTAAAGAGAATAAAAGTATATTTTATTTTATTTTTTTTATTTATAAAACGAACAAATTTTAATGATTTATACAGACGTAGAGGATACGCGATTACACACCGGGCCGATAAATGTTAACGTTGCCCCAATATGCCAAAAACCGTCACCTTTAGAATTTTTAACATTACAAAGCTAAAAAAAAATGAGCAACTAATTTATCAATGTATAAATTATCTATACTACTATATTAGATATATACAGTTGAAGAGTTTGTTTGTTTTAACGCGGTAATCTCAGGAACTTCTGGTTCAAATAAAAAAAAACATTTATCGAGGAAGGCCTATAAAACATCTCACCGTGACTGATAGGAGCGAAGAAACAGCAAGAAATGTCGAAAAAACGGGGGAAATTATTTTGTAAGTTTCAGATGCGCCCGCTACGAAAACGGTTTAATTTACCCAAACAATTTATTATTAATTCCTCTTTAAGGTTAACTTCACGAACGACGGGTCATGGGTAAGAGCTTAAATTTATGATGAAGAGGAGGAAAGGAGGTTGGCAAAATCAAATTGGGACGACCAAAATAACAATCCTGTGCGGACGAAGTCGCTGACACATCTGGATGAAGGAGAATTTCTGAAACACATCTGGATGTTAAAAAGAAAATTCAAATTTCGTCCTGTTCACGAAACCACGGTAAAATTTAGTTCGGTTTGCAGATTTCCGAATATCCAAAGTGTTATTAATAAAATGTGGCGAAATGGTTCATATGTTAAAACAATCGCCATGTGGAGGAACGTCCACTTCCGACGGATTGCGTAACAGGGCAAAGGAGAAATACTCGTACCTTACATCCCGTGACTCTATCATTCCCACTTGCCCCTTCCGTGCACTCACAGCAACATCGAAAACATGATAATATATGTATGTTGAAATGCGCCAAAGTATCGTTTTACATAGAGGTTGTAGTGCTGAGCGATAAATTGGGCTAAAGGCTTTTTGCTACTTTTTATGACAGAGAAGGACAGACAACGTTCGTTGGCGTTCACGGAGCCATGTAGCGTCCCGACAAGATGTGATGTCGTACTGTGTGTTCTGTGTACTTCTTTTGGCGTTCCTACCGCCCATTTTCGATCCCCATTTTTACATGAAGACCGATATGTTTTAGATTTTTTTCACAAACGTCTTGGAATCGGTAGAGATCGGACGCATGACCGTGGTCTATTAGAACCTCATATATTAGAAAAGATATCTTTTTAAAATCAAATAAGTAAGTTTAAGTTTAAGGGACTGCCAAATAGTAGTACAAGATTAAAGAAAGATTAAGAGTAAGGAAGATTTCGAAATATTAAATTCAATATGAGTCCACGAAGTCAGCGCCTTATTAGGAGTAATACAAAAATGTATTTCTAAATCATAGGTCTTTAATAGGGTATGACCTCACAAAATCAAACACCTAGGTCCTATTTTAAACACTAGATCCGATAAATCGATGAATGTGAGTCAGTTCTTCGAGGACCCAGTTCGTTTGTCTACATACCAATAGCGAGGAAACAGATCAGACTTTGTCATTAGAGATATCGAACCGTCGCGTCGGGTAGATGACCAAAAAATTAAAATATGTTCCAATGTTACCTAATATATTTCGGGTTTTAACCCGTTAGACTTTTTCATTTAACTGGGCCTTAAAAATCAATTTCAATAGTTTTTACGATCGAGGGGCGAATCTTTTTGATGAGCAGAAGAAGTGTCGCGTGCTCCTTCCGGCGCGCGACAAGGCGAGGGGCTCTAACCCTTGCGCTCGCGCAACCCGATCACTTTCTCCCGAAAGGCGAAGTTTTTTAGGCGGAACGTGCACGTTCTCGCGCATCTGCCCCTGGTGCACACTTGCGCTAACGCTTCGCCCCGTTTGTAGTTATCAGTAGTGCGAGGCGACTCACCGTGGCTGGGCGGCGGGGAAGGCGATTTGATGAGATCTCCGGATTCCTCTGAAACAAGTGAAAAGACGGTCAGACTCTGCTAGCCTTAATGTGATTAAGCGGCGACGAGTGCGTGTCGGGCTTCGGCCTAATCGCGGGATTACCGGGGTTTAGCCACGTAGCGAGGCGCAAGGCGCGGCCGAGCGACAGCGACGGCCTCGTCGCCGACGTTGAGCTGCGTCAGCCGATCAGCTAATTAGCGCTAACCGCGAGTCCACCCTTAATCCGATGATCCGGCCGCGTACTGCTTCTACGCTCGTAGGACACACGCGAGAGTAAATTCGATAGTGAAAGCACTCCAATATCGTTCGTAATAGAAGTTAGCGCCGATGGAAATCGACGCCCAGGTGGGGGCTAATCCGGGACGTCGTGTAGGATTAGCCGAATCCTGCGAGAGAGCGCCGAGGGCCCGACGCATCGGCAAAAACTGCACAGCGGACTAAAGAAGTATAAAATGCGAAGTATTGTGTTTCCGCGGGTATTGAAACGTCATTTTTTATCGGCTCGAGTAATTCGTTACCTACGCAAAGGGTTCGATTCGCCGGATTTGTTTAAAAAATACACGCGAAGCAGTCGTTTTGTCGTTTTTTGCCAAAATATCTTCTGAAAATACAATCGCAGCTTTGTCGTTTTTGCCCTACAGCTATGAGGAACCACATTCAACTTATTTATAGCTTTTAAGTAAGATAGACAGGTTTATTCGACTTCAAAAAAGGAGGTTCAAAGACAGACCCAATAGAAAGACATCCCCATGATAAGGAATTCGGATTTGATAGGTATTTGAAAGCACTACAGTGAATATATAACGAGGTCCGAGGTAGATGTGGGACGGAGAAGAGACACTCGGAGGATCTCCTACAAAGCGGCTATTTTGAATACGAGCTAAAATTATTTGCATTGTTAAGGGGAGTTGTAACTTCCATTACGGGTCTGCACGATGACGAAAACTTAAACAAAAAGTAACCATTTTCAAACAACACAAAAATAAATATGTACTACTTCAATAGAAATGATTTATTACATAAATTAGCTACGGGGAATAGTTATTTTGGGCTTCAAACTATATTTCTGCAAACGACCTCCTCAGCATTATAAATTACAGCTGTATAATGCTATAATACAAGAGCTGACCCTTTCAGGTATCCTCTAAAGCTATTGTGATATGAAAAAATTTTAAAAATAAAAAATAGCGTTGACTTCGGCGAACGTGGTGGTGGTTTGTTGTTTGCAAGATTTTTATAATTATGTTGTTACAACTCTAACAAATAAAAGTTTTGACCAATTTTTATTACTAAAAAACGGTTCTTGCGAGTTAATCTTGAAGGATAGAGATAGACTTTATGGACATTTTGTTATAATTTAAGGAAGAATAATTCTTACATACTTATTTTTTTACCGTTTTCGCAGCGCGTGCAACGGAAGCATCCAAAGATGAACAATTTTCCCCGAATTCCACATCTCATACTCACTTCAATACAACATGTAATGACTGTATTCATTAGTAAATTTATTCATTTCTATCGACCTCAATGAAAATAATTATAACTTTGTGCGAAGTTTAACTATTAGCTCTTTAGATTATATGTTATTTGTTCTTCCGTTTTAATACATCGCATTGTAATTTCAAAACACAGATATGCTTTCTGTGTTAGATATGTTGAAAAGTTTGCATTTAGCCGGCTCGTCAACCACTTATTATAAAATGGCTACTATTCTAGGTCGAATCTCATTCAAATCTTCGACGACGTTTCGTATAGTAAACATATGAATTTTAAACGCTTCCAAAGTCGCGTGTTTTAGTAGACGAAGTTTGCCTTTTCTGACACAAAGACGTCTTAAAAACAAATATTGTTTATTTTCAATAACATACAACTGTTGTCCTATACTTTTGAAATAAATAGATCCCGATTATTATCGGATATTTCCGGACACCCCACGCGAGGCAGCCTTGCTTGCCCGCTTGCGACTACGATTACTTTAGTTAAGAAAGCGCAGTTGGAAAAGTTGCTTACGAAATCTTGAAAAACAGTGAATGTATTTAAGAGATTCACTATTTAACAATCAAACGATGAAAACAAATATTTACTCGAACTTATTTTGAAAAAAATTGATGTTATCTGAATTTTTTTAAAGAATTTTTAAAGAACACAATTTGTGAAGGTATATAATTATGTAAGTTTGAAATTTTTTTATTTAGTAGTTATAGTAGGTAGTAGTAAGCGCGAACGAGTCTTTTTATGATAATTTTGAAGTTGGGTCGTAACATTAGTTATGTTAACGGAGGTTTCAAAATGTTCTTGTGGCATTTTGTTGAAGCGGTACGTCAGTGTTATAAATTTGCAAACGAGTGAATTAGTATAGCGGGGAATACTCACGGTAGGCGCAGAAGGGCCGCGACGAGGCGCGCACGCACGCCGTAAGCACCATATCCGTACGTGTGTAGCGGGCTCGGAACGATTCGGGCGCGGAGCGTTTCGTTCGCGACGAAGGACTGCGAGCGACTGGCGTCCGGCGCCCGGATAGCTCCCGCGTACGAATTTTAGATTCGGCTTTTTTCTACGAATCCGTTTCTTTTCCGCCCCTTTTAGTGAATTTTTTTCGCGGACCTCGCCGTCATTGCGATTACCTGAGATGCTTTTTTATAGCTTTCGCCCGGAGATGCACGTTTAAAAGCTGTTTAATTTTTTCGAAAGGGGAACGGCGGGTTCTGCTAACCGATGCGCGAATTCCGATATAGGCTTCGACGATGAGATCCCATGAATCTAAAACGGACACGAAAGTTCGATCGGAGCGCGGTCGAGTGGCTACTGAAAGTCTAAACGGCACTTTGCGATGGAGATGCGCCGCGGACGAAGCGTGTTTGTTTAGGCCGGCGGCCGCACATATATTGCTACTTTGCATAGGAAATGCGCTCTCTTTGTGGCGCTCACTCCATTTACATTCATATTATCGGGAAATGTTACATCAAACGTTTTCTTTTGGCTGGCGAAAACAGTTACTTTACTCGGTGGAGCTCACGAGCGTGAAGAGCCCTTAGGAGACTCGAAGCAAATCGGTTGCATACAACTGCATAGATTTATTGCACCTTTGCCAATATGAGCCGTACAAGTACAGGGTTCACTCGATAGAAGGAAATATCTTATTCATATAGCATCTTACATGTGGCTATGCTTAGGTTGGCTCGAGACAAGAGACAAGTCGAATCGCGACTCTGGTCTGACCACAACGAGCTAATGTTCGTTTTCAAGCAAATCAGCATGTTTCAGAAAAATTATACGAGTAAATTGATCACGCACATCTTGCACCGGGTAGGGGTTACTATCGATACATTGCTACCTTTAGAAGAACGAGCCAGTCGCCATTTTCAAAGAGCCAAAAACAATTTTTTTAACCAGATAAGATTCATACAATGCTGTTAATATTCTTTGTTGTTTACACCAAAAGGTAAGTAATGTCGGAGACGAAATTGTGTAAAGCAAGCGTAAAGTACATTTCCGACGATCTTTAAAACGAAGAATTCTATTACATTCAAATTGCCTGATAAATAGCTGCAATAAATAGCCAAGTGAGTGAAGTTGGGGTCGATCGGAGGCGATATTAATGTGCTCCCTGGAGTCTGCAAGGCCGGTCCACTGACACACTGTGTGTTATTCGCGTTCCCCGCTTCTCGAGCCCGCGGATGTCTCGAACTCACACTTTGTGGGTGTTATTTGAATGTCAGCCCATTTCAGCGGCCCTTCCATCGGACACAAAGTTATCGGCGACCGACATCGGCGAGAGGAGGGCCCGGAGCCCGTTATCGCGAGGACGGAGTGGGCCCTAATGAATTGCGCGCGAGCTATCGATCGCTCGGCTTGGGCCGCCATTCCGCTTTATCTCTCTATTTGCATTTGCAATCATTTATCGAAGGGTTGGCGCGCGCGTGCCGCTAATCCCGTTAACTGGTACATGACCCCTTCGCCCCCACCCCGGCCCAGCGACTCACCCTCGCTTTTAAATCCCTTTAAAGTTCGGAGAGTTCACTTTTCAATTGTTATTATTATTCCGCTCTTTTCATGTCGCTTTGTTGCAATGTCAATATTATTTTGCCAGAATATCGAATGGCAAACAGAGAAGGTACCTCTTCCTGCGCATTTAATATTCGTTACATACACAAAAGTAGGTACCGTGTACAATTCACGTTGTAGCGATCAAATCAATTATTCTACATACAAATTACTGAATTAGATGGATACCTGGAAGTAGGCACAACGCGGATTTTCAGTGAAGCCCCTCGTAACATTCGATTCTCGTATTTCTAGAACCGAATGTGGTTCTTACTTTTGATTAGGTATTGTTTCAATATTATCCTCTAGTAGATTATACCCACTACTGTGTCGAAACTGTTGGATAGAATTTTGGTTTTAACTTTTAAGGAGAAGGTAAACAACTTATTGCAATTTTTTGCTATAATGAGTTTAATAATGAGATTAGAATGGGTAGCTACCAGTAAACTAAAGTACTTGTCGATATTTTATGTTAGGAATGTGATGGCATTACAGACTTATTACTCGATATTAATAATGACACCACCTAAAATATTTTATTAAAATCATTTTAGGTGAAAAAGTTTAACGCCGTAAGCGGAACTTCAAACGGCATACACTGCGCTCCGTGCCGCTACTCAATCCGATCCGGCTCTGAGACGATTGTCATAATTAATATCAAGTAAAAAGGATCTGTTTCTGGCGTGGAAGGCTTCATTAAATAATATATATTTTTTAGTATTAAATCGTCATGATCACGGCAGGCAGTAGACTACTTCGTAGAAGGCATCTTTTAAAGAATACCACTTGGCCTTCGCGCTCGCAATTAGGTTTAGTTATCGAGAGCCTACTACAACTATGTATTTAAGTATTTCGAAAACAATGGAACCGGAATCATTCAGCATATGATAGATTGATTAATATTATGTAGCCCAACTACCGACTGTAGTTACGCAAGTAGCACACATTAAAATAAAACGCGAAATGCACGACGCGTGGAAATTGGTGACTTCTGATTTAGAAGTTGCCATAGTTAATTTTATTGAAGCCTTGTATATTTTATGTATTCTGTATAAGTTTAGTTATTAAATTAGTCTTAGTTCATATTTTTTTTTTTTGTGAGCAACTTTTAAATAAATGATTTTTATTATTATCATTATTATAAATGTTACACTTTCAGCTTGCACCGGCCCCCTGACTGCTTTTGCTTTTAAAACCGTGTTTTATTTAAATATGGTGGTTTTGAATACTTTCCTAAAATACAGAAATTATTCCGTGGACTAATAAGTATGTCCGCAAAGGAATTAAGCTGAATCACTGGTGCGACCAGTAAGGAGAGGAGCCGTGTCGGAGTTCATTAGCGCGGGGGCGTAGAGGAGGTGAGGCCGAGGGCAGCGGAGGCTAATCAATAGCCGGTGCAGCTGCAGCGCACCCTTCGTCTTAGATCGACTTCTCTCGCCTCTCCTTATCGTGCCGTCGGCTATCCAAGTCTTGGACGACGGCTTTTGTGTCTCGTTATCGGTTTTAGTTTTCGGTCTGGACTAAGCGTTGAACTCTTTTGCATACGCTTAGCGGCGCGTAGGGGCGGGGTTACGTCGTAGCGGGTCGCGTAGCGGACGGAAATTGGGCTCCAATCTATTATGCTAAAGAACATAATGTAGTCAACCCTTCGCGGCAGGTAGAGGCGGCGTGATCGCGATGTAAATTTATGTAAATGCCGGCGCGGGTCGGGCGCGATTGGTCGCGAGCGCGAAGGGTCGCGGCTTCAACCCTTTCCGTGATTTATGTCGCGCGACGCTTTCATTTAAACGGCGATGATTGACGATCGGCGGCGTTGTGAGCACGTGTCGCCCGATATTCTGAGTTAACGTCGCTCGGAACCGAAAGGACGAAAGGGCCTCTGTTTGTCGAGTCCGGCGCCCGGGGCCCTCTAATCAAATTCTTGTAAGCCCACTCGAGTCGAGTGGCGTTTTAAGGCGGAAGTGCCTCACGTATTGGACGTTTTGATTTTCCGGGTGAGCGGATTCAATAAGAAAAGTTCGCCTCCGACGCGGACCGCGACCATCTTTGATCGTCTCGCGTGGAAGTGGCGTAACACGTTTACGAAGATTTCGGGCTTCGGAACGAAATCACTCCGCCGCTAAAGGGTTGCCTCGGGGGAACGCATTCGTCTATTCCGGTTTTGTTTCGCGTCGCGTCGACAAATAACAATGCCACTGCGATGAGGCAATATTTAGTCAGGAACAGATCTGCATTCTCGTCACGCGCCTTCTCGACTGAACTCGCACTAACTACTGATATTTAAAGGACATCGCGTTGTTTTATTTCGTTCACGAACGGCGTCAATAATCTTCAATCGCGAAGTCTGGCCCGATGTGAGGCGTGACGCGGAAAAATCAGAGTCGCCGCACAGGTTTAAGACGCGCCTATCGGTGGCTAAAGCATTTTTTTTTAACTATAAGAATCAACCTAATCGTAACCCTTTGAATACGATCTAATAATTTAATTCAAAATTACTCCGTGATTAGCTGAGCAATAAGACATATTAGGTGTGGTGTACACTCCCCCGCTCTTTATTCAAATATGAAGGAAGGAAGTTTGGTGTCGGTCCCGGTGTCGCCGGCGAGTCGCGAGTTCTCGGCTCGGTGCCCACACAAATTGTCACTCGTTTGCGTCTCAAATTAAGCGATCAAACAAATTGCTTCTGATCGCAGTGAGACTGAGTGTGAGCATTAAAAACGCATCAACTTTAATCTAATTAGGTGGCTAACGGCACCCGCTCGTAAATAATAATACAGCTAGGCATCGATGCCTTTTGCATCTCGAACCACTTCGAGTGCGGTGAGTGAGCAGTTAACTATGCGACGGGCCCGGCTTTAGGCGGCGAGTGCCGGTGCGCGCACGCACTCACGCATCTATCTCACGATTGACTTTTTTCGTTTCTCGTTAATTATTCAACGCGATATGCTCATTCGGCATCGAATATGCCAATGCGGTGATCAGTTTTCATTTGTTTTTCAGAGCGACACTTTCCATAATGCCGAGCGATATCTCCCGGAGCCGTCAGCCGGACTCGAAAGCGAAAATGAGTCGACGCCAAGGTTTCACTTTGAACAGCGAACGTATGTAGGTTCGCGAAAAAAACGAGTAACAATAGCGGAACGATCCGCGACGGGTTATGTAAAGTGTGCCTGTGTGCGTGTCAGTCGGAGCACGTGCAAGGGTTGTAGACAAAAGTTTCACCCTTCGCGCGAGTCGCGAGCGGCAGCCGCTCTTTAACGGCGGCCCGAGACGCGGCGGCGCGGGGCGGGCGGGCCGGAGAGGGGCGGGGCGACGCGGCCGTTTTGCATATTTCGCCCGCCTTCGTCTTCGCGTCGCGCACTCTCCTTCTCTCGGCCTTTCAGTGAGAACTCCGTGGCCGATTCCCGAAACCGCATTGAGTGAAAGTATCGCAATTATTTCAAAACGACACCTACAGTTGCGAACATTTATAGTTATTTTTTTCTGTTTAATGACGACTTTAGTATTTCTGTACTCGCCCACGATACAGCGCGAAACAGAAAACCCTTACAACCTGTTATTCTCGTCCTCGCACGGGAAGCGAAACTGGCTCAACGGCTTAAGGACAATTAACTCATAATCGATTCGCAGGCTTCTGCCTATACGTAGCACACGGTAAACAATGTCCGTACACGCGTCTCTTGTTGTTTTGAGGGTGTACCATTCGCTAAACGAAACGACGAGTTCGCCCCCCCCCCCCAAAAAATCCCCCCCCCCAAAAAACCCGCGGGGGGCCCCGGGACCCCCCGGCACTAGTCGTGCCGCCGGTTTCATCCGCTCGTCGTTGCCCTATAATCCTTTTCGAGTTATACAACGTCTAATTGTTTCTTTTATTTTTTATAACTTTGAGACGGCTCGATTGATTATTAGATTCAGGAGAATTCGTCTTCCTCACTATGAACTTAGGTGACAGGTACGAGTAGTATACTCATGTATAATCAGAGACTGCACGCACGTTTAGAATACCGCCGGAGACTGACGCGAAGTTAGATTCACCGTCGCGTACAATTTTCGGAAAGAAGTCGGTAGACCGGAGAAGTAAGAGGGACCTTTCAAAAACCGCAGGAGCGGCTAGAGGAATTCGAAGTCTTTAATTAAGGTCCTATGCAATCTTCTGAAAGTCCGGGGTAGATCGGTCGATGAAGTCGTGAGATAACAGAAAAAACTCTAACTGTGTTTTAGCTTGTGTAACAACTTTACGCATACTTCATACACTGTGACTATCATAAAGGGTCTGGTTGAAGGTTTAGTTTGTCTACTATATACAGTAGCCAGTACCTACCTACCTTATGTTTGATCCTAATTCATTGAAATTATATGAGATAGGCATCTAATCTAAGCAGAATACAACAAGAATGGGCTACTCTTTACGAAACACCGTCATATCGACTTAAAACAGTAAACTAAAAATCAAGAAATGAATTTACTTCCCTTAAAGTAAGACGCATTTATTACTTATCTCCGTTTAATGTAACCGATCGCTGTCTGTAATGGGTAATACATGATACCAAATATTATACGAGACCTTTATCAACGCAATAGTATACGCGACAATCATTTTGCATTCTATTCCGTTTCTCTGTGCGTTTGTACACACTAACTTCAGGTAAGGTCTACCTAACGTTTAGTGTTTGGTTCGTGTGAATCGGTTTATAAATAAAATAGTGATTCTAATTAAAAGAACCAGCCGCGCGCGCTGCCACGCACGTGTTGTGGAGGCGCACGGCAGAAGATAAACTGATTCTGTTAATGAAAGAAATATTATTTCTTTACTTTTGTGTAGAACGTCTTATAATTTTTTAAATACTTATAGTATTTGTAAAATACAATTAAGCACTATATGTATGTATATGTTAATTACTATATGTTGAATATGGGCCAACTTGTTGACAAGTTAGATTGACACGTTTTCATATCCCTACATATTGAGTTAGTTTGAGTGACGTCACCACTGGGCTGGCTACACTGTGATATTGGCTGTGAACTTAGTTTATACGACTACGTTACATACGATTTCACATTACCCACTAATACTCGATAACAGGAATGATAATCGCCCTAGCATTCGACGAGTATCTTTGCTCGGTCTATCCGTCTCTTAAATAATAATTACTATTAAACTTATTAAAGTACAAAGTACTATTAAATTAAAACAACTAGAAAAAATATAAACACTCCGTTATTTGGAAATTATGAGTCTCCCCGGGACCACGGCTGCTGCAAAGCATCCGAAACGTCGGGCCGAAGTTAAAAATCATTTCCAAATAAGTTTAACTAATATATCGCGTTTTAAACCGTTAAAGTGTTTTATTTAAATTTGTACTACTCGCGTAAACTATAGACAGTATTCACTCCGTTATTGTTTTATTTGGGACCGACTTCAAAATGTGTGAATGAATTTTTACGTAGAAGAATTTTACTGCTTGCAATCAGTATTTATTGAATATTTTTTACTTTATAGTACGCAAAAAGGAACGAAGATCGATACCTATTACTTTTATAACCGCTACTCTAGACGACCGATGAATGAAGGGACTATTACAATATAGTTTTATGTTATATTTTTATATCGATAAAGAAATTCATCGTAAAATAGGGCTCAACATAGGATTATCATTACATGTAATAGTTCTGCTAAAGTAAATTAGACTAACGATCGCCTCCACAATAATAAATTGTAAGTAAAATAATAATTTGTACCGTTTACTAGTGTTAGGTAAGTCAGTCGAGACGAGTGTGTCAGCGTGACGCGAGAGAAGCCGCGGGGCGCGCCTCGCTCGCAGCAGCTGATTCGGATTTTGCGCCGAAACCGTTATTTTGCACATAAATCTCACCCTTCCAAAATTTCAAATTTCAATATCGGAACAATGGTACGCAGCTTTTTACGTCGTTTTAAAAAATGTGGGGTAATGCGTTTTTTACGCACGACTCGCGAGGACTCCGGAGACGCGGTCGTTATTCGTTCCCACGAAGGGAAGTGGGTCAGCCTTTGTTCCGCTCCTTCGTTTTTGCGCTAAAAAACGGATTTCTGCGGAGACGCGAACCTGTCGGCCCCGCGCCGCCCCGCGCCCCTCTCTGTGACACACTTTTTAAGGGTGACGAGCATAGAATTGTAGACGCAGCTTGCGATCGCGATTTTCTCAGGAATCGTTCGTTTTTTGCAATAAAATGTAATATCGTGTCGAACAGGAGGCTGCGATGTCGCGGCAAGGGTTGCATCTGTCGCGGCTGATATTACACGATCGCAATAAATATGAGCCCGGAGGGGCCGCAGGGAACCTGGAGGGGGCCCGGCCGTAGAGCGGGCGGGAGGGACGCCTCTCGCTGAAGATGACCCATTGGCCAGATCCTCTCAATTTGCGATTTTACTATAAGCTCCAAGGTGTGAATGTCTATAATTTCTATTTTTAACGAATAACATAATAAGTTTTCAGTGAAGAATAAAATACAAGTCCGAGTTCCGCTCGCGCTAAGCATTTCTAACATAGAAGAAACATTATGACATAATGTCGGCGAATGTTAATTTTGTGCGCGTCCCGCGGGAATAATAAATCGCTTGGACCTCCCTTTCTCTGTCACAACTCACACATGTCGATAACATTAGCCGTTTGGGTCGCCGATTCGATTTCGTATTAGTCGCTTAGCTATTACGACGTATGCATTAGTTAACTCTTTACTAAGCCGTTACGATGTGAAACTAGACGACAAAAGTGCATCGCTTCTTGCATTGTTTCGCCAAAGTAAAATGCGTTCAAAATACCAAATCATTACAGGAGAAAGGAGGCACAATCGAGCGGCCCGATGCAGTCGGAACAAAGGCCTCATATTGAATATCGCTCCGTTTCCCGGACACGCCGAGTCGACGCATTGTCTCGGCGACTGTTTACCCTATGGCGTTATTAAAATAATAATTGGAAATATTAGAGCCACGAGCGGCGGGAAGCTTCCGGTCGGCGTCGAAGAGCTGCGGTTAGTTCCGCCGAGGTCGGCGCCGGACCGTGGGCGCGACACGGACGCCGACGCAATGCGACGCGAGCGACAACAATATTGCAATTATCCTCTCGTCGATGTTATCCCGTAATTGCGCCTCATTAAAAACGCGCAGCGCGCGACAACCTGCCTTGTCCGGAAAGCCGTAAGGGCGACGGTCGCGCGCGCCGCCGTCTTATCGGACGCATTTGCATCGCGTACGACGACGCACACGACACGTTGCCTCGATTTCGCATCGCTCTTACGTCACGTGAGGAAAATTCGAGTCGCGAAAACGGCCTCGTCCGACACGCGACGGCCCTCGCCAGATGCCCGCGATACGAGCATTGTTATAGATAATTCGGCCGCGAGCGGGTTAATGAGATCGTAAGGCAAACATAAAGGCCGGCTCGATATCGGCAATCTTCTTATTAGGCGATAGAGGCAAACAAAAGAAGCCTTCAACCAGATGCGATCGGCGGCCGAGATGACGAGTCATTTCGACTCGGACGGCACAATGGGAGCTCCGCGCGACACTTTTGCACTCGGCGAGGCCCTCGCCTGGGGGGCGGGGGGTCAACGACCGGCGCGGGCGGCGGTCACGAGCGCCCCACGAATGCGCAGCGTTCAGATTTGAATATTAGATAATTAATATCGCTTTATTAGCCGAGAAACATCGATTTAAGGAGATACGGCTCGCTTTGAGACGCCGCGCGGCCCTCGCGTGATTGAGTACGTCGCCCGCGAGATCGATTATTTACTCGGCTCGGTCGCCATTCGCTAATAGCTAGCGCTCGGGGGGCGAGAGGGGACGGTGACGCGTGCGCAACCCTTTGACGTGACGAAAGCAAAAAAACGATTTCGGCGCAACTGCTCCTCGCAATCTGTGGCGCGTGCACACGCTTCGCCGACGTTAATCTCCCGATCGTTTTTAAATGATCACTTTTAACCCTTCACTCTTGCGAGAAAGAGAGAGAGATCAGCGTTGATTTTTTATTTGAAGTAAATACTACATTAGGTAGGTACATGATGCATCTCAAAGTACAATTCTATCTTATCATAAAGGTATGACCTAACAGCCTAAAAGGGCCGAGAAGAAAAACGAATCTGAAAAGAGTCGGGCGTATTTGTTCGATCACGACGAAGCCGTGCCGTTGTTATTGCCCTTCTTGCTACTATCGTGAAATGATTATCGACTTTTAGTGCATATTACACTAAGAAAGAAGCTAAACCGCTATTTTAAGTAATAATCCCTTTAGTATTAAACAATATTGTGACTACGCTAGTTTGGTTTGCTCCAAGCAACATTTATAAATGTTGCGCAATCGTTGGGAACACATTCGTACTGCAATGAGTATTAACACGAACCAATTAACTTTATAATAAAGACTCCGCCGATGATACTTGTATTTTTAAAGCTAAAAACGTCTCTCGTTTTTTACTTAACTGGTCGTAGGTTTAAACAATTTGTGAAACGAATATTGACATTCCATCAGTTTCACGTTCCACCGTCCACAGTTGAAAAAACCGTGAAGTTGGAGTTCTTTACATCATTCTTATTAGAAATAAATACTGCGTCGATTGGTCTGGTTCTCATATTTCTACGACGAAAGAAAATCATTTAGGCCGTCAGGTTTTCGAAAAATATTAGTGTTTTTTAGTCGCTTATTTATTATTATTATTATTAATATATGTTGCTTATGCCTTTTATGCAGTGAGCAAATTTTTCAAACAGAGGCTTACGCCAGTTTAGCGGGATGATATTTTTTCATTGCCTACTCTTACGTTTTTTTATATCTGATTTGATTTACTTGATCTAATTTGTATTCGATTTTGTTGACTATGTTATTAGTCATTATAATAATATGTTTTAATAAAAGAAGCAATGTTTAAGTTTTCAAAGTCTTTCATTCGTTAAAAAGTTGCCTACTCTATTCGGTTAAATCAATAACATCAATGCAAGACAATTCTTCATCACGGCTAACGCCTATTAACTATACGTAAAAAACAGGTTTGTCTTTTACAACATTTTATAGATCTAAATATAAAAAAGAATTAGTTTGTTGTATCACTCAACTGTTGCCACAAAAACATGGTCAACAGTTGAGTGAGTAGAGTTTTTAAAATCGTGTTCCAACGATGTGTACTTTTTGAGTTACGAATTTTTTTTTTATTTAAAAAAATATTTCTGGCTCTGGTGAACATTTCTTATTTTAACTTCATGAACATATAGTTCATGAAGTAAGTAAGAAGTGCGCTAAAAATCTTACCACTGCTTAAATTAAACTTAAAATGTACAGTTTTTATTTTTCAATTATTTTATTTATTGTTTTATGCACCACTCCTAAAGCCAATTGCTCAAACTTGTAGTTATGTTTGTTTAGCCTTCTGTCTATTTTGTTTTTCGGCTGTAAATATACGGCTGTAAAGATGAGATCAATTTGTCTTTTTTGTATGTTTGTTTATATTAGATATACTCAAAACCTACTGCGCTAATTTTAAATTTTCTTCCACCAATAGAGAGCCGACATTGATCGATCAAATCGAATACAATCGTAAGTAACATGAGCTATATTAAAATATAGGGTAGAAAATATTTTTTTATTATTATTATTATTTTTATTTAAAAGGTCTACAAAACTAAGCTTTAATATATAGATATTGTAAAAATGGCTTTATACAAGTAAAAAATCTTAAACATTAAGCTTATAAATATGTAGACACGACATGCAGATAAAGTTTAATCGTACAATGTAAATAATAATTTAATGTAATATAAATGTAACCAAACAACAAAACGGATACTAAAAAATAAATATTATATTAGTGCTCTAAAAGAAAACTTAGTAATCGTCGGAGGCCGGAAGTACTGTGATAAAAAATATAAAAAATATTAGGGATCATTACTAAAACGTACGACGTCAAAATAACCTCGCGCTATTGTATGTCTACCACCGTTTTCCTAAAAGTTGGATTTTGTATTTATCCACTCTATTAGAATTGTCTCAAAGACTAGCTTCAATTCGTGTATATAACTCTCAACGTGATAGAAACAGAAAAACTCCGATTCGAATGATCGGTTCCTATTTAGATTCCTTCTTATTGGGCGACGTGCTTCTAAATAGAAGTTCATAATCCAAAAGCATTACGAAACGATTACTCGGCATTTTAGACAGAGTTTCCGCGCCGTTGAAACGGAGGTTCCTACGAGAACCCGAACAATGACTAATTAGACGAGAGCGGCGTTCCCGCGAGTGGCCGACCATCAATCAGATTCCGTCGTTTGTTTGTTTACGACAGTCACCGGTTTTAACAAACCTCGCGGCTTTGAGCGCGCCCGCGCCCGCGCCGTCGCGGCACAATGGCGCAGATTAGCGCCTGAAAGTTTAATGAGTTTCGATCGCGGCCTTTACCGCACGACGTAGGGCCTCGGCCCTAGAACGCTCGCAGGTGGCCCTCGTCGTCGCTATTCCTCCGGCTCCGAAACGGGCGTCACGCGAACCGAGCCCCGTATGAACGCGACGCGATAGAAGGTAGCGAATGCGACGAGTTTGCGCTCCGCACGAGATCGAAACCGGATCGAGACCAACAAATGATTAATTAATTAGTGAGCTAGGACCCCCCGTGGCCGTCCGTGCGCGCCGCGTTTCGGCTCAATCCTCTCTCCTTCTAGGGACGCCGACGACCCCGAGTCTAATTGGAAGTCGCGTCCGCGCCGCCGTCGGACGAATTCTTATGAGAACGGACGAAGCGGGGGAGCGAGTGAAGTCGGGTGTGCGACGGTGCGGCCGCAACAAAAATAGCGGGCCGATTGGGTTCTTCCGGTCGAATTGATGGAATCGCTAGGAATTCGGCGGAGGGCGGCCGGAGGGAGAGCTATTTTAAATTTAGATAAGCGGAATAAACGCGCGCCCGAACAATTTGCGCGGACTCACCCGACGTGCGTTCGCTGCGAAATATTTCGATTTTCCAGTTAGCCGGCGAAGCGAAGGTGCGATTCAGAGAATGGTATGGAACGGTATCATTAGCCGCCGCCGTACAAGTCGCGAAGTCGCCGAGCGCGCTCCCATTGGCGCGTCGGAGGCTCGCGCGCGCAACGCCGTATGCAAATCGTACAAAGTTATGAATAATTCGACGGAGCTAATTGCCTTCTCCGCTCCGGGAGCCGGTTATCTCGCCGAGTGATCGACGACTCTTCGTGTTTACGGCCGAACTTATAATTATAATTAGTGGAATACGGTACTTAGCATATTAAACACGACAACACGGGATCTCCTCGCGGTCTGCGCCTTCATTAACGATAATTGAGCGCACCGCGGATCGCATCTCGAGAGCAGTCGCTTCGATATACGCGTGAGCAATTAATCGGAAGCGGGGAGTGGGCGAAGTCCCAAATTTACTTTGGGCAAATAATAAAACCATTTCCGAGATATTCAGCGTACGATTGCGTCGCAGTAGAATTAAAAGAGAGAGTGAAGGGTAAATATTTTACGTCGACCCCACGACCCCGGAGACCCCTCTAGGTGAAGGGATAAAAGGACTCCGTGAATTACTCAAAATGAAAAGTGTTTACCGAGAGCACTTTCCGAAGAGGCTTTACAAAACAGATTGCACTCGAGAGGTCCCGCCCGCCCTCGCCCACCGGGCATTATCATAATTATCAGTTCACTTCGATTGTGCCTCATCCTAATACTGCGTGCGGGTACACGCGGGCACACGCGGGCATTCACAGGCACACGTAGACGGCTCGACTCACTCGTCTCCGCCTATTAGACCGCGGTCGCCGAAACGGCTAAATCTAATTAGCATGAATTGGGCAAATTCAGGGAGCCCACTTTGTAAGCAGATACGGTTATATTGGTTTCGGTTTGCGACGCTGGACTGACTATAATGTCCTTCGAGTTAGTCTTGCGAGTTGACAGCGACTTCAATGGTCACGTCGGTATGTCGAGGAGCAAAAAACGACGCACCTAAATAAAAATTAACGAATGTAACTCGGACGACGTGAACCGTGAACGGACAAAAAGTGAATAATAAAGCATTAATTAGACTAATTAGTCGCTAGTCGCTATTATTCGGCGTCGAGTCTGCGAAGCGCGTATTCTGAGCTGGGCCGCCATCCCGCTGCTTTGACCCGGTCGGGACAGTCCACGGTTCTTTTTGGCGTCATAGAGCGTCAGGGCGTGACGTCAGTCGAGTCGCAACAAACGACGAGCGGCGCGACCTTGACCCCTTCAGGCGCCACCCTCGCAGGAGTCGGCAGGTGCGCGCGCGTCGCGAAATACCAACACCAGTCACTCACCCGCCCCCCGACCGTCGGTCCCGTTACCTAACGCGACTCGCATTATCGAGGGTCGCCGTTTACGTGCGTTCGTCTACGAGTCGACTCTTTATTTTGTGGTCGCGCCTCGCCTCACCTCACCTCGCCTCGCGCCAAATCTTTAATTATCGCCTGACCAGAGCCGCGTCCGCGCGAGCAGCGCCGACTTAATCGAAACACAACAAAGCGCACTTATTTCGCCCGAGCAGATGAAAAACGTAGTGGGTTCAATGGAGCTAATTAAGTATGATAATAGAAAACGATTAAGCGGCGACGGGCCGAGCTGAGCCAACGGTGAACTGTGTCGACGGTGACAATCGTTCCTCAAAAGGGCAACGAATAGCGGGACCCCAACGGGCGCGACAGGTGCCCCGGCGGGGCTCAAAGGTCACGAGTCCCGTGGCAGCCGACGCGGCCTCTCGACGAGCTGTTTCCAGGTGGTTTACGTCGTAAGCGAAGTCGTGTCCCGACGGCAACGTTATTCGCCTTTTACGAGGTGCGTAACGGGCCGAGGGCTAACGGGCGAGGGCTCGCCGTTTTAGCGTTACGATTGTTTTCGTTTTTTATCCGTTTTGTTTAGGACAATAAATTAGAAAGCGCGCTCGGGCACGTCTCAATCGGACCGATTCTTCGTCAAAAAATCGCTTTCTCCGACACAAAGGCCCTCGTAATTGCTTCTTTGAACCATCCCTAATTCGATAAAGGAAAAATAATAGATTTTTTGTGGTGTACACTGTCAACGCTGGTAAAAAACACTGTTCCGAGTCATCTCATTTGGCTGTCGACGATTCTCTAAACGAACTGACTCAATAGTAAACGTTCAGATCGGGGCCGGCTGCCCTTCAGCCTCCGCGAGGCTCCGAGGGCCTAAAGGTCAACGAGGGGGCTCCTAACGGGATCTCAACCCTTCGTCCGTTTTTAGCTCTGGCTCGGACCGTTGGCGTTTTCTTCGAGAATAATTAGTAGCCGCGAAGCAAAATAGAAGCCCAGCGTCGTTGTGCAATCGAGACGCATGATAAATAGAAAGTGGAGTGACCCGGCGGCGCACGAAGCGCGATGCACGATGCAGTCAACAACGCGCGGAAAAAACTGCTTTGCATGAGCATTTAGAGCTCAGTCGACTGAGCTCGCTAACACTTTTTCAGCTAGACCCTTTCTCCGGCCTCGTTCGCCGCTAATAATTCTCTTGAAGGTTGAGTGCTCACGCGCAGATCGCGTTCGCCCACGGAAGACGTTATCGCCTCGACGGTAGCCTGACCCCCCGGAGAAAGCCGCAGAAGTGATAAATCGACGCAGTAGTATAGTGACGTGACAAACGTATAGAAAAGGGGCTCCTAATCGTGAGCGTTGGGATTTTGGACGAAGGTTTACAAAAAATAGCGGCATAGACGTATGCAAATCCTTTGTCTGGGCGACGCGTCCAAGGCGCAAGGGATTCTCGTGCGTATGATCACTATTGAAGCGCACAGAATCGAGTGAAGCGCGCTCGAACCGCGGAAGGCCACCGGAGAGTAATACGGCCGTACGCACTCGTATTTATTTTCAGTTTCTTGGAAATTAACAAAAGCGCTCGGGACCGTTGTTACGCATTCTATCGATGTGGACAAAAAGTATTTCTTAAAAGTGCATTTTATGAATATCGAACGGTTTTTATCGCTTCATTTGAAACGTGAGCTTGAATTTGGCCGCGGAAGCGCCTTCGCGGTCACTAAGTGGCGAGCTTTATCAATTTAACTCGCTACGCATCGAGAGTCATTCCGTCGCTGACCATCTTCATTCTACAACATTTGCATAATTCAAATCTTTCGCCCCTTAATTAACGCAAATCTTCGCAACCCGATTATCTTCCAACACGTGCCATAAACAAACATTTTCGCGATATGAATATACAAGCACAACAAATATAATATCTTATAATTATAGCAATTCAAATATTACGAACGCCTCTGCATTTGTCATCTAATCTTCGTATACTGACTTACATCTATTGACTTACGTCTTTAGAAAAATGTAATAATTTAGTCTCAATTTTAATAACGTTTACGCCGAGCTAAGGGACGTTACATTCGAGGAACCTTTTCAAAAAAACTTATGGAACGTTAGAAAAAGTCATAGAAATGGCAAGAAATATACGAGGTTGATTGTTCTCGAGACGCGCGAGAGAAAAAAACCCGCAGATGCGCCCGCGCAGGTAGCGCCGATCGCGACGTACATGCAAATGGATGCGAATAGCGAGTTCGGGATCGATCTGCGATCGTGATGGCGAATGACTAGACCTCGCACCCGTCATCCGATTCGATGGCCCTACTGAATCGGTTCGACGCCATCACTTTTTGCCTACCCAGGCGACGACCGTTCAACTTGGGCTAGTTATTCATTAATTCTCATTTGTTGATTTCGCTTCGACGGCGCATTAATGGACTCGGGGGCTTCGACATGCCGACGGGCAGAGCTCCGCCAGGGAGAAAAAGAGCTCACACGCTGCGTCGGTCGGCTCGGACGTGACGCTATCTACGCGCTGAACTGTACAAATGGTTATTCATCTAATCACTCGGGCCAACGATTACGTCAACGGACAAAGTACTCCCCGCCCGGGACGTGGCGTCTTTCCTTCCATGTCCGCGCCGACGCTTTCTCGGAACCGGCGAAGAGCAAAAAGCGTTGCCTCGAGAAGAATCGGAATCGAATCGGATTCGCATTCTGCTCGACAGAAGTATAAACGAACTGAAAAGGCATCGATTCCTTGAAACTCGCGGACACAAAAAGCGTCGCCTCCTTCCTGTCCCCCGCCCTTCACCCCTGTCGCCGCGAGGCGCCCATTCATTTCGTAATTAACGTTAACAAAAAACGAGACTAGACGAAAAATTGGAAACGTTTCGGTGGCCTGAGGCCGAATTAATTCAATTAAATCGAAAGCTAAAACCGAACAGGCAGGAAGGAATACGAGCGGTTAGAGTGAAAAGTGACTCACCGTGGAGGTCCAGCACCATCTGCGTGTTGAAGAAGCCGGTGAGGTCGCCGCGGCCCGACACTGCAACACAGAACGACGGTAACGTCAGTTCATTCTGCACACACTCTCAAATAGTAACGTAAGCTCATAATCAGTACATAACTATCGATGGGCCAGTTTACATTTAGGACACTACGACGACCGCTTTACTATTTAACGATGTAATTGTTGAAAATCGAACGAGCATCGGTGCGCGCGCGCATTTCACGCTTATCGTTCGCGTGGATCTGACGAGATGTTGTCTCGCGATTTGGCTTTAATCGGGCGAGGAGGTTCTTCGGTGTCATGGATCGTAACGTCCTATCACATAGTACACGCAGTTGATCGCGTGAGCGAGGAGCTAGTGCCGCTCGGCAAACGGGAATGGAAAAATACCAGATCGGTCACGATTTTTTCAAAATTTCCACGATACAGGCATGTACGAATGTAATGACAATTTTGTGTCGGCCTCAATTACGTTACCGCGTCGCATCTCAATAATAATTAATTATTTACAACAAGAGCTTTACAATAATCGACTGACTATACAAACATGCGTGGAAATACAGAATAGTTGGCAGTGAAAAGAAATCGCCACTCGGCTACGTCGGCAGTACCTGTGGCCCGATCGGGGCTGAGCTTGCCCTTTTTTTCTATTAGCTTTAACAAATTAATTATTGATGCTTTTGATTTTGAAGCATGTGTATCTTTTTGATATTATTATGTATTATAAGAAAGTCTTACAAACTCAACGCAAACAGTTTAGATTGTCAGTTTAGACTTAACTGTACGTCGAACGCACTTCGACGCCATCGTTTGTGCCACGTTACGGCGTATCAAATAGGAAATATAACCACGAATCTATGAGTAAGTCCGCTTTAGATGAACGAACGTTGAGTTTAATTTTAGTCGAAATTAGTCCCGAATCACACGTTTCGAGTTAGGCTCGTGTGCAGAAAGTAGTGAGAAGCGACCGCGGCGGTGCGTGACTAGGCTCGCGCCGCGGCGTCGTCCGGTAACCGATAGCGATGATAGCATCTAGATCGGGCGATTAGCGCCGGCGAGCCGAGCGGAACGAGAGCGTTTGGGCTTCTTCGGAATCGATGTCGTCAGGGGTCGACGACCGGGGCGAATGCAAATCGACCGGCGTCCCGTTACTCTGAACGCCGAAGAAGTGTCTCGTTCCACTTCCATTGCATCGACGTAAACCGAGGCGGAGGCTGGCGACGTGAGTCCACGGTTCATTAGGCGCGGCGGCACGCGGGCCGCGGCTGAGGCGCCGACGGCTCGCCAATTTCCGTTCCTCGCGAAGCGCTCGTGCGGAGTTTAAATTCGCATCGTCCACCGGATTTATGTAGGGTCCGTCCCCGGGGAGCGGACGGACCGGCCGGTGCCGGGCGATGCCGCACTATTTCACGCGAGGCGATTTAGTGCGAGCCGAGTGAGCGATGGGCGCCCGCTAAACGCCACCCTTCCTCGTTTATTTCCCTATCCTTTAATGCGATGCTATCTCTCGGCTCCGATTACGGCCGAATGAGACTCCGAGACTATTACTTATCGGGTCGGGCGATTCCATTATGGCCCCGGCCCTCGTGCGACCGCGCTGTCCGTTCGAGTCGAGACTCGAACGAAGATCAGAACGGTGGTAATGTATGCAAATGTATGCAACGAGAAAGGCGGCGAGAACATTCTCTCGAAGAAATCTGCAGCGCGGCGGACGGATTAGCAGAAGCGTTGTCGACAAGCCGCGTTCGCGTCGACGAATCGCCCACGCGTCGCAACAAGGTCTCGCGGAGGCGCGACACGAACGAATCGAATGATATTTGTTAACGAGCGCATTGTTTGTTGCACTTCTTGTTTCACTCGAATTGTTCAGTTGGAGGCCGGTCGAGCCCTGCGCGTCGCGAGGACCGAGAGAAGTCGCGAGGATCCGACGAGCAGTAAACGGAGGTCTCGAGACACGGAGGGTGATTGACCGCGGGTGGTTAATTACGGCCTAAACTCTTCCCCCCTTACCCACCCCCGCGCGCCTACACACTTTCCTACGACGGGGGCCGGGGTCACGCAGACCTTCGTACATGACGTCGTCGGACGTAACGTGCCCTATATACGAAAATCGATGACACCGTATCGGGGACAAGTTCACACATCTTTCGCTAAACGACGACTTACGAAGACACGAAGCACTAGTCACAGTACGGTGCGACATGCAACCGGGCGCTCCTTGCTCCTGATCGCGACGCTCGAGAACCAAATGATGTATTAGTTTAAGGGATTCGCCTTCCAGGGTCAGTGGGTCGCGGGCAATGAGCAGTGACGCCGACAAATATCCGAATGACTCGAGGAAATGTCGTGGGTTGCGCAGCAAGTGGTGTGTCCTGTGAGCAAACCTTCCGAGAACCGCTAATTGTATTTGAGGGAACTATCTAGAAATATAATAAACCCTAACGTCGAACATTTCTATAAGAACGAAACACAGGTGCTTTGTAGAATATTCTACATTGGGTGGCTTCCAAGTTCAAAGAAAACTTTCAAATATTAGCTCCTTTCCATTTGCAATACAACTTGAGAGAAAACGAAGGCACAGCCTACAATATTATAGAGCTGAAGAGTCTGTTTGTAGGAACGCTAATCTCAGGGTATATAAATAATGTTGAATTCGAGTTCGAATTAAAAACAATATTTTTGTCTCGGTTGGAGAAATTAATATGTTGTGTGTTATATATAACATCAACGTCTTTGAGAGCTTCCGTTAAATGCGCTGCGATAACGATTCTAGAAACCGAAAAGTATGTATGATAGAATGATTCTAATTTAAATTACCTAAAAAACGTCTGCGATAGTATATGTCCATCTTTTAAGATTAATTAGGAAGAACGACTTGGCAGGACGCGGACGACGTCGTAGGTAACGCCCATTATTTAATAAAACTGAGGAATTTTTTTGGTAAAAAAATAAAATGATTACCAAAATAACTATTTCACGCGGACAAAGTCGCGGGCGCAGGTCGTAAAGGTATAAATCGAATTCGATCAGACCTCTCCCATTGTAAGAATTTAAAAGGGGACAAAGCACACATAGGACATAGGAAAGATTTAACAAAAGCCAGGAACGCAAATAACGTAGGTTTTAGAATCAGGCACAACATAATCAATCCGTGATTTTTTTCATTTAAATGTAATGTCGCGGTGATACTTAAACATGGACAAAAATTACTCAACACTACCATCAGTTTTACTACTAAAGACTACTTTAAAATTATCCTGGTAATAACATTTCAATTACTCAGTACTTCAATAAAAGTCACTAGTAGTAGTCATTAATTTAAGTTAATTTTTTCTTGCCTTTTACTTTGCTGTTTTTTTTAAGTTATCTATAATATTTAACCGTTCCAGTGGGGGACAAATTCGAGCCAAGTTATTTATTTGTATAGGTAACGTCCATGCGGTTAAAAACAAAATATAATAATAATAAATAAATAATAATAAATATAAGCTATAGAAAACAGAAGAACTAGCACGAGACACTATGAAGTTTAGAACCTATTGTTATTACCTTTACGACTCATTTCTTTCATTTTTAGGGATCTCTACCTACAGGAAAGGCAAAACGGAACCCAAATAAATAAAAAATAACAACACAAGGGAAAGAAGTGCAATACATGGCCTTGTCAAGAATAATACCGCTATAACTACCAATTTAAAGGAAAATAAAAGAAAAATCGATGCTCCATCTCCAAAAGCAGTCGACAGGATTTTAAAAATAGGCCTAAGCGCAAACGATGGTCCATTTTATATAGATACCTAAATCGCTCGATCGAGCAAATATTATTATTATTACTGATAGGGATATCCTTTGAAATAAGACACGAGGACTAACTATCACTCTCAATAGATTTTTATTTTGTATCGGCAATTGAAAGTTATTTAAAAAGGTTTTTTAATTTAATTAATTATAGCGATATAATGTCAAGAGTATTCAAGCTTTTCAATCGTGTATTTTTAATTAGTTGCGACTTCGCATTATTTTAAGCAACACTTAATTGTAGCATGTGTAATATACAACATGAATAACTAATTTGGTTCTTTAGAGCGAGTGCGTTAATTAAAAGTTACAAATTGTGCACGAGCAACGAAGAGCATATATTGTGGCGTTGTTTGTTTGACACTAGAATTAGTTTAGGGAGAGATAATTTTGTAATTTAATCACTGAAATGAGTCGTAGGCTATTTCATAATACATTATACCTAATCACAATAATCTAGTTAAATTCAAAAATATTAATAAGCCCACGTTAGGACTATCGAAGCCCCTTATTTACGCCGCTAGGCACTAATGTACACATATCGAGTTTTAACGAAAGGCGAGATCTTATGGTATCACTTTTTGTCTAATTTAGTTTTATTTTATCTACGAAACTGTCGAATTAGACGACAAAGTATATAAGATATGCTAAACAACGCGAGTTGCTATCATTACGGCCTAAACGGCCGCGGCCGACGAGGAGCGAGCGCAAAAACACGAAGCAGGGAAACACAACAATCATTATGAATATCATTACAGTGGTATTTTAATGAGAGTGTATTAATATGCTAATGCGATCGGCGTCCCATTATTCAAAATATACAACTATTGCGTCTAACAGTAACGCGATCCGAGTAGCCCTAATTAAACAATATAAATCACTCGCGTTCTTTCTCTTTTGGACATCCGCACGGCCTTCTGGTGCTTCTGTTCGATTCTATCGATTTCGACGTAGTCGCGACCGACGAGTGGAACATGTGGCGTGCACTTTGCGCGTCACGTCAGGTGTAGCCGCGGCGCAGTGGCAAAGTTCAGCTCGCTCCCAGGCCCCGACCTCCGCCGGACGTCGCCGGACGTGGACGCTCATTATCTGAATTCGGTAATTCATATCGTTATCGTTTCCCACCGACACTTTTCTACTGTGAGAGTCGAACGATACGCCGAAATCGTTCAATCGTGCACACGGAGAGTTTTGTAAGTTGCTAAGTATTTCAGTGGAGGGATTGAACGAACGATTGGCGAACTATCGATGTATTGTCGACTTACTTGTTTTCGCTTAAGGCAGCACTTCGAGACAATACTTAGTAATGCCGGCCGTTTAATAGTTTTGCGTAATGAAGAGAGAGAGATACCCGTTCGCGCGTCCATAGAATGGAATGGAGTCACCTGTTTACTAATCTCAACCGAGTCCCGCACGGGTCACCGCGGGGGCCCCGCGCGGGCCTCGATCGCATCTCACGGGTTAGCGGCGCTTCTACTTACTTGTCCGCAGCGAGCGGTATTCGAATAGAAATTGATGCATCGGAACGAGCACTAGACACTAGCGCCTCCGAGGCGGTGGACGGCGAGAGACTGACCGTGGGCGTGCGGCGGCCAGGGCGGGCAAGGCGGGCAGGGTGGCGCGTCGCGCAGGCGCATGGAGCAGTCGAGCGGCTGGTCGCGCAGGGCCAGCGCGGGCATGTCGCGGCCGCGGCCGCCGGTCCTGGGTCGCGCCGTCTCTAGCGCGCGCACTCGTCGCGTCCACCCACTGAGCTCGTCCGAGAAGCACTGCCGCGCGCTCCTCGCTTTTTTCCCGAGTTTTTTCGCGAGGTGCGGGGGCGGCGGGGGACGCGCGGGGCGGGGCCCGCTCCGCCAATCGCGCTCCGGCCGCCCCCTGCCCCCCGCCTTAGCGCTTATTTACGTGCTATATTCAAAGGGTTTTCCGCGCGCGTTATGGATTTTCCGACGCGTTTTACATACGGCCCTCTCCTCCTGCACTCGGCCTCCCACCTGCGCCGGCTTCCTCCGTCGACCGAGATGCAAATGCTCCGGCCGCCGGACCCGGGCCGGAAGCTTTCGGCGGCAGACGAGCGTGACGTCACGCGGGTCGTCGTCCCGCTCATTGAACTTGAACCCAATATCAACCTAATAACAACACACCCCCACCGTGTCTCTCTCGGACACTGATAATATCTAGGAGCCTTCTAATTCACAGAGACACAAGACAGAAATACACTCGTTTCAATTAGAGATCGGAATAAGAAGGATGAGACCTTTTTGAATAGTATCACTAACTTACTAAGCGTTACTAAGCTGTGTCGCGTTCGTAGTGATCAGAGGTGATTTCTGTGAATTTGCGTTTGTGGGTCAAAACGGCATCTGCCACCCCCGCAGGCTCGCACCTGGCCACTACCCTGCCCCCGCCCCCGCCCCGGGCCACGCGCATGCAGATTTATGGCACGACCCGAAACCACAGAGATACTTCGCTAACTAGAATAGCCGCGTCGAGAGGCCGACCCACAATATTATATGCTTTTAATTAATAAAATAACCATTAGGTATCAGAAAGCCTATAGGTATGTATGTTCCGCAACACTCCGTATTGGGCTTCGTGCATGTTCGATCGGTCATTTCACATTTTATGTTTAATAAATGAGGCAAAATATTAAAAGCACATTACTAATACAAAAACGATTTCACAATAAAGAAATATTAATAAAATACGGACCAATATGGCGACGCAATCGTAATTTCTGTATTATTAATTTATTAATATTAAACGAGTGTCCCGTCCAGGCGACGCGTTCGATGGCCGGCTGCGGCCCAACCGAACGGCCATTTGGGCACATCACCCGCGCGCCAATTATTATCTCGCCCGATAAACAACTGCCCAATATGCGTCTACCGTTGACTGCAAACGCCCGACCGCCCGCGCCGTCATATCCTGCGAAATCGTAGCGCTAAGTAGGCACACAGAATAGGAAATGGAAGGAAATATTACCTGCGGCATATGTACAATCGATGGGCGAATCGGGCCGACGAGCGGACGAGCAAGACGAGCGTAGCAGCCGCTGCAGTCGCGACTCGGGATAGTGCAGCCAGGAGCGGGACACGCTGCGGCGCTGTCGATGTCATTGAAAATGTCGCATTTAACAGAGAGTTATTCAACACAAAACTTAAAAACTAATCACTTGCTGGCTATTACGAAGTTAAAAAAACGGTAGAGGCTCACAAAATTGTTAGGTGCGAGAGATGTAGGATTATGATTAATAACTCCTTTACGACTGACTTCTGTCTTTCTGTGGTAGCACAAAAACCATAATAAAGGATTTCACGCGGCATCTACGACAATATTGTGGCAGGGGACGTCTCACCTTCCCCACTGCGTTAGGGCCCTCACACGCGAGCCATCCTACTCAATACAATTAGCTTCAAACAAATAAAGCAGAGGCATAGGGCGCAACCTCGACGTGCACTTATAATTAGGATAATATTGGGATAAGAAAATGACATAAATTCGCGATTTTAATCTTTTCGGAGGCAGTTCTGTTATTGTTGGGTATTTGGCGAGTAGGTCACCGCTGCCAATCGAGTGTGATTTAGTAATAATGGCCGCGTATTGGGGAACGTGCAATAACTTTGTTATGGTTTTCGCGAGCCTAGTGCGCTTTGAAGAGTATACTCATCAAGAAAACTATCTTTTGAAGGTGCCCTTCATCCTTATTACTCCGAGACGGCCACTGGACCAGAGGAACCTAGTTACTCATATGTTTCGATAAAAGTATGTTAAGCTTAACGTGTTCTGCGATTGAAGCACTTCAGAGGAGGCACCGCCTTTTTTATGTTTTATTATTGAACCGCTTCACGAAGTTATTTGTAACTCTCATGACAAAACTATTGACTACAATGATGCATTGCAAATTATAAACTCAAAATGTAATGTGTTTTGAATTGTCCAATTCGCTAGTTGCCTGAAATACTCGTCTGTTGTCCTGGTCTAGTAGTATTCGCTCGTAGACGACCTAAGACGTAAGGCGTCGTAAGCGCACGTGTGACGTCGCCAGTTGGCGTTAGAAAAAGGCCCACCGAGCGAAGCTATTGAAGTTTCAATTTTTTGCCGTAATTATGGGAACTAATTAATCGTTAGACGCGCCGAGGCACCCTTCCTCAGGCGTACGATGCCCGTCGGCCCCAAACGATAAAGATCGATCTGAACTTTCAAAAGTACATAATGTAAAGTGCGGAGAGAGCGCCGAATGTAAAGTGGGCGCGAAGGATTCCAGTGTAAAATACATATTTATGGAGGCGGTCGGGCGCGGTGGGCGGGCGCCGCCCTATCTCGCCCTAATGTATTCACCGTTTTTTATCGCCGTCGCGCTTCGCATTAGAATTTAAAGGCGAGAAAATGTACGCACGCCGAGTGAAATTCTCTCTCTCTCTGTCGCGGTGCAGCGGGCCCGGCGTGGGTCGCGGGGCCGAGGTGGAGCGGTGCGCGCCCGATAAGGTTCGGACTCTGCCGACGTTCTTCGCGCACCATCGCACTCCACCGCTTCGGACCCTCGCGGGTCTGCTGCGCTGAGATACGGCTATCGCATTACGTTTACTCTGGGAAACAATACGGAACCTGTCCCCGACGCTCGCCAATTTCAACAAACAAATAACGTCGACGAGAGCAAACAAATGTGACGCGAGTTACGCGCATTTCACTTTAATTCTGAAACAAGAATGTCGGGTATTTGTTGAGAACTAATAACATTTCATTCGACGGTAAACAGAAGGCCTCGCGTCCGCAAACAAGCTTCTCCCCGAAACCCCCCACCGCCCTCTCGCCTCGCGCCCCGCCATACCTCCCTCCGCGAACCTCCTAAACTTTATAGAGACAAGAATTAGCGAGCGCTAAAACTAATGAGGACACCTGCAAAAACTTTTTGGAGCTCTAATGTTTACGAGTTTATTGTTCTGTACCATGACTCGGTTCGCTCGCTCGATGAATCAGAATACGAATACCCTATCGACGGCTCCTTGCACAGTAAAACGCTCAGAAGTCTATATGATGTCACAGTTTCCGTAATCAATTTAAGGGTAGTGTCGTTTCCGCCTCAGCCTGCGGTTCAGCAAATGAACGAATATGAACTCTGTCCTCGACCGAATCCACGCGGCCCGACGGCATCTCCCCGACTTAGTATTCCGATTGAGAATAATTTAGGGAATCGTCAAAGTAACTGGAACTCATCGAGGTGTCGTTGAGTGATTTAATAACAGACGAGATTAACATACAAACACACGCATTATCCGACGATTCTCACAAACAGGTATGGCAGTCACGCCTCCGGTTCCCGGAACCGGGCGGTGGACGAACGCACTTTGTCCTACGGTTAGGTAATTACACTGTTTTGACGCGATAACGACATGCTCATGATATGTCGCGGAGATACCTCGCGCGCGCATCGCCAGAGGGTCAGTCTCTGCACTGACTGGACTCAAGTACAGCCAGTGTAGGTCGCCAGAAAAATATTATTGATTTTTGTCATCGGGTGTCGGCGGGTGGCAAAAAGAGCTCTTTTGCCCTCTCTTCGGACATCGATCGGACGAGACGATCGTCGATTTGTTGCTACGACAAATACGACACAAAAATCGGGCTGTCGATCGAGATTCAGGGCAGGAAGCGTCTCTCGGAAGCGCACCTGGTCGCGTAGACTCATCGCCATGCGTGTCACGAGCCGTCCGACTAATGTCCCTCGTATCTATTATCTACCTCCGCCGGGCCACAGTGTGTAAAACTGAGATCTCGCCCGAACGCCTTCCCTATGGGGCGCGCTGCGTTTTACCGACAGGCGATGCTACACTGCGGGTGCGGCGCGAGTCGAGTCGACTGCCGATGTGCGAATCGTTAGCCGTTCGGTGTCGTTTCGCCACTGCTCCTAGAGTGTAGACTGTGCGATGCGACCGAGGAACCGCGCACCTGCGAAGCCATCAATATATCATACGCGCATTCAATGTGAGGTAATGATTTTCCATCGCAGGAATAATGATCGTCGGTGTTCGGGCGCAATTTTATTACGATTTGTTTTTGTGAACATATGCACCGCGTTCTTAATGAATTAAAGCCGTCCAGTACGACACCGCAGCTGCGTCGCGCGAGGTCGTCTCCGTTGTCACCGCTTATAAATTATTAATGGGGACATGTTAATAGTTCGTGACTGGCTAATTCTATCGGCGCGCTGATCGGGCGAGTCCGGCCGAGGCCTATAATTCAACTTTACAGATCGGATCACGGAGGAAGGGCGAAGCGCGTTATTCTACATCAGCATCCTTGAGAATAACTTAAATCATTCAGTACAATTGCCGGAAACCTTGAGATAACCGTCCTCGTCTTTGATTAGATTGCCCTAAGGCTGTAGACAATAGAAGTTACCAAACCAATAGTTAGAAGTATGTATATCTAACAAATAATAATAATCCTAACAAACTATAGAAGCAAAGAACAAAAGTGCACTTGTTTCGTATGCACAGGATATAAATTAAAAATGTACCGAGGTTAAAGAGAGAGTGATCAATTAGTAAGATAGTAGGACGGATCGCTATGGACGCCGGTTCAAGTTCCACACGTGTTATCGATCCTTTTCAATCTCAAAGAGTTTAAATTTAGAAAGAGCTAACATATAGATGAGTCGGATCTATACAGAACTCTAACAGAAACCTTCATCAGATTTAAATGAAAATTGTTTTAAAATTGTACAAAAATACACGGTGATAGAAGTCGTTTCTCATGTTGGCGAGTAATCTCAGCGATCAGTGAGAAGTACAGCGGGAGTCACAACCCGTCATGCGTGCGATTATCTGTCGCCGTGAGAATTATGTAGATCCGCGGAGATGGGAGGAGGCACGTCCGCGGACGAAGCCGCGCTTGGGTCGAGGCGTGCGGCGAGCGCGGGCCGAGATGCGGCGATAAGGCGCTCCGGCTAAAATTAATATCATCGCGAAATAATGAGACGTAATATGGAACATCTCGGGGCATAAATAAAGCAGATTGCGATCCAAATAAAAGCATCGACCGATTAAAACGGGCTCTCTACGTGCGCCTGCCCCCGATCGAGGATCACGACTCCTCAAATTATTCGATAGCCCTCGGAGCTCATTGCGCGGACGAAGGTCGGATTCGCACTCGACTCGCGCTTAATGTAATCATGACCGCTTCGCTCGTAAAGCGACGTTTTATCGAGCGGCTCGCCCGAGGAGCGGCGCGGACGCAGTTATGCGGGAACTTAATCGTTCACGCTCGAAGCTCGGCTAATTCGCTTCGATTAACCCTAACTCGTACGTTAAACTTAACGAAGAGTTTGAAAGGACGAATTTAGCCTCGCGTACCTAATAAAACGAGAAGTATGATAATTCGCGAAATTAATTGTGCGAACGACGGCCGCGCCGGCGCCGCGCGTGTGATTCACTTTTACGAGGTCGTTAGGTATGCACTTCGGCAGAATGCTCAAACGTCGCTTTAGGTAATTACTTCGACCCTGCCGTCGGGTGCGAGCGCCCACATCTGACGTCGCATTCGTTAGCGCCCGTTGCTGAGCCTCATTTAGCCTATGTGAATTGCACGAGGCTGGCGCGTGTGAGCGGTCGGTACGAATGACGCCCGTGCCGAAGTTTTCGGATGCCCCACAATTGACTTCGAAGCGTGCAATGACGCTTGTTTTCCTATATGAAGGACTAGCTGAACTAAATTACGATGCATTGCCACATTCGTTATTTGTAGATTATCGCGTCTTCGCATTCTTCACCAGGTTATGCGTTTATAAATATTATTTATTAAACAGTCGCTACTCATGGTTCAGTGAATACTTCCGATCGCGACCACTCCAAAAGAAAACCAAGCTCATGAAACCGTTATCCAAACCTAGTTGCGACCTGTACTTACCGTACACTGTAAGCCAAAGAGACGAACGAGCTCTCTTAATCTTTGAGAGGACGATGCTCAGGAGAATCTCTGGTCCCGTCTGCGCTGACGATGTTTTACGTGGACGACGTAACGACGAGCTGTACGACATCCATTACGACGCCAATATCGCTCAATTCATTAAAAGCAATAGACTTAAGTGGCCGGGACCCGTACAAAGAATGGCGAATGAAGAGCACACAGGTCCTCGCTGAACTCTCAACTGGAAGCAAAGGAACGCCCGGAGCGAGGCGTCCAGAACTAGAAACAGACTATTTAGATTATTTGCGGTCTGATGATGAAGTCAAGAGCAAGGAACTTTCAAATGTTTCACAGTGATCGTATTAGTTGACACCATCTTAAAAAATAAATTATCTTTCGCTTTTAACTGTTTGAAGTCGGTTTTATCGGTTGGAAAGTATGTTATGTTTGCGCCATATTGTATAAGTAAAGTAAAGCGAAAAGACATTAGACACCACTGAGTGGCGAGGACTCTCGTAAGCGGGAGTCCGATAATTGAATGTTGAGGTCGGCGCGCAGCGGGCGAGCAGGTGCGCAGGTAGCGCCGAAGCGCCTCGGGCCGGCGGCCGTTTATCTCTTCATTACTTCGACGTGTGCATCTCTTTATTGACTTACGTATTTAATAGGTGAAATATAAAAGTGTCCTCACAATAAAAACAATTAATAGGATACATTTCTATTTATTTTTCTTAAAGCGTTTTGAAACGCCGGCGGACAAACAACATGTTATCGTTGTTTGTTAATGATTGAGGTGAAAACGACGTCTGGTGAATAATTGTGACTTCGGACGAACGGTGCGTCGGTGAGAGCGGCACCCGCTTCGTCGGTTCCTTTACGTATTATCGCGCGCCCAAAGGGACGTCGTCTAAGCTCTAACGTATCGCGATGCACATCGAGGCCGGCGTGAGTCCTTATTCGGCGACGGAAGCGCTATCGAGTCGAAGAGGCTCCGCGCCACCTGGCTCATTGTATGGAAATGCTCGAAGGCCATTAGCGCCCCGCGGGTCCGCGACGCGCCGTCAGAGATTGCGCGGGCAGGCGTAATTCTAGCGAAGGGAAGATCGGAAGAATCGGCATGCGCGAGCGATACCTTGCAGTATGCAGACCATTAAAACGATCGCGAGAAATAGTCGAAAGTCGCGCTCGCGTATGAAGCCCCGTCCGCGCCAATTACGGCGGCCATCTGATAGCGCTAACGAGCCGATGCCTATCGCTCGCCTGCGCCCGCGCGCATTCAAATCGCGGCGCTCCCCCGCCCTTAAGGGGACGCCTTTGGGTCCACTTTGGTCGCTCCCGGCCCCATCGCGGTGTGAATTACGCGGGCGAGGTCGTTACCGTTTCGACGGACGCGAGCATTGTGCGCGAGGTGGAATATTTCACGCAGATCGCGAGATAGCGAGATCGGCCTAGGCGGGAAGCGGGGCAGTCGCTTAGATGAATAGCGGCGGCGCCTTTCAGTGATTCGCTAGATTTATGGTCCCTAACCACAGAGCGGCGCCTGCGCATCCAGACGGCGACAATTAAACGATTTGCGTACGGCCGACTTGCGGGTCTTCGTCGCCACTTGTGGCGTCCCTAATTCCAGAGAACCGTCGGAGTCTATCATTTACTTTCTTGCACAATGTAGGTATATTTCTTGAAAACTAATACTTAGAGGTGCTTGTAGATATCAGTCGAAAAAAATCTACTATGACGTGTGGTGCAAAACGCTGTTGAAGCCGATCGAGTCTCGCCCGTGTCGTATTTTTTTTTTTCAATTTTAATATCGATTTTTAAAACTATTTTTGCTAGTTGTCTGAATTACAATTTGTTTTCGAGAGCGAGAAGAGATGTAGGAGACAGTCGATAAGTGTTTCCCATGGCCGGCAGAAGCGAGCAAAGTGCCGTAAAGTGAGCAATTGTATAATTGGCGGGCAATCAGGTCGTCATCGCGTGCGTGGGAACGGCTCGCATAGTGCGCCGTCACCGCGAGCAAAGGACACCACGCCACATGGGAAAGCATTTTAATGGCCCGTTTGGAGGAAACTTTGTTGTTCTCATTGTTTTTAAGTGACGGAGGAGGCGCCTCCTCGCTCCGGATCAAGTGGAAACGGGCTCCTTCGCCTCGTTCGAATTAATCGAGGCAATTGTCGAACCGGGCGGCCTCTTCAAACGCGATTAACGGCGCGTCGCGTCTCGTAATGTTATTCACCGATTAATATGTCCTCGCCGCTCGGTTCGCGTCTCGCCGATGTGAATTATCCCATCGGCCGGTTCGCAACGCTTATTAGCAGTATCGCGGAAATCGGGATCGTCCGCGAGATTACTTTCCGGACTGCGAGCGATGGGTTCCATAATAGAAGGGCGGGGTCGACGACCGCTGGATATTGTTTGAGCGCAATCTAACCTCCTTATTACCGCACGACGCGGACGAGCACCTCATCGCGACCGCGGCGCTTATCGCAGATGAGTTACGATTAGGAAATTGGCGAGCGCGGCGAGTCGTCCGCTAATAAATTGGAGAGACGCGCGCGCCGTAATCGCCGACCGCCTCTCTGAGCGCCGCCGCACTCGCCGTTCTGTAAAGCTCATTGAAGCCGAACTGTTTCGGACCAAACTAACGTTATGAAACAAGATTTAATTTTATTGATTATAATGACTTATCTGACAGCGATTTGATCTCAGTTTTAATATAATATTTTTAATTTTTATTTTTACACAAGTAATTTTCATTTGTCTTACTATTTTTTAAAAAGCACTAGTAAAAATGCCACATTTTTCGTCGAAAATTCGAAAATTATCGACGACAGGACAAAAGTATGCTCCACCATATTAAAGAACTTATCGATAACTGCAAAAAAATTAAACATACGGATACGATACATACGTCTGGCGACCACCGTTGAGCCGTATCACTTATTAATTTATTATATTGATATGGCGCAATTCAAAGATAATTATCGAAATCTAAAGACAGTCAGCCTCCTCCGACTCGCGTGAGAGCGAACAACTTCTGTTACTTATTTCACAACCTCACGTGTTTAGGATAAGAAATATCTCCGAAAATTCATTTTATGTTTGATGATCTCCAAATTGAAATATGCCTAATTTTGTTCTAGTTGACGTCGACTTTTCTATTTCGAGCGTCAAGTGCTTTATGCCTCATCTGCCTTAGAGTAAAAGCTAAGAAGTCGCGACAGGGTTTCCCTTCCCCGCCAGTGGGGGCTCTAGCGGCGCACTGATTGAAACGTCCGGGATTACGCGGGACGCCGCAAAAAGCGCATGTCCGAAGGCAGATGTGGCGCGAGGCGCGTAAACAATCGTCGCCGTCTAATGCGCTTATAATGAGGCCCGGGCGCGTGCCTCATTTCCCATTTGCACGGCGGCGACGAGCCCAGAGCGACCAGGTGACCACCCGCAGTCTGCCACCCGGGATTCGACACCGCTGGGCTTGCTCGTTTTCTTGATGATCAGTTCCTGCAGCTGGACCTCGGGTCCGGTCTTACTCTTTGTTGGCACCGGCCAAATGCGTTGGGTAGACGAATTCATGGCTCTAGTGCGTGTTTCGACGAGTGTCTAAATACTCAAAGATAAACGTTTATCATAAAAATATTAGAAAAATCTTTACACGCAATGATTTTAGATAAATGTGTCGTTTTGTAGGCCCGATATAATGCAATTAGTGGCAAGTGCCAATCGTCGCGTGGTAGGCGCAAGCGCATCGAATTGGTTCTCAGAGGGCGAAGTGAATGCCCGCGAAGGCATATTAAAGCTTTACGCCTCTACGGATGTTTATTAATTTCGCTCTTCGATTGTCCAGAGTCATTATTTTGTTTTGCACGCTGCAGTGGACTAATAGCCGTGGACTGGAATCGGACATTACCCGAACGATAGCGAGAGCTTCTAGCTTAATATCGCCCTTGCGATTGCGTGTCACTCGATATTGTGGATAAATTGATAAAAAATTTCCCGCAGCCAGATGCGCCACGCGACGAATGAGGGACCGGAGGTGTATGGGGGAGGGGGGGTTGTGTTGGATTGACAGTGCGGTCAATTAGGGGACATTTAGGATGTTTATCCTGTTAACAGAACCCGTCTTTGAGTTTTAGGGTTGTCGCACACATTTCACTTTTGGTCTCGCCGCATTAATTTCCCTGTGGGCATACTTATAAGATAACCGTTTAATGAAATGAAATAGAAAAAATAATAATAACATATTATACGCAATAAAAATTAGGTACTGTAGTTTGCTCGTCAGTATATTTTTCAGTACTGAAAAGTAAACTAGTGGTAAGTAGGTAGGTAGGCACTCGGGTGCTATCTAATTTAAAGACTCTTATGTATGCGCAATTTATTTTAATTTTATTATTATCATGAACTGAGTCTGCCTCCCATCGCCACCCGATGACAGCCCTGGCACCCGCATGTCCATTCAAAGGTACGCAATTTAATTTCTGTCATCTGTGAATCGGGCCCGGCACACGGAGAGGCGCTAGCACTGGACAATGCCCCTTATTGCCTTCAGCGTAACGCCTCGTTTCGTCTAAAGGGCCGGTAACCCTTTGAGAGGATAGGGGTCCGAAAGCTATTTTTTATTATTTATCGAAGTGGCAATATGTTTATGAGTCGTGTTTCGCCCTCGAGATCTCGATAAGAGTAGAGGGTTCGATTCTCCCATTTTCTATTATGTTAAGCAATCGACTGGCGTAAGTACTCGCCTACAAATCGTTATCTCAATAACGACATTGAATTGCCTAACTGGTAATACTAGGGGATTTTCAAAATTCAATCCACTTATATAGGTACTTATGTGACAACACGTTACGCGCGGCAAAGTTGTGTTAGGAGAGAGGAGTATTAATTAGTGAGTCATATTAAACAGACTCGCCGTCGGATATCGTGACGCGAACAGGCGCAAATCGCGTGAGAACTATAATGGATGAATATAGTACGTTTACGTAAAGAGTTGCGCTCGCGCAGGCCACGGGGCGGGGCCAGCGCGGGGCGTGGCCGCGGAGCGATTGGTGGCATCGGCGTCCGCATGCAAATATCTCGGAGGATGCGAGAGCATTGTCTCAGGAAAAACACTCGTTCGCGGCGGAGGAGCAAAAACGCTCGCGACTTTTTACTCGAGATTTATGTCTCCCGGCGCGGGCGCTCCCGTTTTTGCCCGGGGTTTTTGCGCCCGCAAAAAGTCTGACCATACGCAGTGTTTATAAAAATACATTAGCCGGCGACTTAAATCTCTACTAAACGAATGAGCGAATCGACAAGAGCTCGGACGATTTATCGGAATCTCTTCCATAATCGGCTAACGCTCTCGTTCGACGAAAAACATTGTCTTCTATCTGCAGACGTGAAGACGTGTCGCCGATCAGAATAGCAAATCCGAGGGGGGGGGGGTCAGCGGCAGAGAGGCAATTGACGACGAGGCCATTACTTTAAAATCGCATTTACATTGAATGAGCCGGCGTCGAGATGCAGCTCTCAATTAAAATAAGGCAATAAATTAACAGATATGTGAGTACAATCGAGACGAGACCGGCTCGGACGATGGACATTTGGAATCGACACTTTTCTAAACGACCTACGCAAATACTGTGGCATTCTGGTAGAAACATTTAAGCTTTAGCAGATTATATTTAGCGGACTGCGTTCCCTTCTGTCTCACTGAGATCGAGATGTCGAGGAACTCATAGTAAGCCTTAAGGAATCAGATACGATGCGAGTGCTATGAACGATTTCTATGCGACGTACGGCCATTACAAAACATCGGATAGCGAAGGAAACGAAAGGTTCACAAGGTTTTATGGCGGAATAATTTAAATAACAAGCAAAGCGTTTCCTAGGAGCGCTGACCGGCATCAATCGCGCTGCCGGGCCAATTAAGCAGCGGCAGAGGGCGCTCATTACGGCCCGCATTAGATTCATTCCGAGTCCGCTATTCGCGTTGAATTATGCGCACGCGCAAAAACTAGTCGCGCATTTGAATGACGCTGCGTCGTCTCGTTAGTCGCGGCGCGCCCAATTTACAAATAAAACGCGGGGAACGTCCGCCGGACGACGAGCAAAAACTGACCGCTCTGTCCCCCCTCCAACCCCCCGCTGCATATGAATGGACTGCTTTTTGCGCTTTATTCCTGATGCTAAACTAAGCTGCTTTAAGAGCAGAGGGTACAGAATTTGGCCACGACTCAATACAGGTATATCTGACGCACTATTTGTTTGCAAAAGAATATTTAAATTTGGCTTAAAAAATGTACAATTCCAAACTTTTGGTTTGAAAATTAAATTGTATAAATATTAAGCGGGACTCTAATTTAAAAATCGATCCAGCTAAAATGAGGCTACAAAGCGTCTTTTTAGCGCCCGCGAGGAGCGTCTCGTCCTATTATGCAACGGGGTTTTTTGCGTCCGCCCTCTCCGCCGTCCGCTGCCGCCTCTCCCGGGCTTCGCTGTTCGGCGCTCGACGGCAAATTCGCGAGATTATTATCGGTGCATAATGCCATCCTTCTGTTATGACACAAAAAGCTGCAGCGAATCGACGACAGTGCAAACCGAGTCGGCCGTCGTTTATTCCGTACGAATTATAGAGCTAACTTCACCGAACATCCTTTTCTAACTACAATAAAAGTAAATACTGTCTATAGTTTACGCGAGTAGTACACATTTAAATAAAACACTTTAACGGTTTCAGACGCGATATGTTAGTTATAACAAATATATTATTTATTTAAATACAATAAAAGTAGGCAAAACCTAATTTAACTGCAAACTGGAAAGACAAGCATCGCTCACTCGACAAATGAGTGCCTCCCTACCTAAACGAATTAGCAAGTATCTAGCATTTTATTTGCATCTTTGCAAAAGCAACACCTGTTCCAGGCCAGGTATTTTGTTTGTGCAAGCCCAGAGGGACTTAGCGCCGCCGTTAGCTCCATAACTAACTATTTCGCCATCCTATTCCCAGTGGTCGTAACACCGTCTCGAGTATCATTTGTTTGCCTCCTCGACGTACCTTTGACCGCGGCCCGGGCCTCCGTTGTCCGAGTAACGGGACGCTTTTTGTGCCGCGTCGCCCCCTCGCTTCGTCGCGGCCGCTCTCGTATGTCAACGTATCACAACAAGCGATAGTGGGCAGATCTTACAATGTAACATTACGCCGAAACGATGCACCCACGAGAATACTAATTATGATAATGAATTACGCCGAAAGCGGGCGGTAATCTAGCAAGAATAGCAGTTAACGAGCTCTCGAGATATCGATAAAGCGGAGGAAGGGAACACGTGAATCCTCCACCGCGCCACAGTGGCACGCTCCAGTTAGCACGTCTAGTGGATTTATAGCTGTTGGTCTATAAGATAGGTGAGCTGGCTAGTGCATGCAAACAAACAGACACACCAATTGTAACAGTAATACGAGCATAAAATGTCATTTACCTCACGCTCACCTCGGTGTAGGGTTGTACCATATTTTATCGATCGCCCTATAATAAAAATATAGTTATAAGCAGCCGTGAAGTAAAAATCTTTAGCTTTCTTGGTGCAATACGTATTTTTTTACGTTGTTATCACCCCCTTCATAAGCATTTTATCTAAAACTGAAAACACTGACATTGTCTTCTACTTATTTTCCTATTGTCAGTTTTGCCGTATAATTCAGTATTAAAAAATATTAATTCCCTGCTGCACTGCAATATTACTCGTGTATATATGTCGACTATCGATATTCGCAGCTCGCGTAGGAACGCCACTAGCGCAGTAAAAACAGCCAGCCCGCTGCCAATTACAGTAGTTACGTTTTAAGCGCGAGAACTTTCTTCCATTTACATATTTATAGAAAAAGGGTGAAATTAAAGCCTCATGAATATGCGGCGCAAATGTCAAAGTTGAACAACACGGCTGCGCTTGCGTGTGCGCCACTCTGAGCCGCTCATTATGTTATTTTTGTACTCAAATGTTATTATTTATAGCCGGCTCGGCCGTCGCTCGCCACTTTCGTCGCGAGACTTATTCACTACCGCCGTCGACCTCCGAAGACGAGTCGATTTAGCTATTGTATGCCTGAGAGCGGGGCAGGGGAGGGGCCGGGGGGGTGTCCAGTAATGATACATTCGTAGTGAGGTGCGAGGTAATAATGAGTTATGTACGTGATCCAATTATTTGGGCGCGCGCTCATTACGCGCTAAGTGTGAAATATGGCCGGCGTTATTACGCCGCTGACTCTCGCCCCCCAGCGGGGAGACCTAGGGGCCGGGGATTCAGGGTGAGCCGAGAGTGGAAGGAGGGGGGGGCTGCAGCGTTGCAACTGCTACAGTAAATCATAATAATGTGAGTTGCAGAAAACGGAACGCGAAAGAAATTGGACAATTTTACTATAGAATGAAAATATAATGCTTTTCCGTGGAAAATTGTGTCGCATGTGTTGTGTTTCCGTTTACAAAACCTTCCCGAATGAACGATGCATTTTGTATTTATATACATTTCTCATATAAACGTATGCTAAAATAATAAGAATTAAAGTGCAAGTGTTAACCAAACGAGAGATATCGAATGTCGTTTTTGGAGTTGGCACTGGCAACCTCTGGCCGGAGGGAAATCAATCAATGTTTTTCACTTAAAGTTAGCCTACTTTTCGAGCCCATTAATTAGGAAGGCAGCCATAACGTATCGGAATTGAAATTTCAATATTAATTTGTAAGGAGGCCTCGTGACGCACAGGGCTGCCATCTAATGAATTGGAAGTTGTGTGGTGGAAAACTTTTTATTCATTTCCAACATAAGTATTTAGAAAAAAATCTGAAATATTAAGTAACATTCAAATGGATTTATAAGAAATACAGTACTGGAAATGTTTACGAAACTAAGTAGTACAAAAGAATTGCGTAAGTTATATCTTTTGAACTATGTAGCTCTCTGGTTGTGTCAAGAAACAGGAGGACTCCAGGTGGAATTCGGAGCTAGGCGAAGTTAGTTCTGAGTAGCCAAAAGAAGGTAGGTACGACAGCCCTGTACGTAGCGGGGCGGGGTCCGCGGGGTCGCACGCTGTTAGAATAAAACATTATTCATAAATAGGATATTGCGGCAGGTGCCACCACCGACACTCGACCCCCGGTCTCCACCGTACCCCACCCCCGCTACGCCTGCAGCCGCCCGCCCGCGGCCACGGAGCGACCCGCCCGCCCAGCGATCTATGCAATTTTGCAAAAGAAAATACTCTTACTCTTTTGTTTCCTCCACATCTACAAGTAAAATAATAGATAGACATTTTACTTCTAATCCCAGTAACATATTTAGAAGATGCAATTCTAAAACCTACAGACTCAAGTCATATACCTTATATTACGATGCGGCTGAGGCACAAAGTGTCGAACGTCGGTGTACTCTAATCTCGTTCGCATAACGTATTCATAGTTTTTGCCCCAATCCAATGAACGGTTCTAAGAACGAACGAGCACGGTGGGTGCCAACTGCCAATAAACATTCCCTCGCTCGTCAAAGAAGCCGCCTCGCCCAAAAATCGCGAAAAAACGGCTTCGCAACGGTTCGCATCGCTCGTTATTTATAGCTTATGCACCGCGTCGCGGTCCGTCACGCATCTAACACTTGTGCTCGCGAATCTTCAATTCACCTAGAAGCGCGGGCTCTGTGTTCGATCCGCGCGGACACTCGTCACTCGTCACTCGTCACTCGTTCTCAAAAACAAACCGATTAGTTTCTCACACACGCATTTAAGATATGCAATTCTATAAATCACAATGTACACGTTCATTTGCGGATTAATTGCTGCGGGGCGACGCGCGCCTTTAAAGGCGACCGCGTGGGCCGTGGGAACCCGAGCGACCTCCGCCTGCGACTCGGCCGCCGCGCGCGCCATACATCGCCGCTCCGCCTCTGCGTCTCTGCTTCGATGTAAGAAGCGACGAAGCCGCGTACCTCGTCGGGAGGCGGAGTCGCTCCCGGTACTCAGTACCGGCTTAATAAAATGTGACGTACCGCGCTTTGGTTTATGCATCGTTTAACGAAAAATAATTAAGCCCTGCCGTGACCGGAGAGTTCTGAATACATTGACGCATTGACATTCACAACGTCGAAAATGTATAGGTACCTACTAATATTATAAAGCTGAGGTGTTTGTTTGTTTGGTCGCGTTAATCTCCGTGTAGTACTGAGTTTAACTAAACTAAACTAAAATTCGAAAAGTTCGGTTCGAATTGAAAAATATTTTTGTATTGGTTTAAGCATTTTCAATGAAGGCTATAAAAAGATTACACTACAAGAAACAGTGGGAAATGTCGTAAAAACGGGTAAAATTATTCATCTTCGAGGATTTCCGTGCCCTGCGAAAATGGGTAAAGATGCCCAAAAAATATGTCACTATGAAAATTGAATCCTCTTTAAACGGTCTCAAAAAAAAGTACGAGACAGTAGGTATATGTCTATATTTTAGCTTGAAAGAGCGGTGTCGTAAGAGAGGGTAAGAGCGAGGAGGAGGTTTGCAAAAACAAAACTATTCTACGCGGACGAAGTCGCGACCACAACTAGTGGTGATACATTTTCTAGATAAGTCAATCAAATAGTAAAGTCCGACCAAAGATTGGCCAATAGGTAGTTCTAACAATACCGCTAGATGGCTCTGTTTAATTTTATCGCTTTAATTTATTAAAAATAGAACTTGTACGACTTAAAAAAATATCATTTAATATTGGTATTTTAACAATAATATAATAATAATTAAATATTAAAATTATTATAAATATTAAATAACCGAAAATGTTGTCATTGTCAAATCGTAGGCTTCAAAATATGTTAGCTGTCAAATGTATCCCGCGGAAATTAAGAATATTTAAGTTTCAGGTTATAAATCTATAAGTTTCCATTTAAATAATGTTTATTTTTAATTCCGCTATAAAAATAAACATTTTAAAGACATTAACGATTAAAGTGACTAGTGAACATAATCAGAGTATGACGTACTACGGTGTGAGAGAAACTTGGTGTAATGAATAGTGCCAATGCATTTATCAAGTTCAGTTAAAAAGCCTTCAGAAACAATACAGCCCTTTGTTATGCAGATCTGGTAAGTGCTATTTTAATTTCCGTTAGTGTTTGTTCTCTCACAGTTGACATATAAGATATAGAGGTCAATTGATCGATCGATTATATTGCAAAGATCGTTTAATAGATTAATAATACGCGTACCCCTCTGGCCGATTCACACAAGGTAATAAGCCCAAATGATCTAATTCTTGCGATGCGATGCTGCATAACGTATTTTTAAAACCCGTTTTTTGGATTAAGCGTTAACTTGGCTTTCGTTTGACCGCGTGACGGTTAGAGCAGTTTTAATATCGAGTCTACCTCCTCCGGTAAGGAAATACTCGGTCCAAAAGACTCTGAAAACTGGCACGGACTTGACACTTTTACGTAATTTAAAATTTTGCTTACCAATTTAACTATAACTATAATTGTATAGTATTATTTTCTTTTATTTGATTTAAACTCACACCGCCTCTTAGTATTAGACAAATTCTAATATTTCAAGTTTCTTTGAAAAACTATGTTATCTGACAGCCGTGTTATCTTATATCTAAAACCACTTTATTTTTATTTTTCCTATTGTATGTTTTTCTTCTTCTTCTTGTTTTTTTTTATTTTATTCGTAATCTATACATGTATTTGTTTATAATGAACAGCATTTTTTTTATTTAAATGACTTGACTAAAAGGCGACGACGTTAAAAAATTGTAGGGTAAGGACGAGTTTTCGTAAAAAAGGAACTAATACTGTCCCGGAAACATCGCATGAAAAACGTATTTAACCAATTAACAATTAAGGACTCGTCGGCGGATAGACATAGGCGCTAACAGGCCATTACGAATCTCTATGTCTAATGAACTTTCTCATCGAACAGCGTCCACGAAGAACGCAATTGTAATCAGGTCTGTACCATTCAAGGTTGCCTCTCCTCGTCAACTGTTAATTAAAATACTCGCCTCGGAAGAACTCGTCGGGCGAGCCCTTTCACTCATTAATCGTTTACCCTTCCATCCAGAAGTCGTCACTTCTCAAAATTTTACTCTTTTTAAACTTCCAATAAAGAATCCCCGGAATCGACGGCGAAGTTAAACGGTACAGCCCTAGAAGGCCGAGGGCCGCGTTGGCGCCGCAGCCGATAGATATGATTGACAGACGCTGAAAAAACGCATAATTCATTAGGAGGCACTTAGTCAATGCTGTTCGATAGCGTCGGACGGGGAATGTCGCCTCTCGATAGTTCCACTCGCAAAAACGCAAAGGATTCAGGGAACGATGCGAACGAATTATTCACTTTGTAGTTAGGTGCGTCCGGCGGTTACCCGATAGTGAGATTCAAAAGTAACCCTCGCTCACTAAAGTCAACGGGTCAGCGGCGATAAATGTTGGACTTCACCTACAAAATCTAGATTTTAAATGGACGGTTATCGAAAGTCCATCCAGGTCACGAACCACCATCGAAGGATAAAAAAGGCGCGTTTCTTCGCGTTCTGCTTTGCCATTGATTGCATTCCGAACTTCCAAATGTAATATGGCGAGGGGATTTTACCGTCCATCGCGTGATCCATAGGCTCGTCTCTCCTCCAAAGTCTGGGGAGGTCAAACAAAGCTCGTTTTAGCATTTGCGTTTAGGCTAAAATGTCTATGAAACCTTTGTAATAACTTTCGTATGCAAGTTTATCTACGTGGATAGTTGACTCCTTTAGATTGACTATTTTCGATACTTGAATTATTGTCTTATAATAATATTGCCACAGCAATAATCGTAAAATAGTTTGCACTTGACTATTTATTTTACTCCCTTATAACCCTATTTCGAGCGTATTTCTCGCAAATGAAAACATTGAAGCAAGGTCATCTTCTGTTCTCTGCCCTAATAACACGAAGATATTATAAGACAAGAACGACAGGCCCCGGGGAGTAGGTTCAAGTCGTGATTGATGATGAAAGTGTTTTAGGCATCTAAAACATGGTCTCAGGTTACCGTAAACGATATCTCAGCAATATGGATATGGCAATACCTACTCACTGTTCGGTCGACACCGACCGACCGACACAGCTAAATCGCAGGAAGTCGTTTATTATATTTCTAAATAAAATATTTTATACGGTTGACTTTCTGAGTTTGAGAGAAGTGAAATATAATCAGGTGACACACTCTTATTGATCTGGATCTTGCTTAGAAATGATCCAGCTATCTGAGTGCGGAGCTAGTGAAATCGCTTTAGGAATGATATAAGGCATTATATTTGCTAATAATAATACATTCAGAGAGAGAAAGTCTTATCGGTATGGCGCGGCAAAGCGCGCTTTTTGTCCAGATTGCTGCGTGCGATTTTCCCAGACATTCTGAGCCGAGTGGGCTCTCCTTTTAGGGTGCGCAACAATTGCAGATCGATAACAAATTTTCGGTCCGAAGAAGCCCTTTGGGCGTTTTCGCGTGAAGAGTGATCTTTCTAGGCTTTCTTTACTAAATGCCTTTACGTTTGTCACGGTTCAGTGACAGGTCTCAGCAAATTTTCTCACCGAATCGAATCGAATCGATATCAAATATACATACTAAAAAACCTTCACTTTGAAATATCCAACCCGAATGTGTGGATCGATTATACCTTTATTAATAAGAGCGGCGCTATGCGACGAGGAGACGAAGCGGGGGCCCAGAGACACCGGGACGCGGCAGGAACGCTCTCTCGGCGGAGAAAAAACTCAATGTGATCGTCGCTGCTTTTGGTTTAATTGCGCTCAATTCGTCCGGCGATTGCGGCGTGTGAATGAAGAGCTGAGGCACGCGGGCAGGGGGAAGGGGATCAGGGCTGCCCACGATCTGCACCGAGCGGACGCTTCTGGACAAAAGGAATACGACCGCTTTGCGATGTCGGCTGCTGCCTGGATGGCGAACCGCGCGAGGTGGAGGCCGACTACTGTCGAACGCGTCGTCGTACGGGACGTCTTTTCCGCCGAGAAGTCGGTTAGAGTAGAGGCGCGCCGGAGGCAGCCCTGCTCTGAAGATCTCGGCTCGTTTGAATGCAGTTTTTAGCTCGCGTTCAGATGCAAAGGCGAACACGTCTTCGGCGGAATATTCAATGGCGGAGTTTTTGGCAGTTTTGAATAAATGAAATATTGATGCGCGCGCGATGCGACTCTACATCATCTAAACGTTTCGGGTTTTTGCGCTCAGTTTCGGCGAAGCGACATCTGCGAGATGATTGCGTAATGAATTGAAATCGATGTGGCCTCGCGCCTATGCGAAGATCATAGAACGAGCTCGAGCTTGGGCGAAGGCGCGACGGGATCTCACGGAGACGCGGGCAAAAAGCGTCGTCCCGATGAGCCGAGCGGAGATAGCGCTGCGTGCATACAGATCGCGCGCGATCTTCGCGGACAAAAAACCCGAGCATCGCAATCGAGGAAATGCCTCCGCCGCGATTACCCACCTCTTGCAGCGAATCCTACCGGCCGATTGAGATTCGCCGACCGCCGACCCGACGACGCCGTTCGGACAGAAATGTCTGTGCCCGTTCAGCGACGCGAAATGTCATTTCATTTTAATGATAAATCTCGCTGCGCACTGCGGGAGCGCCGCGACAACGAGAGATGTCTTCATTCATATTTAAACACTGTTGCGTTCCTACCCTACCTACCGCGCCCTGCGAAGGTAGTTAATTCGAAGCTTTGCGCGCGCCTACTGATCGCATAAAATGTCTAATCGCGAAACTGACGCACTTTTCGATACCTCGAGAGTCGAGTCCGAGACCGAGTTAATATTAATAAAAGTGAAAACTATTAATTGATAAAACCGACGGAGGCGGTGCCATAAACTATCCGATCGTGGATGTTCGTAGAAATAATATTTGTAGACGATGCAGCGGCCTCTCGCCAAATGGCTCCGTGCCTTCGGAAGGGTCTTAAGTTTGCAGCGTTAAGGTCCACTTAGAGGGGAACGCGAGCGGGGCTGCTCTGCGCGAGGATCGCCTTCTCACGCGCCGGTGAAGTATTGTAATTGCGCGGCCGAAGCATCGCTGCGTCATAAAGATTAAGTTGAACTAATGTCTAGTGCGGCCGGCGAGCACCTGTTTATGTTATGATGTTATGGTGATACAGATTAAACATAAAAAGTTCCTTCATTAAAATTATGTAGAAATGTTTGTTAGAATGTTAAAATTCTTCATTAGAAAAACGGTAGGTACGGCATGTTGACAAATATTTTGTTAAAGTAAACTAAAATACGATAAACTGTTGCAATTATATCAATAAAAAGACACATTTCACTTACTACTTTCGGTAATTACAAGAATATAGGTAAAATATTCAAATGCACGAGAATAGGCTGAGAGTGGCGCAAAAGGAAACTCGTGTAATAAATACCCATTTACCATTTACTTAGTTACGTAGCGGCACCGATTGGCATCACTTATATCGATGCTGTGCAAACGCAACTTGTCTAAACGATTTACTTCCGTAAGTAGGTCCATTGTTCTCTATTGGAGGACCTGGACGGTACCCTCTACTATTATTAGGCATGGTAGAGGTCCTAGCAATGATAGATGTATGAATTTAGCGAGAGAACGCGTCTTCAGCGGCTAATTTCCAAAGGACGTAAGTGCGACAGGATGTAAGTACGCGATCATAAAAATACCTTCAGGCAATATCGCGTTCCCACGCTGTGACACAGCTTCTAGAGAAATCATTATTATTCCGACATTAACATAACTATTACATATCGTGTCCTTTTTAACTAATAAAGTCAGATAGGTATATATAGGTAGTAGATAGGATTAGGGATTCCATTGCATTAGGTACGTCGAGAAATATTGCCCTCGACTAATGACCACATTTCATTGCCTAATTTTTATTACGCAGCTGAAAAATCGGATCGCATTATTAGGTGCTTTGCATTGCTATCTACTGACATATTATGTCTCTAGGAGTCGTCGACGCATACTTAACATACCGTTTGTTTAACTCTTTACAATCGAAATCAAATAAAAGTAACCTTCGACTGTGGAGTATTTGAATTGACGAACGGAAAGCACTTCATCGATAAGCGAGCCTGGCATTGCGAAAGAGTCGAGGTCGAATATCGTCGTGATTCGGGTCGAAGCCGGGAACCGGTGAAGGGATTCGCCGACACTGTCTCCGCACTCTATCATTTGAGGAGGTAACCCGGCATTAGTATTGCACAACCGATATTGAGTCTCATTTGAAGCGATTTTATTTATACCGGCCGCAGCGAGCGAGCATTCATTAATATTGTAATGAGCTCCACGAAGAATAGCCTCCGCACTGCTGGGCCGCGACCGTCCGCGTTCGAGGCCGACGTCGCGCCCCGACCGAGGGCCGGCGTCCTCGGGCGCCAAGAGAGCCGGCGATGTACGGCGAGCTCGCATCGCGCGTCGAGCCTTCGCGGCGCAGAGCGAAGACGCGTCTCGGCGGGCAGTAATTTGTGTAGTTAGAGATAATGGGAGCGGTCGCGGCTGCAATTATTTACGTGCGGCCGGTTCATTTGCGTATCGGTGCGTCCTCGTCACTCGGGCCCAAATAACACGTCGGCGCACCTCGCCCTCGCCATATCCCACATTCTTCATTAACTATCGGATGGCGGATAGGATAATCGCCCGTCCTTATTTATGAAGGTTCGCCGCAGATTAATGCGATCAAAGATGCACTCGGCGAGCGATCGCCTTCGCCGAGAGGACCCCGAACACATCGTGTCTGAACTTCGGGCGAATCTCCTCTGCGCGGCACATTGTGCACGTGCACGACGGAAAAGGCGGGTGCGGTGGAGAGCAATTTGAAAATAAATAAGCGGTAGAGATCGATAGCCGCGTTGCACAAACCACACATCGGCGCGATCGCAGGAACGGCTCGGCTCTCGATTGGATTGAAATTAGTTTAATCACAATAAAGCACCCGAGACTTGAGCACGCGCACCCGTGGAATTATGGTAATGCCGGCTTCGCTTAATCGTAGTCGCGCAACGTGGCACCGATTACTCCGCACCGCTTCCACTGCCTAACTATCTCTCGATGTACTTTTGAGTTCTTTGCATTATTTTACGTAATATGTGCATTCAGTAGGAATTTCACATGAGCTTAGCCCGGAGGTCGTCAACGCGACGATGACATATCGCAGACTATAAAACTTATTTTACTATTTAAAAATGAACTATAGAGTTTAATTGAAATATGGGGATATACGGAAGCGAGCTATATCTTCGTGGTTCAATTGCGTTGTTTGGGCTGGAGGTAGCAATTTGTTGAAGGGTCGGTGGAAGATGAAGGACAGATCGGCGATTACGGTGCTCGCTGCGCGATGCCCGTAATCGCCTAATCACAACTCTCGGCCTCCCCGAGCTTAGCTTTCGCCTCCAGCGTACTCGCTATTATTTCATTTCGTAACAATACATTTTATTCAATAATGCCCGACCGTTTCCTCTGTTTGTTTTGACTTAAGGCGTGCAGCAAAAACCGGTGAGATTTCACACACGCATTTCCAAAGAAAACAAAAACCGTACGTTTCATATTAATCGTGTAATTCTCTAAAAGCGATGCCTTTTATAGGTTTATTTAAGTTAATGACGAGAAACGTTGCCTTTTATATTTATTTTAACGAACGTCACGCGCGATTTGTCACAAAATCGATAAAATATTTATTGATTTGAAATTCCATTAACAATATCCGTCGCTTTTTTGCAAGATTATAGGAGGCAAGTGCAATTTCATATTTATGTTTGAATCGTTTTAATCGTCATCGCTCTCGAACCGAGATATCGATGTCGGTAATGAGAATGTCGCGTCACATAATTGAGCTTCGTAAAAACGTATGTACGAAATGTTCCCGAAACGTGTAAAAATCGTTAGAATGCGAGTCGTCGGAATCGTCGAATAAATTAGTAATATATCGGACGGTGGTGGTTGAAGAGGGAACAAAACACGTCCCGGCGACCACCGGCTTCGCGATTCCTTCCCGGTACGAGCGCGGGTGGCCCTCTCGGTGTGCGCCCGCGACTCGCTAAATGCTATCTCGGCCCGCAGATTGCGCTTAGCCGCTAGATGGGTTTTATATGCGCACGGATAAAGGAATATACCCAATGCGAAAGCCCTTCTCCGCGACGCTACGTCGCAATTATAAATATTTCCATAACGATGGGTCGCATCGGCCGCAGCTGCGTTCGGGCACAAAAAGCGGCCGGAATCCTAATTCATCGACGTTCGGAAAGGTAACGCAGCGATCGCGTCCGAACGGCGAATTCACTCGTACGGCTGAGATGTTCGGCTTCGGCGACCGAAATTTTATTCCCAGTCCCTTGCATTGCAAAAATGATAATTTTGAATAGTGGTTGCACGCCGAACTCTATAAAGAAACAATATGATAATTTTGAACTACTTAATACCTTTAAATATGTTTGTTCGTAAAATAATTTCAAACATGCAAAGGCCAAGAAGCCGATAGTGTGACCCGCTTACACAGCGTACATAACTAAATTATTGCTAACATTTAATTAATTCATTTAGCCGTGATTAGTAAAAGTGGGTTATTCTATTGAGAGTTTTTACTGCAGTCGCATAATGAGCCGTTCTAAGAGAATTAAGTTATGCCCCGATTTGTGTTGCAGTTCGTAACGCGAATTATGAAGCTAATAGAATTTAGCGAAGTGCGCCAATTACTTTGTATCGTGTGAGATGACTTCGAAATGCTGAAAGGAAATGCCACAGAGCGGGATCAAAGGCGATAACTAAGCGGTCTACAGTGTAAGCAAATTCAAAGTGACCTCCAAGACTTTGCACCTGCTCAAAACGCGTGACATTTCTGTATGTTTGCATTAAAAGACTCTCTTATTAAGTAATTGCTTGCTACTGATTTGAAAAAATAATTAAAAAAACGGAAAACGTACTAATTTAAGTAAATAAACATAATCGTTCTTTTAGATGAACTTCTTTTTTTATTTGTAAAGCTGCAATTAGCTGTCGCGTAGTACTGACACCCGATACATAAATTTAAGCAAAAAAAAAAGGGATTTAGTAATTCACGCTCGGAAAATCATAGTACATCTATTAGGATTAAAGTGGGAGAGACGCCATACCTCTGAAAAATCTGTCTATATACCGATATGGCATCGCTCCCTCATCTTGAGGAGAGACGCCAATCTTTGCAAATATTGTAAATGTTAAAGTGTGAATATAAAATATAAGGGATCTTCTGCTTTAAATTTATTGTCGAGTGAAGTGGAGTGAAGAGAATTTAATTCTGGCTATTGAAAAAGTAAAAAACGAGAAATATCGAAAACGACGTTCAAAAGTTTTATGAAATACCAATTCGTACCTCGAGTCGTCTTATGACTGATAATACCAAGAAGTGTAGAAAATTTGTTTTTTATTTAAGAACTTTTTTGAAATGATATGATAGCTAAAGTAAGCGGTTCTATTAACTTATATTCCAGCATCACTTGGAACTTATACGGATTGGCTTCTTATTTTATAACTCATAATATATAGGATTAACGGCGATTGAAGATAATAACATGTGTGTGTAAACAGTAAAAATAGTTACTGGATTAAGACGTGTTTCTCGTGCCATTAAGGGCTACATGAGTCATATACCATTTCCGCTTCAAATTGTAAAGATCGTGATAAAGAAATGATTCGTAAAAGATCCAAAAAGGGTAGATCAAAATAAGGCAACTCTCCCATAAGTTGTGGATGAGATGGTCCACTGTCGACTAGAAATTATTATTATTTATTTATTCTTGTATTAAGTTTATAACGAGTTCATTGCAACGTAAAGATGAAATGTTTGTGTATATTTTAAATAAGAAATAAAATGGTTGATTTAAATTGCATTTACAATTTTTTCCAAATTTTTACGAAAAATATGGCCTCTTTCTCACTTTTGCCCTAAAAAAAATTGTTTCTCTCGTAGGTAAATTTAATAAACGCTTCGCCGACGCAACCTTTTAATTTCGACGCAATTGGGGATGCGGGAACCCCGCAGCTCGATCAACAAATGGTCGTCTTCGAAGGGGTAACGACGCGTGACAACTTCCATAAACAAAACATAACTCGTATAATTAGCGGCAATTTAAAGTCGATGTGTGTTAAGGGAATTACGGTGAATTCAATTGTCAGGCATTAGTCGATGTTATCGGTTCGAGGCGCACTCACCACCGAAACGATACTTGCGTGATATAATTAATACAATGGGACGATAGAGAATCGAACGTATTTTTTCCTCCCCGTTCATGGTTTGAGTCGTGTCTGTTGTAAAATCTATTGACGGTATTTGACCGTCGCTTATCTTCTTGCATCGAGCTCTCAAAACTAATTAAAAGTACTCGATAATCATAGCTAGGCTACAGCGGTGGAGCTCCGTCCTAGCGATTCGATAGGGGCGACGCAGTGACATCGATATCAATTGTAATCGTTAAATGATCTTCCGTCGGCCTGCGACGCATCCGAAACCACGCCGACGACGTTAAACCGGCGATCGCTACGTTTCTTAGATAATTACAATCATTAGAATTGAAAATGGATAAAGAAAGACACGGGATGCGGACTCAATTAACGCACGGACTAAAAACTAGTAGAGTACCTACCCCGACAACATATCCGAGTGCGTCGACTCTACGAATGAATAATAAGCAGCGGATCGGCGCAGAATCACATTTGCATACAATAATCGAATCCTACGCAGAATCCGCCTCGAGAAAATCGCAGAGTCGACCAATCGGATGCTAGAATTTAAAACTATGAACGCGGTACGGGCGAATAAGATGCGCGAGCGCCGCCTTCGAGTCACGCCTCCGGCCCCGCTCAGCCTTCTATCATAGGCACAAGCGGCCCAGCGAAGCCTCCCTCGCTAGACTCGCGATTCTAGCCGTGGGCCATTCTCACTGCGAATCGCCTTATCGCTTCCATCTCGCCTTATAGGGCCTTCTAAATATGCGTCTCAAAATATACAATTCGAATTTCAATCGAGTTGACTTTTTCTGATAAATCCCGCGCATTTATAACACGTTGATAATCACGCTGAGAGTATTTCATCTGCTCATGTCTACGATATAAACGACAGTTTAATTTAATGTAAATCCCGCACTCCATTTGACAGAAGGTATCCTTACCTACTTACTTCTGAATACAAATACAAATACAAATTCTTTATTCACCAAAACTGTGTTCATTTAATGATAGGATATGCTAGCCCTCACACCAGGATTCCTTGTATCGTGGGCGGCTAGACTCTTCCGGTGCATTTCGAGAATACAATGAAAAACTTAGTATCTACTCATAAAGTTATTATATGCTAAGTATTTAAACAATAACGAAATTAAACTTAAAAATATAGAAATCATTTTTGTCATACAATTACATTAATACAGTTTTCTGTTGGAGTATAATTCAAGTTTAGAAGAAACACTTTAATTATATAATTATATTTTAATTAATAAATAAGTTAAGGAGGCAAAAAAGGAAGAGGTGTGTTTGAGCGGAGTGTGGAATTGGACTTTTCGTTGTGTTAAAGATGTTTGTTTGGATGTTTTAGAATTTGATGGCATTTTGATTTGGCGACGGCAAGTTCATATAATATACAGTTGCCTGACTGTCAGGAGATTACATTCTTTGTATAATTTTGAAGTTGGATGCCGAAACGGTTTTCTAAGGGAAATCTTTAGGATGGAACGCTGTGCCCGTTCTTTTCTGCTTATTTGATTTCGCACTCCTCTAATGCTTCATTTAAAAATAAATTGAAAGGATTCGATAGGTACTTCCTCGTCCATCGTCCGTCCAATTTTTTTTTCTCGTTTGTGTTATTTAGTTTGCTTTTTTTCTTTATTATAAACTGTGATCATTTCATGTAATTTTACATCGATATTTTGTTTTTAATATTTTTTACAACGGATCCGTTTGTTTTCCTATCGATAAATAAATAAATAAGTTATGCGTCTTGATAACGGGAGCGGTCGTTTAGCGGATGCCACAACATCGTACTGGCTTTTGTATAGGACGCAATTTGAACCCTAGAAGCGTCGACCCGGGTCGGCTCGGCGTGAAACCGATCGCGCGCCTTATACGAGCCGACAGCTAAGCGCCAGCTCCTTACCGGGCGGGAAAGCGATGGAGCCCAGGGCGTGCCGATTCTACCGACGCCGCGTCACGTCGATCAGCTAATTGCCGATGCGACGGACAAACAAGTGTACATTGCGCGCAGACCTAAGCCACTGAAAATAGCTCATATATCACATTTCACAGTTTCAATTGACCGCCATCGACTCTCTTTCGTGTATCTTGCGTTTTTACACCGCTATCTGAACAAATAAAGGCTTGTTAAACGTTCTGCGATATGTGAAATGCGAGTTTTTCTCTAGGTTCTCCGGGCCACAAACCGCATACATTAAAACGAATTTAACGTGAAGAGGAGCAATTTGGCGCGATAAGAGCGTAACGAAGGTGCCAACAAAAAGGTTCCCCGTTCAGGGCGCAAACGATTAGCATGGAATCATAAACGACGATCAAAGCGGCTAATTGGGTTCACCCCTCGTGCGCCGTGGCCCAGGTGGCCATTCGAATGCTAATTCCTATGTTAATGGCGATCGACGGCCGCTAATGGAGCATTTCAATATGGTAATCGAAGCAAAACGTAGCGCATGCAAATCGATCTTCATTTGTTTCAATTGCTCGCCTCGCTCACCCCTCATTAGCGATTTTCCGAAGGCCGGTGACGAGATTCATTGGGAGCGATGTAATAGCGGTCTCAACTAATACGACTTCTAACACGACAACAAGTTGAAAATCCTTCGACACCGACATGGAGTGTGTCACTATTTCAATTTTACACTCGTAAAAAGAGACTCTTCTATGATATCTGCAAAAGACCTTATCTTAAACAAAAAGTAACAGAAGTAGAGGTAATCAACTCAGGTAGAGAAAGTGTTTTATAAAATGTATGTCATCTGGTCTATGTGCAATATGATTATGTAAATTGTACCTCATGTATATTAATAGTAGCAATAAATAGTATTTGATACAATCGGGGAAAGTCTACGTTTACAAAAATAATGGTTATCGATCCCAAAAGACGAACCGAGATGTTATGTAACTTCAATAAGGATAAATATACCTACACATCCAAAAAGAATAACTTGATAAAGTATCTACGATGAAATAGGATGAGTTTAAGATTGTAGGTACAATTAGAATGTATGTTTTATTTGCTTTCTTTACAAAGCTTACTCGTTAGACACACAACTAAAGTACTCACGTCGCAACTACTCGTAAGTAGATGACGACGTTAATAAAATGTTCTAAATATGGCAGCGTTTTCTTAAAAGTGATAGTCGTTTGATTGTGAAAAATTAAGTTTTGAAGTCAGATTATTGGATGCAGTTGGGGAATTGGCGAAGAGTGCGAAGAAACGATAAGTGATTGGAGATATGGGCGCACCCTTTGATAGCTGAATACTGAGGAATCGGGTGTGGCGATATCGGGACTCTCGCGCGTACGTGCTAAATTAAACTAATTAACAGTAGAGGTGCTCCCACTGCGCGTATGTTCTGACTTTCAGTATTATCGCTTATTGTACTGAAAGCTAAGCCTTTCATTCGTAGCGTAGACGGCGAGAGTACATTTTCGCTCGCGGCCTTTCTTGTTATTCGCGATGTAAATGCGCTATCGCTAAACAAACACGCCCGGTATCCGTTCGTGTGCCGAATGTGGGTCACGCACACTCGTGCGCAGCTAACAGGTGTGACCCGTCAGGTGCCGCACCCCTTTTCACCGTCTACCTATTCAAATCGGACACGCCGTGCGGTGCGACAGATAAAATCAGATTCATCATCACCTATATGAATCGGATTTCATCGAAGACGTAATTAGATAAATCTCGCGTCTCTCGTCCCTTTTGCGGAAACTTTACGACAATCGAGCAGCTATTCTATAGATAATGTTTTTGCATCCGTCCACCGCCTACCTTCTTGCCGTGTGCCCGCGCATCGTCGTCGCGTATCTGACGAGTTGTTACAGATTTACTCGCAATAATTTCCGATGGAAACGGATCAGAAAAGTACCGCCGACGAAATATGGCTCGTTTCGACCCTGAACGGGCGGGAGTTCGGTAAAAAGAGCTAAGCAGAAACTGGGCAAGAACCGTCCGGAAATATCGAATCAATTATCACATACTAAGTGAGGCCGGCGTGCCGGTCGCCCAACATTGCTGCAAAAAGCGGACCGTTGTCGTACGAGACGCGCCCATTGTTTCATTAATATTGCTGCTTTATAATGTTATTCGATTCATGAGAACGAAGGCTTTTTTCATCGCAGGGCGTCCTTCCTATAACTTGCTACCCTTTGCCATTTCAGATACCGAACGTTTCCAATTGAACGTAGTGTTTAGTTTCGGCGCGAGAGACAATCGAAACATTATTTTTACTTAATTATGCTTATTCGTATTTATAAAGTACCAAGTTTCTGGTCCACTGGAAATGTGCACAAAGAGAAAAATAAAATCTTCCTATCTTTAAAAAACTTCGCTTTTAGTCTTACTTTTGTAATTTGTTAGATTTTCTTGCGAACTTCCGTGACGTGTAATCTATGCATTGATATTAATATACATATTAATCATAGTTTTTGTAGAATTTACGATAAATCGGGATATTAGTAGGTAGTGACCGATGCGAAAGGTGTTCTTGTAATACTTGAATCATCTTTGATTGAATTTGATTTTAACCATCTTTAGTTGAAAGTGAACTCTTTATTCGCTTAAAATAAGCATATAATATGTACTTTTAAACTTAGAATCGGGTATTCATAACCCCTTTTAATTTAAATAAAACCATTTTAGACGCCGTCGTCAATAATTAGGTATATATATCATTCCTCAGGAAGACGCACCAAGGCGGCGATTGTCTCACGAAATGACGCTCTAAAAGCGCTCAGTCACTGTTATTTGCGAAAAACGGTTCTTTGTCAAATTGACTACTTTAAGCTTAGCCATACCTGACTCAAGTCCATGTCCGCGCCCAACCGAACCACCGAAGAGGCCGAAGTGTCGCAGATCTCGCGCGGAGCCCACGCGTAAAGTACTCACTTAGTCACTCCTCGGTCGCCACTAACCGGACATCTTAACCGACCGCTCTATCGCAGATTATCGCCTTTATCAATTACGTTTGCCTTATTACACATTCCAATAAAGCGTCACGGGTCTTACCGCGAAATGTCTTTCGCCGGCGAAACATTAACTCGACACTAAACTTAACGCCGAAGTGGATGTTTTTCACGCTGCTTCCGCAATATTTTTGGCAAATGTGTATTCTTGTTTATTATAATTGTTTTCTCTCAAGATCGATTCGATTGAAGAAAATCAGAATCCCAATTGCGCATCGGTTGCACTTACTTTCTTATTAACTTTCCCAATGATTGCATCAGCTAAGATTAGCGAAATAAGTATATCCATAAATGAGGGTTAGATTATGCAAATTGCGAAATAATCATTATTTTTAGTCTCCTGATAAAATATATTTTGGCGATTAGATATAGCTCTTCTTTCCCGTCGGGTGTATAGTTAATTTGGGCTCAGTCAAGTTTCGGCGCAGACGTAACAAAATCGTGCGGCCAAACTATGCAAATGTTTCTGTGATATGGATAATGTTGGATTTCGTCTAGAAAATGTGGAACCTAAATAGGCGGTAGGAATCCTAGATGTCCATACGGATCACCTCCCGCTAGTGAAAAAGGCGAAGACTTTAATAGCGTTTCGCTTTCAGTCTGTGCATTTTTGAAGAACCAAGTCAAAATAGGTCGTCGGCGCAACTTGTTCACATGTTAAATAGCCATCGTATTCCACTTCCATTAAGTGAACCCCGGGCATGTCTATCTTCTTCTTATTCTTATTTTTATATTTTTCTCAAACATGCTTGGAAATGTGATCATTATTTACACCTTCTTCGAGATAAATCGAATGTTCTGTAATGTTAGAGTAAAAATCCAGCTGTCGCGTTTAGCGGCCAAATAAGTTATTATGTATATTTGACGTATCTTCTACTACGCAACATGGCGACCAAAGAGGAAACTTAACGAAGGTTTAATTTGAAACTTTAAACTAGCTGGCACAGAGTGTGCGAGTGAAAAAAAAATTCTTACTTCTTTTTCTTACTTACTTAAATTCCGTGAATTTTTTGACAAAACTGTTTTACGAGCCTTGGCCGCAACTAGGCATCGATGGACATACGTATGTGCGTATGTGTATTTACCTCATTCATAATTTTGTCGATAACTAGCTATAAGCGATGGCAGTTTCAATCCGAGAGTGTTCGTGCCCTAATATACTAAGTCGGTGTTGACTTAGACGATAAACAGTCGATAGTGTGAAAGTTATCGTGGGCAAATAGCTCGACTGTTTGCCGATATCGACAACTGTGCCGCAAATTATCATAATTTCATCACGTTTGATATACATCCGATATTCGAGAGCAGGCCGCAGATTTCAGACACAATTTTTTAGCGCCTTTACACGGTTCACTCTTAAATAGAAATGACACGGAGATTAGGCTGCGGTAGTCTTTTTTGCATAATTATTTGAGCAAGTTAGCTTTTTTCCACATCTAATTTGTACCTCACAGTTTTTGAATTTACGAAGGCCTGGCGTCATATCGATAAATAGGGATATAAGTTAAAAAAGTGCGAAAACAAAAGCGAACTCAGAAATGTTCGCGATTTCAGCGATACTTTAGTTCAGACTCCAGTGGTTACTTATGTATTTCGTTTAACTAAAACGGTGAAAACAAATTAACGAGGCGCGACCGCTGTTAATCAAATAGTGTGGAGTGTTGAGATTAAAATAGGTGTCTCGAGTGGTGCTATTGTCCCAAACGACCGATACTGTGCCCGCGCAAATCACCTGCCCATAATGATAATCAAATACTCTATTTGAGATCGTTCTCGGGACTTGACTTTGCCATTACAACTTCACACTAACATTCATAATACACTGAATATTGACCGAGCGACATTATCGCCATTTTCATTTTACACCCTAAAATGTATCGCTTACTACTTGCCAAGTCGGCATTTTAATTTCTCAGGCTTAAAACGTTCAAAGAACTAATTGTTTGTATTGTATGTGTTTTACCGTACCCATTTTTAACCCACTCTCAGCGGATATTCGAAATAAAAACAAAAACTTGTTTACAAATAATTTAATCAACGATCGCTTTAACATACATGAAGTCGATAACAATTCACTTTCTTCAAGGAGGTAGTACGATCTCGGAAAGCCCGGAAAACCTAAACAGAAAGTTGCATTATTCTATCTTCTCTTATTCTATATTTACGTCGGAAAAGCCAAAGGTTGTTGTCGTTTGAATAGGTGTTTCTATGTATCAAGGCTAAGGCAAAAGATTATTTACCTGCAAGTCTCGTATTGCGGACTCTCGTCGAGGAGTCGACCGTTCTCAGCTTCTGCCTCGAAGATGCTCGTCCTGAAAGATGTGACATTTTTGTGTTAGTTTATGGATACGTTGCACATCATCGTGTGGCGTATCTTTACCCAGATGCATGTGCAAGTATCTGCACTCTGTTCTTACACTTTCCTCAATCGAGATAATTCTTTCAGAATGCATCATCTACTTGTGCATTTATTAGCTTAATAATAATTATTAATAATTATAAGTTGTAAACTCAGTTATTCTACAATGCGATTCATTGCGAAACAATAAAATTATCTGTAATTATATCGCTCATTGCGATTTTATTTATAGAATTATGTTTAGTAATGAATACTTTTGAATTTAATGTTGATTTATATTTATATATGTTTTCGTGATAAAGTTATATGCAATAATATAAAGCCTACCGACGTATAATTCAAATTGCATTTTATTATTAAAACTAGTGAGATTATATTTTCAAGACCCTATGCGTCTCTTATCTCTCGCCGTACGTCAATGGAAGGTGTTCGGGGATCTAGTGGCCGAGCCTTTTAAATTTACTAATTGACTTTAAATTTAACGTAAACACAAGGGTATATGCAGTTTAAAATCTTGACAGCGGGAGCGTCGCGGAAGTTCGATTCCGACCTCGATGACAAATTGATCGCTCGCCGGCAATAAAACGCGCTCGTAAGAATATTAGAAGCGGCCCCTCCGCCCCACGCCCCACGATCGCCTAAACCCCGCGGGGCCGCGGGAAATAACACACTTTGTCTTACGGACAATCGCACAATACATGCAAACACCGTGTCTCCAAATGGATACGCTGCCACGGCGTAGTCCTATCGGATGACTTAGACGAAGTAGAAGTGAAGTGACACCGCCTAAAAGGCGCAATTAGTAAAGTTTGTGTAGTTGATGAGTTTTGCACAGAATGGCGCATCCATTCGATTAGAAATCCGGCCGCGAGACAAATATCGAAAACGATATTGTATCGGTGCGGGCCGCGATGGCCTACAAGGGATCTGACTAACTCCTCAGTTATTGGCATTGCGTTTTTCTCTCGTCTTGTCGCTCGTGGCCCATGCCCCATCCCTTTAATGGTATTGCGGCTTCGCTCGTAAAAGAGATCGCCTATTGCCGAACGCGCTCGATGGAAGAGAGATGATTTCGGGCCTAAGCCTCGACGGGCTATTTCAAAATGTTTAGTTTCTAACATTGCGTAAGAGTATACATTAACTACTCAGTAGGAATCCAAAAAATTAATATAAAGCTATTCACTGCCTGTTTATAGACAAGTTTACTTAAATTCCTATAACTGCTTCTTGCTATTAGAAATATTGCACTAATTACCTCGTTTCAAGAGACGCCTTTTTACGGTCCCGTTCGTCGATTCGCCAACGGCATTGGCGTTATGCCCCAACGAGATCCTCGATGATGAAGCCCTGAAACACGCGTCACGATAGCTTTAAAAGACGCCCGCACAAATGTTTCGTGAGCATTTCGCAGGTTTGGGTTGCAAAAACGCCGGGCCACCGCCCGCGACCCACCCGCGGGCACCCCAGCGTCGTAAGCAATAAATACAAATAAAGCTGATCATGCAAACGTAAAGTTTTGCCTCGTCGGCATAAAAACGAGGCTTTTATAACGTTGCGAGCGCATAAACAGTCGACTACGGCGACCTGCCGACGTCTTCGATCGAGCTATCCGAAACAGCTTATTCGATAGCGCCGGCGAGTTATTATTCATATGATTTCTTGTGAAACAAAGGGCAAACACGTACACACCGAGCGCGGGCCGTCGCAAGGGGGCAGAGTGGGGACGGGGGAGGTCAGATCTTTACGAGCTATATTTATGGCTCGCTCGTCTCACACCGTTTTTTACGATAAACATAAAATGCCAGCGTCAAAGATTTACGCGAAATATATTCCGACTAATGCTGATTGTTATTGCGTTCCCCTCCGCGTCGATGCAACTCACGAAATTAATTTTATCGAGTGGTCGTCGTCGGCGCAGCGCTATTGAAAGGACCCAAAAAGCCCGGCGCGGCAGGAGCGACATCGGAGGAGCGGCCGCGGCGATCCATTTAATGATAACGTCAGCGAGCGCTCACATGTCTCCGCCGCAAATCGAATTTGCAGCACAATCCTCGTCTCCGGACGGAGGAGCGGGCGGCGGGGAGCGGGTCAAATGGAAAGCAAACTGGGCCCGAATAAATATTCACTTTAGCGACAATCGCAACTCACACAATTACGGCGAAATGGAAAACCTTAGATAAATAAAGTCGGAAGCGCCCGAGGGAGGAGGCCCCGCGAGGCGATTCAAATCCCCGCCGCGATTCACAATACATTTCGGGCGCAGAATATGTTTGCAATATGTCGGCGGGAGATCGCTCTGCCCTTTGGCCCGAGACCCGCGAGGCCCGCTTTAAACACGCGCTGCGGAATGTAGCCACTCGTTTACAACGCAATGCAAAGGGGAGAGTTTGAGGCTCAATTTGTGTCGACGTTGCCTTCGCCCGGGGCGAGCCGTTTCGCCGTTTTCGAGCAAATATCCGAACTAACTTTGTCAGTAGATGCAATATTAGTAAGGATATTCGACTTTTGCTCCTGCGGGTACACCGAAGTAAACGTGTGCGGGTACGGTTTAGATTCGTTTAAAAATACGAGGCGTATTTCAGCGATATCTCGGCCCTCATTACGCTCCGCTCCTTATTTATGAAATAAAAATGAAAACATTTCTGCGGAGCGCTGACGAATGGCCGGAGTCCCTCCCCGCCCCTCCCTCGCTATCACCCCGCGGGGAGAAAACGACATTATATAGTTCACCCACCTTCGAATGTAGGCGTAGACAAGACTTTAACGACACTTTAAAAACCGTAGCGCGGATTCGTCTCATTTACAAACACGCATCTCTCTTACGGAGCATAGTTCAAATGAAGGCGTCCTGCGATTATAGTAACAGGCGACTCTTAGCTCTCACCTTTTGCGTTCGCACGACGTTCTACGCATTCCGGCTCGTGGTTAAGTAGCGAAACGAGAAGACGGTAGTGCGATGTGCGACTGTAGTGCTGTTTAATTTGAGTCGGAACGGCCGGGGGCGGAGGCGGGCGGAGGAGGCAGCTCGCTGCAAAGATTTTTCAATTACCAACTTTGTGCCCGAGCTCCAATCTTGCGGGACAGACCAATGCCTGAAAGCAGAGGCGATTGTTTAAAAGCCTTAAAACAATATCTTTATTTTATAACTTAAGATATACATAACATTTTGTCGTAGTCGTTTCTTTAAACTTTGAAAGTTACTGTGCGTTTCATGACGACGTAGTTCTCGCGAAATTTATCCGTTCACTCCTTCACCACATTTAAAAACGCCAAAACCAGTACAATTTACGATCAAATATTATATGTTGGACATTTGTTATTTATTATTTATCTTCTCTGTCGCCGGCGTAGTCTGTGTAACGTGGAATTCTTAATATCAGTGCGCGCTAACTAGGCCCGTATAATATTGGGCGGGCGGAATGCACTCGCCCCTACCCCCCACTGCCCTCCACCCTCCTCGGCTGAAACATTCTCCTCACTGTAACTCTTGAGACAATGCAATGTGAATTCCTAGCGTTTCGCAAGAATACTTCTCGTGGACATGACATCTGGTAATTAAAGGGAGTTTATTAAATGAAATGTAAATTAACGATCATCTTTCGTTTAGATTACGCAATGCTAACAACTAAAATAAGAAATATTCTAAAACTTACTTTGAGCAGAAATATCACTCTGTTCCGTCGTATTCGGGTCTTGATGGTGGACTTTGTCTGTGGCTGCGACGGCTCTGAAACATTTAAATAAGCCATTTAAGAAAAGGTAGTAGGCACATGTAGTACCTACCCTCCTTTTAAAATTTAGTAGGCACATAATATACTTTAGAAAAACTGATTTTCTTTTAATATCTATTAACATTTAACACTTAATTAGGACTTTCTTGTGTAAATTGAGTATTTTAAAATAAACTTGTATTACATTCGATGTGACTTTGAAAAAACAATTTGTAACGTTAAAAGATTAAATATATTAGTTTAATATGCAAAAATAAGTTAACAAATATATTTCACGTTTTAAATCGTTAAACGTGGTTTACGTAAATGCGTACTACCGACTTCTGGCGTCAACTGCACACAATACGTAGACGTGAGTCGGTGGTGTTGTGGTAAAGTTTTCGACTTTTGGCTCATCGGTCCAACGGTGGAAATGTATGACTGTGATCAACAGGTTGTGGGTTCGATTTCCACCGGGCCCAATACGTACATTTATATTGTTACAAGTATTATATAAGACTTAATATTGGAAATAGGTATACAAACTTTTACTATAGCGCTTGCCTTATGAGAACGCCTTAATCCTACAAAAACCTCGTGAGTTATAAGTATTAAGGGTGGTTTTTAATTTTGTAGCGTTTTAATGTGTTCGTGTCGCCTGTGATGAGATATAAACTCGTCGCAACGGAGACGTTAAACGAGTAATGGACGGGATTCGCTTCTCGGACTTTTAATTAATTTCACAAGTATGTGTTATGGACCTCTCTGCAGATTGCAAGAGAAAATATTCCCCACGAGTTGCGATTCGTAGGCAAAACAAACAGACGTGATTAGCGAGGGCAGGGGGGAGCCTCATTATGCATGCGGCGATCGATATTACCGCCCCCGCCCGCCGCGCACCCGTGCCGCCCGCCCAACCCCTCATTTACACTTATTTGCATAAAGTAATGAGACGGATGCTGCGATGCCGGGGGGAACGAGTCACTCGTTTAATGGCGTTGCAAAAAGAATATGTACTCAGAAGACTAACTAGAGAGGCCTTCTGTGTAGGAATATATCTAACTACTATTCGTATGTGAAAAAGCTTTAAGGGCAAATACGAGGATACCGTGCAGACTTTCTTCTAAATATCGATAGAAAGAACCGCCTCCCCCCCTTTCCTCCCATCCTAATTAGGCCGCTTGTGACACTTCGGCCCTCGTTGGGCTAGGTCCGGTTTTTAGTATATGTATCGGGCTATCTATTTACAATTTGTATAGATCGATATTGCATTACGCCACGGTACTGGCAACAATCTTACAAGATGACATAATTCATCTCTCACACAACTTAAAGTCCGGGAATAATTAAAGTTGCCTTATTATTAGTTATCTACTAATTTCAGTAGTTCGTTAGGATTCTCAATGTTATTGTTGCAACAGATTTTTGTATGTCTTGTCCTAGAGCAATCGTGTTAAACGACTCTCCGTGGCCGCCGGGTTCGTAGCGCGTTAATTAATTTCGAAATGAAATTAAAAAGTTTCTTCATAATAAATGATCACGTAGCGGAGCTCAGTCACAAGGAATCAATTCACCCCGAGGGGAGGCCCCGGCCCCCCGTGGAGGGGCGCAATAATTAGAGGGCGGATTATCCCCCCGAGAAATTAACTTTAACCGGCGACTTCGCGTATTTCACGAGACAACCGCGCTTCTAATCAGACCGTTCCAATTAATGGCAGGTATTTCGCGCCGATACTGAAATATTTCTCAGAATCGAGCTCCCCTTTGCAGCGTTTATTGCATTCCTGGCTTTTCCTAGACGCTCTCCGCTAGAGTAGTGAGCACTGAGAGCACCCGATCGCCGGACGAATTGTATCGAGACGAAAGAATAATTGGAACGAGTCGCTCGTCATAAAGGGGTTCCGTCGGCCGCGGCTCTGCCCGCTTCGAGTAATAAGGAGAGACCGCGACACTACAATGAGTCGTGTAGATGTAGGGAGAAGGACCCCATTGCAGCCCGTCGTCATGACGACCGCCCCCGCCTAATCAATTGCAGAAATATGTACGGGCCGCGGCCGGCGTAAGCGGCGCCCCCGCCGCCTCCGCGGGCCCGGGATCTCCGCACCGATCGCGGGAGGAGAACGAATAGCGGGAGCTCGCACTAGCCTGGTCGATGAAGAGAAAGCTCGACGACATTACACACACTTCGAAGCGAAGAAAAGATCTACGAGCGATACACTGGCTTATTCACAGCTTCAAAATGGATTTCGTTATTCCTATAATCATGATAATGGGCGCTTTGATCACCCACCGCATCCTTATGTTTGTCGCGTTCCTCGTTGAAATGTTTCAGTCCACCGAGAACGCTGTTTCGAACGCGACAAATCTTGTCAACTGAAAGAATGACATTCACAATAATGACAAGAATGTCTCGAAAATAATTAATTTATTTCACCCTTCGGCACACAAAACATACAGATACACATTGAATTTGACATGTATAGAGGGAAGTGAATGTGAGTAGAAAGAACGTTAATATGCAAACTAGACAACGTGAGAGAAGTAGAAGAAACTTACCAACTACGTAATATACGAAATTGACTTAAAATAATAATAACCCATCAAATATCCCCAAATAAAGCCTTATAAAATAAGTAATTCATTGGCGGGAAATTGTGTTCGTATTCGTTTATACAAATAAGTTCAAAATGTCATAAAATTTAGATTGTCTCAAAAGGTGTATTATTGTTTAAACGATCTCTTGAATAACAAGGCCGTCTGGTAGTGACATGAATTGCTCCTTCGGTTAATAAATTCAGAAAAATGTATTAGTTTATAGGAGATGTTGAAAAAAGCCAGACTGAGTTTTTTGCGTGTTCTTCTCGGTTATGCTGTTCTCACTCGACAGGCAAAGATGTTTAATTATTTTTTACGAATTACGTACATTAATTAGAAGGTGCACGTAAGAAAAGAACCTTTGGATGTAGTTAATTGAATCTTCCATTTTCTTTTTAGATTTAACACTATGCACCTCTTTCTGTAACTATATAACATACAAAATTCAGTAAAGTTGAGTAGTTTAATGTTTCGACTGAGAAAAATTCAATTCAAAGCCACAGTAATGCCGTCATGTGTAGTAACATGGAAAAAATATTAAAGCTTGGAAATATATTTAGATACGTTGTCTAAATTCGAGTAGTTCTAGAATAAGTGTAAAGTTTGTTTTCCCACAAAAGCATAATACACAAACTATTATTTAGACTAGTATTTCTTAAGGGGTCACATTATGAGCGCAGAGAATCCAGTCAATAATTATATACCTACGTGGATAATCTTTCGTGTTACTTTCTCCTCTCAGCCAGACCGAAGCGGCGGCCTCTCGTTGTGGGCCTGAAACAAAATTAATTATGAGCAATATCGTGCGGCACCTGCCGCTGAAGCCTGCATTAACATTGTTTATGGTCCCCTCCATCGCTCATTTGATCGGGGCCCAATGGACCGTAAAACCAATTAGGTTAGCCTCATGATGTTCCCATGTTTAAAAATATTCAAAATCGCGGAGCAAGCGAGCGTGTCTATTAGGCGCGCGACCCTCCGAGTACATTCCGTCGAAGCGCAATAATAATAAAAAAATGTTGAGAGCTTGTCGCGTGCAAAAGACGTGCGGTCACGCGGTCCTCTCGCTGACCGCCCCTCCCCGGCCGCCGCCCCCCTCCGACGGCCCCTCCGACGACTCCCTCGAATATAATATGCATTATGCGAAATCCGTAATTCTTACGTCCGACGTCCGGCCGAGAATGCCTCCTCCGCTCGCCGCGAGGGTAGATCGGCGAGAGGGCGCGGGCGAGCCTGCACTCTCGAGATAACGCCGGGTATTAATCATAGCATTATCGGCACACTCTTTGTTATGACGCCGCGTTATTGCACTTTTTTATCTGCCCTCGCACGCGACGAGAGCGAATTTTCCGGGACAGATGTTCCAGTAATCCTGGAGATAGCGCCGCAATAAAACCTTCGATATTATTATCATACGTCCGACCCCGGGTCGACCCTCATTGAGACGTTCTCGTAAAATGCAAAACGCGACGCGCCCGCCCTTCAAATATTCAAAGCTTATTTATGACATTATTTCGTAGGAAAAACCATTCGTCAAAAATTCTGTGGAAGTCAGTCGATCGGAGGCCCGTGTCAGCGAATTTCCCATTTTTTCCCAAAGGGTGATGACTGGCTCTAGTGAAGCCGACCTATCTTCGCGCGAGGGACGCGATTTGCTTATGATTAATGGTGCCTCTGTTGCGCTCTCCGCTATCAAACTTAAATAACGTTTCTTTACTATCCTCCTAGGAATTCCTCCGTCGGTCGCCGAACGGGGGAGTAGTAGACATATACATGTGAGGAATACATAAAATAATAATTCCCTCATTTTCCGAAATCCACCGGCACACGGATATGGCAGCTTCGCTCCGAAAGCTCGCTAAAAGTTCATTTTTTGCGGTACTTAGCGACGTCATTAAAGGCACACACGTCAAGAGAGTGAGGTCGCTTACGGGGCGGCGCGAGGGTGTACGGGCGAGAATCATTTTTCACGTATCATGAAGCGAGGGTAGTGGATTAAAATACATTTCGCTCGGAGTGATAGATGGCCTCTCCGAGGAAAGGGTTGCCACCCCCGCCCGACCGCCGCGGGCCCCGCACTTTTTACTCGATACTGTCATAGCATAGCTACGCAAACTATGTACCTAGCGAAGTACGTAAAAGGAAAAAGGCAGTGGATATTGAGTTACCGGTTTTTTGTGTAAATGAAAACCGATCGGGGAAATATTTGTGCTCTAAGTGAATGTCAATATACACAGTTAATATGTTAGAGCGATTAGAAACAGCCAAATGAGTATTTAAAAGGCCGTAAATGCATCGATCGTTCGCAAGCGGCGGGCTAATCTCTGCGCGGGAGCTAGGTCTCGTTTAAAACAATAAATCGAGGCGATCATAATAGTCCGGAGTCGTTCGCGGTCGGTCCCTCCGCCGTATATCACGGGAGGGTGCGCGCAATGGCTTCATCCATTTCCGCTCCGAGACATTCGCGTTTAACTCGCCGAAAATATGAATAGTGCGGACGTGAGATACGAAGTCGCGCTTTGTTTGCGCCATCCAGTCGGCGGCCGCGCCTTCCTTTGCGGCCGCGCCGCTGTGCCAACATTGTGACACCACATTAAACACATTACAGTAATTGATACCTCCTCGGGGACACTCCACCGTCATATTAACGTACATATGTTTATTACTCACCTGTCGATGAACCGAAGAACTATGCTCGTATTACGAAATGATATATCCAAACAAAAAAAAGACAAACCGATCGTAATCCTTGACACGTTGTGTCAATAGTAAGCTCGTCGTTAACATCACTACAAAAAAGTGCGACCAAATTTCAAGGTGTGCAGCACGAGCCCATCGCGTCACTCGGAAGCGACGCGCGCGACTACTCTGGGGCGAATAAAAAACTCTTAAAAGGGTTGAAAAAGGGGTTTAACCCTACTCGCGAGCGAGATTCCCGAAAGGTAGGGTGCCCTACCGAAGGCCAATAAAAAACGTCGTCGCGTGCATGCGCGCTGTAATTTTAAACTGATTTGAATATACATTTACATGCGATTTACATACCGGCCCCCGTGATTGGTCGCGACCGCGAGGCTTGCGCACCGCCCGCCCGGGCTCGGGCTCCTTCTTCCGCTTGATGCGCGGATTTGAATCTGTACCTATACACAGTCATGTTATCTGTGCTCGACGAAGGACTGCGGTTCAGATTCCCTTTGTGCATTTAATAAGAATCAGTGTTAGCGTTCATTCTTATACTCAAACCTTGCGAAGCGATCGAATCCAAACGAGTTTCGTCTAAAAATGTCCACTCATAGGTAATGGGGAAAGGTAGCCCTGAGCAAACAGTATTGTTTGATCTGCCCCCCCTCGTTAGGGCAGAGCTCCCTTCGTGGAGCCCGGGCTCATTATCGAATTGTTTAAAATAACGAGGGAGGACGGACGTTCTTCGCTATTACATACGTCGTTAAGCTTTTTGTTAAGACTCACAACTCACCAGACGCGCGCCGACCCACGCTACAGTCGAACGAACCGAAATCGGAGTGACGATATTTCGGCCTCAGTTCGATGTGCAGGTATGCGACCGTGGAAAAGGCTACTCGATCTTCGCAATGAAGTCATACGTCACGTGGCGCGATTGTACTAGCTGCGCGTCGATCAATAGACGACAAAATAATCGCTAGTCGTCTCATGAATATTGATGAGCCATTGAAGTCTCAATCGCTCGCTCATTAGCGTGGAAAACTAATTGTGGCCACATTGTGTGCGCGGGCGAGTGTTTGCAAGAGTTTACGCAAAAACATTATTTACAATGTTCGGGTGATGCTAATTAAAGGCAGAACAAAAACTGAACAACTGCAGGGCCCTACAATGAGATAGATACAAACCTCGTTTTAGAGAAAACAATTAGGTGGTAAAACAAGAAGCTTGTTAGCGAGTGGACACGCTCCGGAGGTCACGAACGACGACCCATTTGGTAATTAAATTGTGGCCCCAAGCCCAGCGCCACCCCCAATGGTGGGTTCTTTTGGCCAAATAAATACTATGAACCGACTTCGTTATTTCGTAATTTTGTCTATTTTCTTCGTATACCAACGATGACGTGTTTGTACCTAAGTTAAAATCCTTGTTTTGCTACAAAATAGTCTAAGAGTTATCTAGATAGTCATATTCCACTATCGTTGTCTGAATTAGCTAATTTTATACAGTTAATGTCTAGTTTATTGCAATTTCTGAGGAAATTATGTGATTAACTAATATAAAAGTCACAACAGTTTTACTATTCCCACAGTCTCACAAGTCCCACATACATTTTAGGCCATAGACACGCGAAGACACAGTGGCCTCTATCTAGACCTAGAGGAATAACAACTATATTATAAAAACGTGTGGCGATTCCAAAAAGCCAATAAGTAACTTCTGGAATTATTCCTATCTCTCATAGCAAAGGACCTGACGATCGACTCGACGCAGTTATTTTAGAACAAACAACAATAGTACTAAGTGGCGATTGTAATGTAATGTAATGGCGCAGTCCGCTACGTGTACCGTTAGACTGCCCTTTACGTGTTCGCGTTAAACGCTATCCAGTTTTTTGCAAAGTGCCAACAACTTTCTCCTCATTAATTTACCTATTTGTCATTAATTAATGCACTTCGAATACGGTCGATTCGCTAGAACAAAGAATTTTTGCACGTTCACGGTAGCGTGCTAAAGTGCCGTTATTTCTTTCTTCGCTGAGGCACCAGCTGTCGTCTGCGTTAAGAATTATTTTTAATTATTTCAACTCATCGAATGTGTTGACGTCAAAATATAAATAAACGAGTATCGATTACTTATATGTGAGAAAAAAGCGTTAATTTATGATAAAATGAAATGAGTGTTAGAACTGCTAATTTAATTAATACCTGGCACTTCCGTTCCTTGCGATAAATACTGTTGGAGTTTTCAAATGTTTATTCTCATAATACAGTAAGGAGGAAACATCGAACATGTAACGTCGACAATCGCCATGAAGTAATATCACTAAATAATGATTTTTCATGCATTGGAAGAGGATTGGCTCTATGTACACTAATATTATACGGAAGATTTGCATTCGTGTGTCCTTGTTTGTAATGAATAATCTCTAAAACTACTGTGTCGATTTAAAAACAATATTTAATCATTAGAAAGCCATATTCATCTCGATATCTAACATAAGATACATTCGTTGTGACAAAAGATTAGGACCCTTAGTATAGTAACAAAAGCCAAGGTGTAAAAATTCGTAAAAACGTCTATTGTCGCATAAGCTGCAGAAACGGAACATAAATATGTTCTTCAATGTATTACCAAAAAAACGACCACAATTAGAGCTGGTGATTGGGTGATACGTACCTACTTCTGTTTTTATCTTTAACAAAATAAATTACTTTTCGAATTGTTCAAATCGACTATTTTATTATTCAAGACTTCGCTGCCTTCATTGAATATTTAAAAAAATGACTTTTTGAATTGCAGAATACCTACCTCCACCCAAAATGGACCGCTGTACTCACTTTTTCATACTCTAAAAATACTTCATATGGCAAAACAACGTTTGCCACATCTAATACGTAGTTCTACAACAGAACGAATTGTATTTTTTTACACGCTTTAATGAACAAGTTTGGAGATGTAAATGTAGGTTCCAATGGCCCCCTTGACGTCAGAATAATAGTTTAAATCTACTTTAACCGAAATATTCACATGACATTTTCCCTTCGGTCGAGGCGATCCGACGCTTCTGTCGGCGCCTCAGAATGAGTATGCTAATTTAGACAATTGGGACCGTGGCGGCATCTTTAGTGATGACCGCTCCGAATCTTTCAGGGTCGATACAATTTATACTTCTAGTACAATAAGACGATGAAAATAGTTCGTCTGTACATTTAAAAATATATGTTGGATATGAAGCGTTGGAAAAATGTGTAAGTATAAAACACTGATAAAATATTTTTTTTTATTAATGGCATTTTACACCAATATTCATTCAAATTCAAAACTTTTATTGCTCTTTTTACACAGTTTTACAATATAGGTAACTACCTACTAATAACTACTAACTTGAGGAATGCGTAATAAAAACCACCTTGGATGCCTGTAAACCTCTAAATGTAAACCTTCATCTAACTCTTCGTTTCAGTGGTTAGTACAGTCGTAGGCTACAAAATGTAACAATGGTTAGTCGAATATGTCTGCCGAACCGCTAAGGCAGGCTCAGCCCTGCTCTGTCCGCGGCTCGGCTAGGCAATTATCATGATAATAATCTCGCGTTCCATTCAAATGGTCGTCCCTTTCGTCCCTTTCGCGTCCGGCCGAGCCGATCTGCATTGGAATGCGAACTTTTCTCGCATTCTCTTCGGTACCGTTAAATTTGAATTTGTTTGCGCGTGTGCTGTGGGTGTGCGAATGCGGTATGCGCGGGCGCAGACTGATCGATGACAGGTGACGTCGGCCGCGGCGCCACAAAGGCCCGTCCATACGCTGCATAAAATATCATCTAGATTCTAAGACTGGAATTTTATATTGCCCTTAATTAGGCTGTGGCTTCGGCCGAAGGGGGCCTATGCGCGCGACTCGTCTGCCTTTAGCCGATCCGGCAGTTTTAATATCGGAGTGATATTAACAACTCGTAACGCGAAAACGAGTCGAGTCCGAAACCAAGATTTTACAAGTTAATTTAAATTATAATAGTTAATAAATTCTCTTATCTATGTCGATGCAATACAATGTTTGTTTTGGGAGCTTTTTTATCTTACGATTAGATCGGCTCGTTTCGTTCGTGAGGTACTTCGAGTTTTTCCTTTAAAGGACATTTTGTTGAAACGTCGTCATCTAAGAGTCGTCGAGTCCGCTCGTTTGATCGCTCAACAGAGTGGCACTAACGCCTCGCGTCTCGTTAGGCCTATTACGTTGCCTAACGTCCACTCGATTCTGGAATCGATTCGGCGGAGTCCACGTAGACCCGATTGCACCTAGAAATAATTGAACCGGTCGGTAAGTCTACTGTCAATTTAACGGTCGGTCTACCTTAATTTTGTCTTCGTTCTACTATCTTATAAGCAGTGCTCCGGTCGAGACTTGGAAAGGCCAGCCATACGTCGCAGCGATTGCGAGCCCCGTCTCTCAAGAACGGCCATAGACCTAATGAAATACAAACGGAAATGCTATTCATATCTGAGCATAAAACGCGGACTCCGATCGCGAGGTAATGTCCAATAATTGAATTCAGTACGCGTAGTTAATCCGCTTATGAGAACTCTATCGCAGTTTTTCCCCGTCGAGACGCGGGCATGCGAGCGAAGTATGGAAGGGTATGTAGTGGAGCTACGTGGCGATATCTCACAGGCGCCACGCTCATAAAGCAGCCCTTCGCTATGGCTTTCTGCTAAACGATCGTCGCCCGGAATGGCTCACGGCGACTCACAGACTCTTATAAGTCAGTTCTGACGTTAATTAGCATTATTGCTAAAGCTCCATTTGACCAGTGATGCGGCGATTGCAGCGTGACTCTTCTCCATAAGAAATATGTTTTTTATATTCCTAACGCATTCCTAAAATCTATTAGAATTACTAAGTTTAATTTGTATTATCGAGATTGATTTCGTCATTTTTATGGATTACATGAGTTTAAATTAGAAATTGCATCGTACTCCTCCTAATCTCCACTAATTGTTAATTTCTTTAGAATTTTTATCTTACAATAACTACATACAATATGATCCTAATCCATCGCTCGAGTACGTTCGAGATACAGAGAGCATTTTGCTTTCGATCCACAAAAGCGACTTAATGCGGTGCGGTGAGCACGGGTAACCATAAACGAATGCAAAACTAGGAATAAATAATATGGTGTATATGGTTAGCCTACTTCTCTTCCTGTAATAACACGTACGAATTACAATATATTATTCAATACATGTTACTTAAGCCGCTCGACTCAAATAATATGATAAAAAACATTGAATAGGCACACGATGTTTTCCAACGTTTTCGCAGTCGGTGAAATATAAAAGTAACCCTCGCACCACTGAGGAAGTTAAAACACGGCCCGAGATCAGTCGCATCAATTTTTTCCGACACCACGAAATCCCTCGGCGACGCGACCGGCTCTCGGAAAATATTCCCCGTTTTATGCGGAGAATTACAAGGATCTAGGGTGCGGGCTATGGACCTGGCGATTTCCTCAAATTATAATACTGGTCGCTCCCCGCGGTGTTGCCCGCACTTAAACGACCGTCGGGGGAGAGGTCTTAATGTAAATTGTGAGAGCGATCGTATTTCACTAGAGTGAGATTGCCTAACTTAATACGTACTGTGAAAAAGGTATATTTCACAACATCAAGCAACCGAACACGGGTAATGTAAAAGAACGTTTGGGGCTTTCTAATCGAAATGTTCCGTTAAGCCGAAACAAGTTAAGCTTACCTACATGTTACTTTTCAGACAGTGAAGTTTTATTAAAGATATGAAGCGAAGCAACCTGAGCCCAGATCATACAAAAAATGTAAACGGCGAAGGAATAAAAAAGACAGTCCGCAAAAAGCGTGTCCCGGGCGCGATGTATATTGTATGAGTGGCTGAATTTCAAGTGTTTTTTCATCTCTAATGGATTGCGCCGACCCCGAACTCCCCTCGCACATATATCCTCCTCATCTCACTTGCTAAACTCTCTGAGCTTTTCTATACTTTTAAATGTTCGCTTTTTCGGTGTGAGAGGTGCACGTTTCGCCCAATGGAACCTTGACGGTGCGCTCGATTGCTATTCAGTGTTGTCGAGTTAATTGCCTTCAAAGACAATGATGTAGTCTCATTGAGGCAATATTGTATGCGGAGTGAGTTTTTAATACCGAAAGTGAACATGCGAGCTAGATTATATTGATGCGATTGCAAACGACTTTCTCAGCTTTATAAATTACCCATAAATTATATTATAATACCCGCGTCCCGTCTCTCTTGCCGTCTATCTTTAATGATAGACATATTCTGTCGCCGACATTTTTTTTATCATTTTAGCAGGAAACTTTCTGTCATACATAGAACCTCAATGATTCATACAGACGAAAAAGCCGAGAACTTTGAATTACTTTCATAGTTATATATAGCAAATTATATAGTATATATAGCAAAATTATGGACTAATTTTACAACTTTTTTACGAAGTAGGCTCCTTTATGTTCGTAGACCATTTCATCGTCACAGAAAGGGCAATCTGAATAAACACTACTTTCTGGCGCGCATTAAAACTTCGCGGATCGAAAACGTAGCACCAACAGCAACAAGCACATCTCTTTAAATCTAACCTTAAAACCTAAGCGAATAGTTTTGCCGTATATTCGGCCATTCCTTTTGGGGGCTCGCCTTAAATTTGGTGTTCGGTTTAGTGCCGAATATACTATTCGTTGCAAGCCTACGAATTTATTTTGAAACCGAGGTAGTTTAGTCTACGAAAGTAGCTCGGGATCACATATAAAGTTTAAGGAAAGTCCATCCCGAAAGGCTGCGGAAACAGTCTCGAATATTCCTCGAAGGCTGAACACCGCCGAGTCATCGCCGCAGTATTTATCAAGACCTCGCTTTCAGATATTTCCAAACGCAACTTTATGATAATAGAGTTGATAGATTAACCGCCCGCTGGATCGCGTTATACGGTTACTTAGTCAATCTCTTCTCGATTTCTCATCTACTCGTTTCTGTTGGCGCCATTGCAACCCGTCTTCTGGTTCATGCCCGACGTTGTACGCGATCGGCTAACTTAGCTTTAATTTGTCGCGGTATACTGAGCTTCTCGATCGATAGCCTAATGACAAAACAGAGTTATCCGCGTCGGAGCGAGCGATCCATCACTTATCGCTAATGCGTACACAACCCTTTACTCGTCCGCCAACAAACTTCACCGCCCTCGATCATCATACTTCTTAAGTCTCCAGTTTACATTAATTTTTAGTGACATTTAAGGCGGCTCGCGTCGGCCGTCGATTCGTCTATTAAAATAATTGATTGTAAAAAGAGGAGTCGCGATAATTGAAATGGCGACGGTCGCAGATCCATCACACGTTCTGTCGGCGAGTAATGGAGCAAAGGAATGAAGAATTTCGCGAGAATAAAATGCGTACATAATAGTTTTTATTTGCGCAGAAATGAGCGTGACGTTACGACGCAAGGTGTAAGTGGTGTAGATGTGCCGTGAAACAACAATAAAAGATTAAGTGCGTCACGGCTCGCGGCATCCCGAGATAATAACCGGACAATATCCGCGCTCTGCTTTATTGCTGAATTATTGCTCGCTGGCCGTTGGCTTCGAAATATCCTCACCGCTTGTCGAAACTCGAAACGGAGAATCAAAGCAGCGAGCCACGCTCGTCTGTTTTCTCTATCCATAAAAAAATACGTGAAGTTGAAGTTCGTTCGGTTAAAGACGCGCTTTAGGATAAAATATCTTTGCTGAGTATAAAACAAATTAAAGTTGTCTGCGTTATTTCGCCTAGGTTTCAATAAAGAGAATCATCAAAGAGGTGCGACGCGAAGTTTTATATTAACATTAAGACAAAATAAGATAACGTGCGAATAAAATATTTTGATAGCAAAGTAAAAATCATGTCTCGTAACGGCCGGCATCGCGCGAGTAATGTTCGCGCAGGATGTAACCGTAATAGTAAAATGAGCTTATTGTCACATAAACTTCTCCACTCGCGTCGCACCTAATGCCTATTAGCCGGAATCGCTTGACAGACGTCTCAATGAGCGGTCGATAAAGCGTACTCCGTAAAACGAGCGCTAAATGCCTTAAATATTCATTTCCGTTCAGAATTGATAGTATTAATTGTCCACCTGCCGATGAATTGTATATGAATGCATTGTGACAGACCGACACGGTCTTTATTACATTATGAACTCAATTCACGTCGCCCGCCGAACCTCGACTAGAAAAATATTTCTTTTTAAACACACCCTCGTGCGGTTGAATTCGTTTAAGTCCATTTAGGCCGAGAGCTCCTTCAACATTCACACGAAGATCTGTCTCGATAATATCTCTATTCGATGTCAAATAATTAAATGTATTTCTTAAAATTGTTTACGAATGTCTTTCCTGACTATTAATTTTTTGCGGTAGCCAATGTTACTTTTAAATAAATATAATATTATCCATCAGACATGACCATCGACTAGGCCGGTCCCTTTTGTAGCGGTCTTCTCTCGGTCTACATGTGTAAAATCTCTCAAATTGCGCACACTCCGATATCGGGGGTCGGAAACGATGTGAAAATTTAAACTTAATCCCCTGCATAGTGCACTTCTGCCGGGATAATCGTGTTCTTCGCTTTACATTCACGCTGAGCGAAAACGGCTCCTCTTCCCCTGACCGTGAGCTCTGTAGAACGATAAATGCAATTGCTTTTTTGCGGCGCGGGGTAATGGTCAATCGTATTGCTGTTTTCGCTCGGCTTATAGTGTCGTGGGAGTGTGTACCATTATTAGTTGACTACAGAAATATGAGCGTTTCAAATTGGGCACTAACAGTCATCTTTTTATATTGCATTTTTGTACCCACGAGAGCGGACACGTTTGGACAGGCACACGTTTAATTAGTCTAATTGAAGCGATGAATGCTAATAATCAACGGCTCACGGGTTTGGTGATTCCGTTCGAGATGCAAGCCATGGAGTGGTAGGTATCTGATCTCATATTGTTTTTACTCATCTCGTTTAAATGTTATATGGTAGGGTATTTCCATGTCCACATAGGCAGTGAACCGCTCGTCGGTGTATACTCCTCCGCCGTGAAAAAGGGAAACGAAGTAATAATATTTCGGCTACAATTTATAATTAAGTTAGTCTGTTTAAAACGCGCTAAAGAAAAAGGTTTACGTCGAGATAATTGTGTGCAAGTCTTCGAATTACGTTTAGCAAATAGTACTACGTTGTTCTGAAAAACAAACACAACAAAATCTATTCAGTAATGTGATCCTTTGAACAAAAATCGTCGCGAACCTTCACAAATCGTAATCCTCTTAGAAAACATTTCCAATTTAAAAAGAATTTCTTTCATCCCTCAGCGGAGGGTACGCGTAAAAAATAAAAGGAAAAGCGACAGGCTTAAAGCACGTGGAGGGCGGAGGAGGGTAGCTATAGCCAAATAGATATGGGTGAGTAAAAAACTTCCACGATTTTTTACAGGTCGCTTCTTCCGCCGAGAAAGCATCTATTGAAACTCCACTCAGGCCGTGTTAGCTGCCTATTTAGTATAAAAAGGGTCGAATTTTTCGGAAACCTTTTTATCCCCCGCCTCGTCCCCATCCCCACACCACTCGCCCACGTGAAACCTTTATCGTTTAGATACCATTCAAGTGGTGTCCAGCGTTATTTATCCTTATTGATTTTTAACGTATGTTTATTTCTTTGGAAAAAATTGATTATAACAGCATTACCTAATTCCAATGAATCACTACGTGCATATTGTACGAGGAAAGCGTCCATTAGGATTTATCTCAACGTAAACTGCCGAAAATCGAATTAAAAACAAACGGTCGAGCCACATTCCGCTTTACCCTAATCATGAATAAATCGCTTCAAAAATAGAAAACAAGTGTAATATTTCCCCCAGTCATTCCTCAACCCTCGAACACTTCAAATATTTAAAGGCCGGAATTTGATGGAAGCCCGAAGGCCGAGTGACGTACAATTGGATCACACGAGCGGCCGCGACCGCCTCGCTCCGTCCGAATCCACTCAAATCTACTTATCCAAGCAAATTCAATTTCAATAGCCCTAAGTAAACCTGAGTTTGTATCAATTTGCTCCGTCTACTCGCTCCTACTTCATAGCATTCTACGAAAGAAAGAATTTTCTGCCATATGCAACTGCCGTTACTGCTGAGCTTTAAAGCTCGACCGCTCCAAACGCGTCCTGGGATCGGTTAACCCACGTAACACGCCGATCCCCGCGGACGACTTCGACTTTCTTTTCACAAAAAATAGCAATCAAAATTTGATTTACCGCCACCCGCGGCCATATATCAAACCTCTCTTATCCTCGGACGGAAGATGCCCCGAGTCTACGGGGACTCGTCGTGCCTACTTTCTATGACGTGGAATAGTTCTCACATACTCCACTCTCAACTTTAATTTACATCAGCCCTCTTACGTGAAAACACGAAACACGATAATCTTCCTCGAGCTTTACGTTCCCTAACGTATTTCTGTCCATAAAATATGGCGGGCCGTCGCTCAATATTCAGTGGCATATAAAAGCAAATTGGACTTTTGATCAGCCACCGAATATTCCACGCTCGCCCGTGGATATCCTATACATAAGGAATGAAGCTCGTCCTCGAAGACGTATCGTTTCAATGTTATAATTACGAGTCTGCTAATCTAACAGACTGCGTCGGCGTAACGGAGTGACAGATAAGGTTAGACTAATAAAAGGGCATCGTTAGAAAAGCAACAGAAACAGAATTCCCCGCTGAGAGGACAGTTTTGCATCGCGATCGATCGCCGGAGGGGGCCCGAGGGTGCCCGAGGGCCGGTGAGGAATGTCGCATTCGGGAGTTTGCATGGGGTCACGCTAAGCCGTTTCCGATAAGGAGGTTTCTCTCGATACACGCTTATCTGCCGCCTGCACCCGCTACGCCGTGCGTGACGCGAATAATGCACGGCGATCGACCTGCCTCCCCAAATTGAAATAATTTTTCTATAATGCAGCAATTATGAGCGCGTTTCTTTTAAATATTGTAGTCTCGAGCGAGCACCGCAAGCGATTATCGATACCTATACGAGTTAGCGACACCTCGAATCGGTTACAATGAATACGGATTACTAAAATTTTGTTCAAATTTAATATATTTACAATTTTCTGAAATCTGTAAAGTCGCAGGAAAAATTATCCATCGATATAAAAATGTCACTCTTTATATAAATAAATATTATTTAAAAATATGCGTATGTACAAGATAGATAATACTATAATAATACGGGATTACGGTAAACAAAATCGCACGCCATCGCAAGATTGAGATCTCGAGAGCATCTCCACATGATAAATAACAGTTTCCCGCTTTTTACGCGGCAAGGCGAGGGTGTCACGCAAAAAAATGAATAAGGAAATTTACCTAATGGCCTCGATTCTTTATTCTCTATGGCCATTGTGAGTGGACAAAGCTGTAATGGAGGGTTGACGTGAGCCGACTACCCTGAATACTTCTATTTTTTGCACAACACTTGGGAAAATTCGCTGCGAGAAAGTATTATTTGTGCTTTTAAATGGTAGGAAAGTGTCCCGCGGTATTACTTGTCTCTCACGTCGAGGGAGAAATGCTAAAGATATTCTGAAATATCTTTATTGCATAAATTAAGTCGGTTTTAGATTTCATTGTTATTGTATAAAGCGCCATCAGCAAACATGTGAAAAATATTAAAGTCTGAAATCTTTATAGTAAGTTTATAGTAATGCAAAAAAAAACATTGTTACCTAAATCATATTAAAATAATGAAATGGTTGATGAAGAGACAATAAAACAGCTATGGTTGTTATTGATTCAGTGTTATAAAAATTTAAGAATAAATAAAGTACAAAATATTTCTCAATTATATTTTTAGTTTCTTGTATTACTTTTTTATCTAAAAGTTTATATTTTGCTTTATAGAAAAAATCTTAGGTTTTCTAATATGAAAAATAGATTTAAGAATGGAAATTTAAAAAAGACAAAAATAGACTTAATAAAAATGCACATAAGCGAGCAAATTCAAACTTTTTATTTATTCCAATGTTTCAAAAAAAATAACAATTAAAATATCACTAACTTTACTCAGTACTCACCCAAGTTACACATTTCGAAGAATCCTAATTCTCTATTACACCTACATAAATCCAGTAATTATTCACATAATTTCCACCTGATCACTGTTGATGAAGAAATAGAACTTAGAGCCAAACTTTTAAAAAGCATGCAAATTTAGTCATGCTATTGTCAAGAGAGTCTCCGGTGAACTAACAGTCAAGCGGAGACTCACCGCTTGTTCCCTCTTGCGACCCAACTCAGTTTGGCACGAATAATATCTAAATTTACAAAATGCTTTCTTGCTATTGGATAAAAAACCCCTTTCGTTTTGCGCGTGTGCCGACAACTAAAGGGTTAAAAAGTTACCCCTTTTTAATCGCACCCCAATTTTTCCCTGTCAGCCATTTCTACAATTTACAATACTCATTTTTATGACAGAAATCAGTATATGTACAGTTCAACTGAAGTGTAACAATACTCTTATAATTGTTTTAAAAATTTGCTTAATGTTGGCAAGAGAAACCTGAAACAATTAAAGTTGTTCAGTCAATAGCACTATACAATAAACTAAATAAATAAATTTTAGAACTCTAACTGACTAACAAAGACTTAACTTACTTAAAAATATACGTATTTATATTTGTTACTCTAGAAATAATAATAAATACTGTACAAGCAGCTACAATTTAGAATATAAATACCATGAGTGGAAAATCCATAACCACCACCAAACTTTTTTAAATTGTATTTGAGTTATACCGAGGCCTGTAATGTAAGAAACAATCGTAGTTGTATCGTAAATAGGAATAGCATGAAAAAGTTTATCCAAATACATTAATATTACATTTAAAAAGATTTAGTAAAACAATTTGGCGCTAAAATCTAATTTAGTAACATGGATTTCATTTAAAAAACTTGACATTGACAATTTACGTTCATTCTGAATTTATTAAAATGTATCGAAAATACAAATTGTGTCTATGGCTTGACCGAGCCTATATTCGTTTACATATGCTGTGCTTTGTCATTTGACATTCTAAATTCCGTCAATCATAACTCATGATCAGCTCTGAAGTCTTAATTTTATATTTTATCTGTGACTCGTAGTTTTAAGGCTTTTTGTTTTTTAAGTCACTCTATTCGGAATTTCTGATTAGAGTGTTAAAGTATTTCCAGTTCAATTGATTACAATATTACTGCAAAAATGACCCTATACCATTTCGGCAATTGCTTAGCATTAGTCTACGCTCCATATCATATGGCTTATAAATTCTCGGGAATGTGAGTTCTTTTTAACTAGGTTAAACTCTTCTACTAATTTAATTAGAACTGGAACTGTATTGTATTAATCGTTATTTCTAGATCGGAATATGCGACGTTTTCAAAATGTGTATATGCCGGAGGGTTGTATATATTCACTCAACTTTGCAAAATGTTACTGCTAGCTACATTTTTTCCAGATTATGATAATACTCATGCAAGTGGAGAATACGATGTTTTTCTAGTAAGTTTTATTACGTTACAGTCTTTCTGTATTGAACTTTAATGCCATTTGTTGCCATTTTAAACTTTATAGATATAATTTAATTTCTTCTAGGAAATTTTAAAAGCCACTGTTGACTTAGCTGATCTTCTTGGTTTGTATTTTGCTATTAATGCAGTTCCGGGAAAGGGGCATGCAAAAATTCTGACTGCTGCCATTGGTTGGGCTTGTGCTGAAGTGAGTAAAAGGTAGTAAGATTGGCTAGTTAGCATCTGCTGTAAAAAATAATAACCACCTTTTTATTGCAGGTGATAATAACTCGAAGTGTTCTTTTATGGGTCGGTGCAAGAGGTTCCGAATTTGATTGGAAATATGTGCGTTCCTGTGCTGAATCAAACGTTGCTTTATTGCAACATGCATCTACTGCAGCGCTTGTGTGGTTGTGGACACGCAGTGACTTACCAAAGAAGCACTTCCCTATTGTCATTACCCTTCTTGCATTGTCTCCCTATAGAAATTTATTAGAAGATGCTATAGGTAGTATGCTCGGTCTGAGTACCTGGGCCCTGTTAGCTGTGAGAGCAATGCACGCCTCTGCTGTTGGTTTGACAGCTTTGGCTATGTATGCAGTTTTGGCTCAACAAATTGGAATGTAATCATTTGTTTATACATTACTACAAATCTTACAAAGAATAGTTTGAATGTGAGAAGTTATAAATTATTTTAGGCTTATTCTAATTACAGTTAGTTTATGTTTATGTGGTAGTGAGGTGGAACATTATGTGGTATTATTGATTTGTTGAATTATATGTATCAGCCACAGATTTTTAGTATAATTTAGATATATTATTATATTATATTGTACATATATAAATTAAAACCTTTCTAAAAATTCAAGATCTAGAAATTAAATATATACTTATTAGTAAAGTAAATGTCCTTAACAATTCTTCTTTCAGAGTTTTATCTGTGTATCTTTGAATGTTATCTGTACTCTAAGTAGAAGTAACGAAACTATTATACATTCTAGCTGTCATGTAATTTTCTTAGTCTATGTGTCCATAATCCAAGCCATAAATAAATGAAAATACAACAACCAAGTTCGATCCAAACCCTTTGAAGTAAGGTTCCAAGTGATCCTAGCGAAGTCTATGGCAATTATTAACTGTGGTATTATTTTATATATCTAGTGTTCAAAACTACGTTAAGCGTTCATTTTATTTGTAAACTATGAGGTGTAAATTATGATTACTTGCTTTCAATACGCATAGTTTACAAAGATTACTACCGCATTAATTATTGTTTCCCGATTTCTCATATGGAATCGTTTTAACGTGAATAATGGGTTACTTCGATCTGACATACATTCGCAACTAATATGTGGATTGATTTGGAATATTATGCAGTGCTGTTTTCCTTTTGATAACCTTTAACATTTCAAACTTTTATCTTTTCAACTTGGTTTCCCCTGATGCAAATTGTAACCCAAAAGTTTGAAGACCTACTTATGGAGTTTTGTCCTGATACAAAGAGTACACAAAATAATGCTATTAACGGTCCTGCTCTTGCTTTTGAATGCTGTAACGAATGCAAGTGTTATAGCGAAATGTAGTAATAATACGGAGCCGCACTTGACTTTTACCTCTACTAATGATGTGGATGGTCGATATCACATGGAATGGTGCACAGAAAGTGATAAAGATGTCACGAGCTGGGAAGTAACGCTGCGCTACAATGAAAATAGACCGCCAGAAAAGTGCCAGAAGTATGACCTCCTCTTCAGAGGAGCAGTACACTCCCATTTCAATAAAATTGTAAATTCAGACTCACTAAGGCAATGTAGCTATGTAAGTAGTGACAAATTATTGCTAGTACTTTACATGTCTTTGTTTATGCTATATGAAATGTAGGATGGGCACATTTTTGTGCCCCTCTGGGATCTCTAGTGTTGATCAACAATGCTTAAAATGGATTTTTGTTTATAGGCATGCTTTTCTACAAACTTGGACCTTATATTTAATGGTACTTGCTATCACATAAAGACGCTCCTCCATAGAGGACATGAAAGCTCAAGCCCAAATGATTATGTTTTCTTTGTGCAAAATGCATTTCCAAAGGAACATTTTACTAACAGCAGAACCCCAGTCTACATGCAAAGTAATAGGTCAGTTATGACTTTATTCTAAGCTATAAAATATTAGAGTGCAAATACATGTATGGCATGTCCATTAGTATTAATTGCAACTAAAAACATTTGTAATCAATTGCCTAGTGCAATTCTTATAATTTACCACTGCTAAAATGTCTTCTCAACATTTTGCATGCGGGGGAAAGGGTAAAAACTATAATATATAGGTTTACAGTGCAAATATATATCTTACAAAATTTTAATTAACTATCTATAATTTCAAACAAATTGCAAAATAGTTCAAATGTTTCTCTTTCAGTGAACATTTAAGTGTGCACTGGTACTTGAGCTATGTTCCTCTCACTGACTACAAAATGGAACTCTGTCTCTACAATAATATCACTGGACAATTGCAGGTAATATGTGCTTCGATTTTGTGCCACATTGATTTATATTTATATTTTTGCTCCTACCCTCTATAGTAGATACATATATCAAAATAGAAATATGTTTGTTTATTCAGAAACAACACACAAACAATGTATACAATTAAAACTTATGCTACAAACATAAGATAGGGAGATTCAATTGAATTTTAAATAATCTCGCCTATATAGTCACCTCCGAAAATGAAGCCACTTAGCTTATCAGCTAGGAATGGACTAATGTCCCAAAACTGGTATTCTGTGGCCCCTTCAGAGACCAAGCAAGTGAGATTGTTTTACATAAAACATTTTAATAAACATTTCAGACCTCTCTTTTAATATTATTGTTATTATTTATTATTATATCTTTAATTATTTTGTGCCATAAAGGTTGGTACATGTAGCACATAGTACTACAATATAGGATATTTTTATGAGTGCTGTTTAATAAATATTATTATATAATTACTGCATCCCTAATGTCTATATATTGTACAGTATGGGTAAACATAACGTACTTCCTGATCGAAACACTGATCTAGAATTTCAAAGCAGTTGCTTGACTAACTATAGTAGTGATAATATTTCAGAATTGTAAAGATGTAACAGACAAGTGCTCCGTGATGGGTGCCCATCAGAACGAAGTACAATGCGAGATGGTGGCGCCCTACGGCAGCTACTTGGTCCAGTTGAAGCATTTGGCTCCGTGGGATGCGGGCCGTCTCTTCGATACTATACGTAACAAAGAGTACAGATATGGTGAGCCTTTAATAACACTCACACACGCTAGAAGACTTTGATCGGGTTCTACAAATTCCGAATTTCAATATTTCAGAGCACCGCCCCGAGCTCAATGGCCGCGAGGTGGGCAGCAACGGCACCGTTTTGTGGCTCAGCTGCGGTGGACTGGCGATGGCCCTCGTGCTGGCCCTAGCGCTCGTCTTCGTCTGCCGCCATTTGCAGAGGAAGCGGATGTTACGAGGGTTAGTGCAAACTTTCTTTTTTAACTTTTTGGAAATGGGAGTGAGTGTATTAGTGAGAATGGGAGTGATGTGAGGTGGGAGTGGTAGTGTTGTGGCAAAGCAGCACTTACAACACAGATTGGCCTTTTTCGATGACATGCATTGTAAACCTTTTGCTGAACGAAAAAAGGGTAGTAAGGGGTTGAATGAGGTATGAAAAGTTGTGTGGATGTATCGAAGTTAATTGTCTGTCCGTTCGGCTTTAACTCCAATTTTTAATGCCAAATAAGGGTTGATAGGGGTTATAAAAGAGGATGAAAGTTTGTATGGAAATTCGTGGTTTTTGAACTTGAACAAAGGACTCTTTTCTTTGGTTTTATGGGAAGAGGAGTGGGAGTGAGATGAGTATGAGTGTGTGAGTGAGAGTGTTGCGACAAACTAGCACTAACAACATAGGTTGGCTGCCTCAAATGCAGCCTTACATAAATTAATAAACAGCATAAATAATTCAAAATTCTATCCCAAGTCACTATTCCACGCGGACGAAGTCGCGGGCACAGCTAGTAAGTTTCTTTAAACTATACTATACTTTATAAGTTTATCAACAGTAAAGTTTGGTTAATTCTTCCTTGTTTCTTTAATTTAGTTAATTAGCTAATATTTCAGTTATTTTATTGTATGTCTTCTGCAAATGAATCTGGCTGACAAAAAAGAAAATGTCTTAAATGTACAAAAAAATTTTTTGGACAATTATTTTCTGACTGATACCCATATTTCTGGCAATTTGCCACGTTATTTTTCCACCTGTAACAAATTAAAAATCCTTAAATAAGTATAATTTTTATTTAAAACCTAAGCTACTACACTACTAAGTAACTACTTTTGACTGAAATTGATGAAATGAAATGGCAACGAAGCAAACAAATATTTACGTCCTGAATTGAATAATATAAAGTTATCTTGAAATAGTAATACTTCTATTCTATTGTATGTGTCTGTTATGTTATTTGAACATTATGATTCCAAAAAGGTGTTGCCACTTTCGGCGCACTTAGAGATTCATTGGCACAAATAGTTTTTCCACAGGTTTCAGAGTACCATAACATTTAATTTTTTTTAAATCATAAAAAGTAAAAAATAACTTGTGATTACATACTTATATATTGTTAGACCTTAATAAAAAAAATCTACAAACTAACCAAAAGTTGTTTTTATAAAATCAAATAGTATAAGTCTCTCAAAAGATTGAAACCAATTTCCAGATGGAAATCGCAATCGAGCCCCAAGTGCAATTCGGTGCAGCGAAGCCTGCTGCGCGGGCGAGTGCTGCTCCTCTACGCTCGCGACTGCGCACCGCTCATGAAATTGGCAGCTGCTTTGCGCACTTTGCTAAGAAGAACAACAGACGATAAGGTGTATACTCATTTCAGTTAAATACAAAAATAAATTTAATTTATATTAATTTAATCTCTAGTGTAGATTATAAAGCGGAGAGATTTGTATAATTCTTCTGTTTTTAATTGATAAATTCTAAAACTATTTATGCTGATAACTGATTTAATAAATCTTACACCCTGAAAAACGTAGGCTAGGAAAGATGAGGGATCCTTACTAAAGCTTTAGTAACGTTAGGCAAGAGGCGCTACGGAAACGATCGATAAACCGAAATGTACTACGACTTAAGAGTTTAACAATTTAAGACGCAAAATTAGTCTTGCTTATTTAAAAAAATATTTTAACTTAGCTTTGCAGCAGTCGTGGTCATGGGGGAGACCCGACTCCTCCATTAATGTGTTTTATTTTAATGTGTACTACTCGCGTAAACTACAGACAGTATTACATCTTTGTCTATACATTTTGCGAGAGTTTAATTAAAATATTTTAGGTCCTGTATGTTTTCAAAAATGTTTTATCGTTTAGTAGTATTAGATAGAGTATGTGTCGCGGTATCTGTCGGTCTGTAAATTTTAATTTGCCCGAGAAGTTTTTGAAACGAATTGTGACACTATTGTTAGATGTAATTTACGAGTAACGGTCGGTCTCAGCGGTGCGAGCGGCGACCACGCGTAAATAGAGTGCATTAAAATTAAATATTTACAATGAAATAGCAGTTAGACATATGCTATCGCAGTAGTTTTGCGTATGAGTATATTTTCTGAAAAGTCGTAGAACGTTGTTTAGTTCTATAATGAACAGTTTCCGCATCGCAAGCGACAAAAGATTGTTCATTTCTAAAGTTTTGGTAGGGATCTCTTATCTAACCGATAAATATAGCTTGAATGTTTTTTTTAATCGGCTCAGTAGTTTTTCATTTTATACAGACAAATACAAATTTTTCCTCTCATCGTAATATTTGTGTTGATTTGAATTTATTTCATAAATTACCTGAATTAATCAAAGCCTCGCAAAATTAAAAAGGAAATTGTCTCTATTAATATTGGCTGTCAAAATTTAAAACTGCACAATTTCAATTTTTCATCACTACATATTTTTTTGGTATATCGTTTGAGGTGCTAGCTGTTGTTGTGTAAAAGTGAAAGCACGTTTCCCCCTCGTGGGGCGTGGGGCGAACACATTACTCCCTAATTTTAAAGGGGGGGGGCCCCCACGCGGGTGTAACCGTTTGGCTACAGAGGCGGTGCTGTTGCTGTAATGAGTCGTTATTCGCGTTCACAGGTGTATGACTTGTACGCAATGGAAACGTGGACGGAGATCGCCGGCGCGCCCGGTGAGTGGGTGCGACGCGCGCTGAGCCGCTCCGACGTCCGCGTGGTGCTGCTGCAGACGCCCGCGCTCGAGCAGCTGCACCGCGCAACCGGAGACCTCAAACGTAAGCAGCACTGCCGCTTTTAGGCTCGATGCCCTTACAATAGTAGTAGTCGTTGCCACAGATGATACAGGATTAAAGAAGTATCCACTATATATGGACTACACGACCTCGATATTCACTTTAATGACGACTTATTTTTTAATTTCTTATGTCATTATTTATTTACCTCGACGTTTGTATCGCGTTTCAGCGATCGTGCACGATTGAGATTTCTACCTTCTATTGTCGTCGTCTTTGCTTACATCCCATCCCTAATCAAACTAAACAAATTTTAATCTGAGCTTTCAAGTTGGTAAAATTCATAAAAGTACTTAAAATAAATTTGCGCAAATAAATTTATTTTAAGTACTTTTATGAATTTTACCACGAACTTGAATTTAAGGTCGTTCAATTGTTTAATATATACCCCAGTGGCTCAAAGTGTTTTTAGTGTAAGTCAATGCAAACTTTGGGAGAAAATCACGACTTCATATAAATTGTGTGTTTGTTTACCAAAAATGCCAAGTAAGAAAAAATGCCAGCCACTAGCCACGGTCTACTAAATTACCCAGCGGAGTTTTTGGGATTTTGCTTCCCCCATAATATTGGGTTCGTTTACGAGGTTTTCGATCTTCTCGTTTTTGCTAATTCTCCAGCTTCCATCCCCCCTTTGCGTCGGGCCAAGAATCTTCCGCAAAATCCTCCTTTCGGCCACCAGTAACTTTTCCTCTTCCTTAAGCGCCAACGTCCATGTCTTTCGGATTTTGGTTTCGGGTAAGTAATTTGGACGTTAACACCTTATGGAGGGCGTTTTGGATCCGGATATTTATTTCCTCTTCCCTTGAGTTCTCGTGTCCGTGTTATTGTGCAGCCGAGGTACTTGAATTTACTTGTGCCCCTGAATGAGATACCGTCCACGATACCGTAGGTCCTCAAGTGCTTTCTTTTGTCCTTATAGCGTTTCATGTGGAGGTATTCCGTTTTCTCTCGGTTTACTTCAGACCAATTCCAGCTGCTTCGGAGATCAATGTTCTCGCCAGATATTGCACCTAGTTCTTTGTTTGGCCTAGAAGAGCCAAATCGTCGGCGTATCCAACTACCCTATGCTGTCCATTTAGCCTTACACCTACATCCAGCGCCATAACATTGTGAATGACGTGTTCTAGTGCCAAGTTGAACAGCATTGGGGATAGCGCGTCTCCTTGTCTTAAGCCGGTTTTCAACACGAATTCCTCTGATAGTCCGCTCCCTACACTATACGCATTCTGCCGCTGTCGGTTGCGACCTTAACCAGGGAGCCTAGTTTTTGCGGGATCCCGAAGTTGCTCATAATAACGTACAAAGAGTCTCTATCTATGCTATCGTATGCTTTGCTAAATTACAATACAATATAATCTATATATATCACAATATTATCGATTTCAATCAATTTGGTGGACATATTTTCTTTTGAATAATATTGTTTTAATTAACAAAACATACATAAAAAACACTCACCACATCTTCCACTTACAAAAGTAAAAAAAAAAACTTTGCTTTGCAATGAGTTACTCGTACCCTTAGTCTGTTCTGGTTCCAGTTCCAGTTCAGATTCCGTATCATTTACTGACTCTGGTTCATTTTGCGGTACCTGTACCTCTTTTTCTTAATCGTATTCTGTATATGACGCCGAGTTAATATATCTATCTATTATTTATTTTTTGTGTTGATTATTGTTTCCTTGAACCTGAAATCTTCATTTGACGTTGCAAATAGTCAAAGTAATAAAGTCGACGAGCGTAATTAATAATAATATGAAACCTTTTAATTCAGACAATCACAGGCCCACCGTGTGTGTTAGTTATAAATAAAGGCATGTAAAAAAATGAATGATGTTGCAGCCGAGCGACCGGCGGCCGGGCGTAGAACCCTGTACAGAGTCCCTCACGCGGCGGATGACCTGCTGTCGCTCTGTTTGCGGCTGCTCAACGAGACCGCCCACCACACGCCCTCCTACCTCAAGTACTACAAGGCCGTGTGAGTTATTGCACTTTGTGCTAATTGCACTTATTTTATTCCGAGACCTCTAACGTCCCCTGTTGAAGGAGATAGGTTATTCTAATCAGTGGCGTTATGTGTCACTAGTTTGTTTGAGCCCAACATTTGTCCTTCTGCCATCTGATATACCGCCCCCAGTTATACAAAAATAGTATTCTGACATGTCCTAGAACATGAAACTAGACGACATATGGTGCCAGTTGCTGAAGAGCATCTGGCCCGCTCGGTAGACTGAGGCCCATATCCCCGTTGGATCATTTATTCCTAGGAACTATCCGATGATATAAATTAATAGTGTCTCGTAAAACGAAGTTTACTTTTTTCAGTATATCGGGTCTAGAAGTAGACGTGGCGCCATCCGTGACACCGCTGCGCTGCTACCGGCTCCCGGGCGACGCCCTTACGCTGGTACGAGACCTCGATCCCACCCTGTTCCCGGCGGACCCTATGGCCCCGTCGGGCGCCGCGTCTCCGCCGTGTCTCACGGCCGAACTGCGCGCCCTAGAAGAGGCCAGCGAGGAGTTGTTGTCCCACGTGCGGGAGAACCCCGCCTACTTGACTGAAGAGCTGCTTTTTATTTAGGCTAATTCATCGCTTCCTAAGGAAACGTGACAAAGTCTTCCATGGAAGTTTGACTCGACAGTAACGTGTCTGGTAAAGTTCTGTGGTTTGGGTTCAGTAAACGGAAACTTAATGGTTAGTCATTTCTTTTTCAAAGCTTTCATTCGACGAAGGTGGAGACAATCCTCGATATGGGGACATGTCACTTCGCGCGGTCGTCTACGCTACGTATTATAAAAGAAATCTTATATGATAATTATTGATTCAACTTAAGGGTGCACCACTGCTGAGCAGGTGTGTCTTCTGTTCCTCCACCATAATCAGCGATGACGGGGACAGGCGGCCCGTAGTGTTCACCGTGGCACGGGTGGAAGCTTTCTTTCTTCGGTAAAAGTATTGGAAATCGCTTAGACAATCCCATCTAGCCACCGGACCAACGACGCCGTTATTTACGATAACGATAATTGTTATTTAATTGTAATTACATCGAATCTTATTATTTTTAATTCGTTATAATGTATAGTAAGTACCGTACACTAAAGTACGTCGATATAAGAATCCCTTATTTCAGTGGTGAATGTACTAACGAACACTATGAAATAAACGCGCGATAATCTCGCTATATCTATACTAATATTCTAAAGCTGCAGAATTTGTTGGTTTCTTTAACTCGCTAATCTCAGGAATTACTTCTTCGAATTGAAAATTATTTATATGTTGAATAGATCATGGGTTGAGGCTATATGACGCTGCGACTAATAGGAGCAAAGATACCTTAAAACATCCTTATTTTTCAGAATCAATCTTTCCTACATTTTTTTATATATATAGACCTGTTTGATTGCAGTGTGTTGTTTTATAGCCCAACCTTCCTTGATGAATGCTCTATCACAAAATGCCTTTTCTTTTTTTTTTCAATTTAAGAAAGAACCAGTTCGAAGAAACGTACTCTTCAGCTTTATGATATTCGTATAGATATTTCGTCCACTGCTGCATTCAAAATACAACTTATTTATCTATTTTTAATGTTTATTTTTAAGAAAACCATAGGTAATAATATGTCCACTCCGAAGTACCTGTTAAGTACGTAAGTAAGTGTTGAAAATAAGAAAATATATTTTTTAAATCATGACATAATGTTAGTTTCGCTTATCAAATGCTAAGTAAATAGGGAATATGTTATTATTAAGTTTTACAACGAGCGTTGGCATAATTTTCCCGATGATGTCTCAAGCCATGTACAATTGTTTGTAAATAAATGTTCATTTTAGTCTTTAGAAATGTAAATATGTACTTGAAATGTTTCATTATAATATAGTGTTTTAAACGTGAAACCATCCAAAAGGGGCCTTACACGCGTTCGTCGCTAGAAATAGAAGTTTTTAGAAATAATATGCAATAAACCTCTACATTTTAATAAAAATCGCAACTTTGGTAACCCTCTGTTGAAGTGGCCAGTTCATTTATTTCTCCCATCCCTCGACGATTCCCGAATGGCGTGCTCGCGCCTTCGATGCCCGAGCGCCATTCACATTCAAGTGTTTTGGCTTTAATAGTTAATGCGCGAGTCGCGGTTAGCTCATAAATAGACGTTTGAAGTTGGCGCGACGTCCGTGTGACGCGTGGCGTGCGAGCGAGAGGGCTCGCCGGATGGACGCGGCCATCGTTCATTACGGCGGACGAGCCCGGCCCGGAACAAAGGAATCGTAGCTGATGGTCGGTGCGATTCGTGTAAATCGACATTTAATTTTGTCACGTCAAGGGTATTATGTTCATATTGGACCGTTAACCGTCGTGCCGCTAGTCGCAGAGTTTTTATCGGCGTTGTAATATTGTCGAGCGGCCGGCTCGTTATGTAACCGGGGAGAGCCCTTCCTCCCCCCCCCCCCAAGGGCTTCCCCGCGGTTTTTTTTGGAGGGGCCCCCCCCCCCCCCCCCCCGCCGGGGGAAAAAGAGCCCGTTCGGCGAGGTGTCGGCCGGCCGCGATCTCCTTTATCATCAATGGGCCGCCGGGCGAGTCCCTCCGCTGCGGCGTCGGAGGACGACTTACGCGACGTCTGAGGCGATCTGCGATCTCATCCCGCGGCGCGGCGCGTCCCGACGGCGATCGATAGGCCGCGGCGGGCGCCGGCCGAAGTCGCGGAGCGCTCGGCGTTAGGTCCTTTCGGCATTAATGAGCCGTACCCACTTCAGCTGACTGCGTCGTACGCGAGGCTACTCCGAGCGAAGTAGTAGTAGGCCGGCGTTCGCGGGAGGCGGTCGAGTGTCGCTCGCGCTGATGTTCGGATGTCATCGATTACAATGGTTTCGGAACGTCGTCCGTAGGCGTGAATCGTGCGAGTCGCGTCGAGTGTCGGGCGCCGTGCGACGGTTCGCGTGGCGAAGCTCGAGCCCCGGCCCAGAGCGGGCGCAGTGCAGTGAGTGCCGCGGAGCATCGGAGGCTCAATAATGCTCAAATTCTTGACTCACAAGCTACGAACGCATTCGTTGAATGAGGAGAACGTTTCGGAGAAGGTGGGTGTAGACGCGGCCGCCGCGCCTCGAAGGTCACACCGCCACCAGAAAATGGCCGCCCGTTCGCGAGAACAAAGAAGCGGAACGTTCGCCGACTCCGCCGGCGCTCGTTCGCCCGTGTTACGCGCCGGTCTCCTCTCGCTTCGTTCGGACGCGGTCGAAGGAGGAGCCGAGAGGAGAGCGGTCCGTAACAGAGGCTCTCGGTGGCGGTGCACTTCAGAACGTTCGCCTTCTGAGCTGGACTTTTGGTTGCAGGTGGAGGAGCGGGACTCCGGCACCGAGTCGGACGACGAAGCCGAGCGCGCTGACTCCGGTGAGTGCCACTTCTGGCGGCGCAAGCCGGCCGGCAAATAGACGTACGACCTATTCTAATTAGCATACTCGTTTAGCCGTGCCGAGGTAGGTACTCGTGCGCTGCCGGCTTATTGTTTATTTATATTATGACCGGTTATTGTAAAAATTACGGGTCGGACCCCGGCCCGCTGACGAGTGACCTTCGCCGGCGTCCTTGAACTTGCGATCGGCATACGCGTGCACTGTACGTCGTAATTAGGCACGACGCATCGGCCCAATCGTCTTTCGACGATTGTGGGCAGGGCCGATTCGGTGGTAGTAGTCGAAAGGACCCGGTTTCCTCGTACGAGAGCGGTGCTTTATCGCAGACATCTTATTTTGTTTTCTTTATCTGCTTTATCGCTGTTGTTCTCGGCGTCACTAATATTAGCCACATATCTGATAAACTGTATTATCTCCGGCGCGCTTTTAAGGCACCAATGACAAAATAGCAACAACGAACGCTTTACCGTGTGTTCGTTGTATTTGAGGCATGAGCTTAATTGCACCTAAATAAACAAATCTCGAACAAAGACGCCAATCGTCTCCTTATCTCGTGAGTCCAGAGTCAAGTTGTAGGTCAAATTATATTATGCTTGTTTTGTGCACAGTTTATTCTTGCGCGAGTACGAGTAGGTACGAATACCTATGTTTAAATGTTGTTTACTAGATTCGTGGTTCAACCCGTTAATCCCACCGCTGGGCGGGATTCAACGATTACTACTACTAAGAGAGGATAAAACGGTACCGACACCACCTAAACTAATGTTCGCCCTGCCCGTGCTTCAAACCCTGACCGGATCGGTGATCAGTTTCTTTAATTTAAGATAACAATCAATAGTAATTCTGCAGCGACGCGCAGTCTGCCCCATTCCTGATGTCAGACTGTGCGATAATGCAACTGTTGTTAAATTTTCCATTGATAATTCATGCACAATTCAAGGCCACGACGCGATCACGTCACTGCTCGGTATCGCCACGTCGAGGATCGGCGCCGAACGATATACCTATTATTATTTCAATTAAAATATTGCACCTTCTTTCAAAATCACTGCTTTTTTGGACTCGATGTTGTCAACCGAGCTGAGCTACCTTAGTATAGTCAGGATATTGTACGTTCACGTATAAACGGTAAAGTGTTTGCTTTGTGATAGCACAATAGGTGATGATTTTTATTATATTTTAAAATTTTCATATAATTTGCATTCCAAACACTTCCAGCGCATTAATTAAGATGACAATTGTAACAGATTACTGCTGCGAGAAATATGGTTCAAGTAAAATTCGTAAACATAGAAATGAAAAATGTTGCAGTAATGTCTACGTCGATGTTGAGGGTAGTTCAAAAAGGTAGTGACGATTTTCCATAGTATGTTACTACCTACATTCATGGGATATATGACCGATTGATTTTAATAGGCTTGGATAGTTAGTTTTAGTTGTGTCATTAATTTTGAGCATGAACAATATTATGTAATATAAATGATCTTTTATTTAAAACTCAAAATTACACGCTTTTAGTTATTACTAGTTAGTATACGGGTTTGTTGCCATATTCAGTTGAACTTTTTATCTATACTAATATTATAAAAAGGAAAGATTTGTATTTTTGTATGTAATGGGTAAAATCAAAAAGTAATGGGCCGATTTTAATAATTCTTTTTTCATTAGAAAGCTACATTATCACTGAGTAACAAAGGCTATATTTAGCACTTGATTACTATAGGCATCTAAAGAAATTTCGTACTAAAACCAACGGAAGGCGGAAAAAAATTATAAGTATTAATGGCAACTGACTGCGAAAAGTATTAATGATGAGGACAAAAAAATGTTCGACAATATATTCTTATATCAATATCTACAAAAAACATCGCGAAAGCATATGTCTAACTATTGTAGTTACGTCGCTATAACTACTTTTTACATTTAACAAATTGATAGAAATGCCTATCAAAATCAGACCGTGTTATCCTTACCATTTATACATTTTTATCCAAATAAGTAATTTAATATTTAAGACTGTCTCAATACCTGATGATTACTTTTTTTTAATTATTGAAATCGGACATTCCATTCAAAAGATATCATGAAATAAAAATAATGCCGGCGGCGACTGCCACGCCGCGCATCGAGTAACTAACTCGACGATAGAGAGGCAGTGGGCTTCTTACGCAGTGGGCGCGAACGACATCGAATATTTCGATCTTTTTTTAAATATTTTTATGCTTCACTTAAAAAGTTATTTTCAAAGCACCTTTTTTTTGTACCGTCGGAAAATGCCTCCCTGGGTGTACGGCTCTGTATTAAGCTGACACGTCTAACGACTGCTCAAGCGGCAGCCCATATGTGAAAGCGAGCTAGCTTGTCTCCTTGGCCTAAATGCTGCGCTAACACACCCCAGTGGACACGGACCAAAAGCCGTCGCCCGCCCGTGACCACCTTAAGGGGAGGGGTGCCGCGAGACTGTGGAAGACGATGCCGCCACACTTCGCCAGCGGAGAGACAGCCGAATGGCCGCAGTCCACTCCCGGAGTTTGTTAAGCATACCCCTCGCGGCGCGGTGCAATTGCGAGGGGTTATGTTGGTCTCTCCCACCTCTAAAGAGGTGGGCATACCGCACTAAAAACCGACTGCGCCGTCTTATCGCTTAAGGATGAGCCACGGTATCAGCAGAGCCTTAACCACGTGACCCACCCTGGCGAATGCCGCAGCCAAGCTGCAGCTCTCCTAAAGCGGCCGAAGCCGCTTCCGCGCCTCTCCTTTGCCACCTTGGAGGCAGCACGCTGACTTGGAGTCAGCCGTCCCACGTGCCCGAAGACACCACTGCCCAGCAGGGCAAAAACACCTAAAACGGGCGAAAACGCCCCCACCATTATGCCTCCTGTAGGGTTTTCTATCGAAAACCAATCAGGAGCTTTCACCTCGCGGTCTTGGAGACACGCTATCTACCGTGCCGAAGCACCACTGCGTCCGAAGACCCGACGACAAAAGGCGCTGAGCGCCCGAGCGATGAAACGCCGTTTAGGGTACGCCCGTGGAAACCCACCAGATTGATTATTATTAGTTCATTCTTAATTTCTCTGATTTAAAATTAATATAGCAATATGCCTAGAACAAAAAGATTGCAGATATCTAAGAATAGTTTCCAAGCGAGATTAGCAAAAGTTCCTCATATTGGAGAGTCTTGGGGAGTCGTCCCAATTGCGAGCCAGAGAATCTATCGTCGAATATTCAGGTTCGTCTTGCAGAACAAAATGCAAGATCGTCGCAGCGACTTGAAGGAAATAGAGCTAGGAATTAGCGAACGCGTGCACGGGACACTAAACACTGAACGCTCGCAGCGAGATAACCAGTGAGATAGACCACGGTCGTTAATAGAGAGGACGCGCAATACAATTTTTTTTTAATTTAGTGATTCATGGTCGTTTTAATTAGCATGTTTATAATTTAAATATTTGTACTTATTCATGTCTACCCGTGCGAAGCCGGGACAGGGCCGCTAGTTATCTAATAATGTGATTCGACTACTCTGTGAAAGACAGACACAAATACATGTATAGCGTTTTTTTATTTTCGTTGCACTTTCATTTCATATTTTTAGCCATGGCCCACCACACCACTTTCATTGAGTTTTTACTTTAAACATCACGTTGACGGTATTATGGGAGCCGCCTTTTTCAGTAACTCCATATCTATATCTTAATTATAAAGAGGCTCATAATAAGAAATTTGTTTGTATTTGTCGATTCGGTAAACAGTCTTGCTATTAGAAAGCTACATTTACTCTGAGCAACGTGAGGTTATATATTTGTTTGGAGATAAGATTTCCCTAATCTATCCCTAACTTACGTTTTAGTTACTTAGACCCGAGATATACAAAATGATAAAACCATCTTTAATTTCACGCGCTGCGGTGTGGGTTATTTGAATGCACGAATACCAACAAAAAATAGATCACTTTATACATACCTATGTTTAAACCATATCTATAAGTATAAGTGAGTTATATTATTATTAAGTTTGTCATTGTGAAAATGGCAATTCTATGCAATAGATTACGATTTAGAATTGAAAAAAATATAAACTAAAAAGTAAAAAAAATCGCAAAGTAATAAATAAGTATATTTTGATTGAAAAAATTAAAAACGATTAAATTTGTAGGTATGTATAAAAAATAACTAGCTGTGTCAGCTACTTCATCGTAGAATAGTTACCTATTTTGGGCATCCAAATTTATATTTGCATTTTTTTAAACGTTGTTACCCAGGGCAGCAGCGTCCCATCACTCGCGACCCTTCGTTCTTGCAAGTTAATCAAAAAACGTAGACAAAGGTATAGCGTCGCGAACTTTGTTTAAGATAAAGAGGAATCATTCTTTCATACATATTTTTTTGGCGTCTTGAAACGTTTTCGCAGCGTACGCATCGGATACTTACAGAGATAAATAATTTTGCCCGTTTGTCCCACATTTTCCGCTGTATATCTATAATTTTTAATTCGAGCCAGCAGTTCCTCAGATTAGCGCCATTAATGCCAGTTATGAATAGCAGTACGCACTCTTTTACGCAGCGAAATTTAAAACTGCTAATCGTACCTACAGATTGTTTTTAAGTAGTGACTCCAAATTATGATGGCTTTTAGAGCAAGCCACGCTCTCTAAAACTAACCATAAATAATAATCCAGCGGACTAAGATCGGGACTGGACTTCAGCTTGAATGAAGCCCGAATGAAAATCTTTTGCTTTCGGACAGGGTTCCTACGAATTCTCTCCCTCCCTGCTTTAACCACCTTTTTCGTCCGAACACTACGTGGAAGACCAGATCTTTTTCTGTCACAGACAGAGGAGGTCTCATTGTATCTATTTGTAGTGCGGCACACGAGCATTTTATTTATACCAAGCGTATGGAGTTTTAAAAATTGCATTTGGCTCCATATCTACTTTGGGTACCTAATGCAATCACGGCGAGAATATAATCTCTTTATCACCCCCCTCCATTTTAATATCGAATAATAATATAAAATGACAGATTCGAAATTTAATTTATGGCCAGACTAAGTATTAGTATCGATTTTGAAGTCGGTGCTGATTAAATGTTTCGACATTTAATTAGCAGCAAATAAATTAACTATAAATTGTCGTATAGTCCAGTTCATTTGCATTAAATTAAATAAATAGAACTTCAAGCTTACAATAATTCTCATAGAGGTAAAAATAGCTATGAATGTTCAGATTACCCCCTTGTCCATTTTTTTTATTGATGATGGAAGTTTGCGAAAATAGGTTCTTCTCAAATCTCAATCTCACACTAATAACAAGTGAAAAAATAAGTTTTACGATCTTTCGACTGCAATAACATGTAAAAAATATTAATGTTTTCAAACGTTATAACTTTGTAATTTCATCTTCAATGATTTCTTAAGCTGCAAAGCATAAGGCATTGAACCTTAGTTCGCAAGTGTTAAGGTTGAAATTACATTGCGCGAGAGGTGCATGTATCAATAAGTTGAAAAAATTCAACGATGAGGTGTAGGACTCGGTAGCTCAATTGGTAGAGCAACAGCACGGAAAGCTGACGATGCCGGTTCAAGTCCTGCCCGAGTCGAAATTTTTTTCAATTTATTTTCGATTTTTAAATTGTCCAATGTTATCATCATTATTTCAAAAAGTTTTTATACTTTTCCTTTAATTTAGTTGGTAATTACTGCAAAAACAGTGAAAAGGCTCGCATAATCTGCATTTTTAGGCTAAGGCACGTTTGTTGTACAATACGCCGTTTAGCTGAACTTATTTTTTGTAAAGTTTCAGCACCAATAAAAAATGCACGATGTCGATGGGGACTTTTCTCAATTCATTTACAGTAGTATTCTGAGCGTTTATACCAATTTTAGTTCTATGGGAATAAATGTAACTTTACCTATATTTTACGCATTAATTAATCGGCTCGACTTAGGTACTAAATGTATGTAAAATCTTTTTAAGATTCCCTCGATTTCTCTGCTCTGATCTGATCTGATCATCACAACCCGACTTCCTAATTCCTTGAAAATCTCTACATTCCAAAAAAGAATAATTAAAATTGGGTCTTAACTCTTAAATGACGAATTTATGCGCAAATAAAACACAAAGAACATCAAATTGAGAATTTATTTCTTTGAAGTCCGTTAAAAAGTCAGATATAGAAAGGGGGCTTACCAGGCACAGTAGCGGGTTGCGGCGTCGGCTAGTTGACGATATTTTTCTTATTCGTTTATTATTATATTGTTAAACAAGTCATTTATTTGAATACGGTTTGATATTGTGTCGATAACATTTTGGCAAATATTAGACAGTTATTCACATATCTCACGGTCCCTTCGCGATAGTTTGAGAAGAAGGAGCTTTCCTCAAAAACTATCCAACATACAAATAAATTTTCGTAAGGCAGCGCATTAAAACAAACTCTAAGCTTTGTAATATTAGTATAGATTGTAAATTACTCTCGAGTTGCATTGGAACCGCCGCCTTATCGTCAGAAGCAATAATCCATATTCAATTGTTCGGGCATATTAGCACATAAACAATTAGTGCTATGACTAGTGTCTGTTCGCCTCGGCCGTCATTGTGCTCGCTTGACAATTTTCGCTAAACAATCTAGTCTTATATTCCAAAGCGCTACGTTTACTACTACAGCTCGAGTACTTACATTCGAAATGGACTAATTACGGTATGGCATGCGTTTGTTCCTCCATAAGGGTTCGCGACGGATTTTTTTTAAGCGTTTGATCGTCGCAAACCTATGGTCGCGCCCGTGCCGACGAATGAATGGGCGAGGCGTAGCAAAAACCCTCGGTAGTATGGCGCGGCGTCTTCCGTCGCAAAAAGCCGACTATCCTCTACTACCAAAGGTTCCAGGAATTGGCGTTTTTTCCACCTCGCGATCTCGTCCGCGTCGCACGATAAAAATCTCGGAATTACAATCGCGCTGAAGTAAAACCGGTCGAATCACGATGGCGCTGGACGTCGGGTTACGCCGTTGTGCCGTGTTGCGCGTTTTCAGCCCCGTCTTTCGATATCTGGAGTAGAGTAGAGTCAATGGTGAATAAAAGTAAAATTATTCCCTTATATTCTCAATATCTACCCCTAACTGCCGGTCAGAAAAGAACTTTCGAGTGTTCTACACCGGATCCTATTGGCTCCGACGATAACAGAGAGACACACGAGGCCCGAAAATCAAATGCGACATCTGGAGCACAAAAAGCCTACAGTGAAATAAAGGTACGCGATTTCCGTAAGCGTTTATGTGACGATTGGCGAGCGATCGGCCGAGAGCGAAGCCCGAACCGGTGGGACTGGTTTTTTCAAACGTCGCTTTTACGAGTCCTTTATTTTCAGGCGTGATGGACGGGCGCACTTTCGACAGCGGGGCGAAAAGACGACTTCAAATTATCATGTAGAATCTGAACTTGTGACATCTTGAAAGGCTTTTATGCGATGGAAAGATATGAGCACTAGGTACCGAATGGAATAATAGTCGACGTTGAAGAACAGCCTCAGCGATGAGATTTGCAAAACACGAAAATACACTAATATCAACGGTCACCGTTTGTTGTGTTCGAAACTCTAATGATAGCAATGGAAGCTCACATCTCCGACGATCGCGACACATTCGAGGGATTCGGGAATACTCACACCCGAATCCCGGTCGTGTCAGCTGTTTATCGTTGCACGCCGCGGGGTCGCCGACACACATTCAATGTTATCGCTGCGCCCAACTCTTAGTTTTACGTCTCTATCGACACTTGAGAATATCGTTTAGTGGACTCGTTTGCCATTTTTAGGGTTTCGTACCCGAAGAGTTAAAACGGACTCCGTATATCGACACTTCACTGTCTACATACGAATACCACCATTTATCGCAAATGTGTTGCAACTTAGCTGTCTTGACATCGCGGCTGAAATTTTGCACATAGTCCGTACTTCTGCTGGCGCTGTAAAGACAATCGATCGATATAAAATTTCAAGCGACATGAATTTGGGCGTCCGAAAGATGCGGTGTCGGACACAGTCTGTAAAAAGGAGGAGCAGGAAAAGGAAGGCAGGTCGGTCTTTCCTACGTCAATTTGTGTCTAAAGTAGCTCTCTATTCAGAACAGATTCGCGAAGTCGAATCGAGCGTGGCGAACGGCGTACGGCATGCACTAGGTTCTAGCATCTAGGAGAGAGGTCGTCGCGGCGGGCGTTCACCCCGACCGAATCCAGGTCGCGAAGGTTGCTGCCGCGCGGTTGCCGCGCCGTTGCACACGTACAGACGGACGCACATATTGTGCCATGCGACCGAGAACATTCCGTGTGATGGCCCACGAGACCCGACGAACGAAAACCACTTCGCTAATATCTGGCGTTTCGTATAAATGTATTTCGGAGAATGTCTTACAAACGTTGAGCAGTTCGTTATGTGCCCACTTCGTCGCTCTATTTAGTATGGAACATTGATTGTAAAAATTCCCTCGAGTACTTATTATATGCTAATATTACTTGTTATATGCGTATGCGAAGTGTTTCTTTATTTACGCAGAAACCGCTTTGCTTGAGTGATTGATGAGCGAATTACGAAAAAACGTGCGCCGGCGAACAGCGGCTCTGGGGGAATCGTTTAGCTAGCCCCTAAACTAACCTGGCCCAGAGCTGGTTTAAATAATGGAATGCACAGACCACCATAGTAACATTAAACACTGGCTAGCTACCTATTCTCGTTCTTAAATTAATAATTTATTACCGAATTAAAAAAAGGAGGAATGTGATGTTTGCGCATTCCTTCGTGGTTTATGCGCATATTTTATTTATATTTATATATATATAAAAAATAAATATTTATCAAATTATTGTTTAACTAAGTTAAAAATTTAAAATACGTATCACACGTAGGTGCGAAGTTATTCTTTTTAGCTTTTTAGCTGTTAGATATCGGTTTTTTATTGTTAGTTATCTAATCGCGAGCTCATCTGATTACTACACATAATGTTTTATTTTTAGATTTCCGTATCTTATCCGTCTACGAGTTCCCATTCGTAATTATTGCAAATAGCGATCCAAATTTGTATTCATCAATTCAATTCTAAAATCTCGGCATCGAGTGAACGTTCTCGTGATTTTATTGTCCAATTGAGAGTCCTATTGGAGAGGGAGGCACCGAAATGCAAAGCAGAACAAGATACAAACCTAGAACGTATAATGCGCCTTTGACCGGTTTTACTCTAGGGTTTATAGAAACAGTCAAACAGCAATTACGGCGGCAAATCTCTTTGTGCTATGTGATCTCACGAATGAACTTTTTGCAACTTCCAGATATCGAAAGAAAAAAAAATTGGTAAAGTATGTCGCGGGTGTCACATTTTTGGGTGACCACGGTCGACGGTCTATCTTGGTTTTGCCGACTCTCTATCGGCGATTTGACAAAATTCAAAAATTATATATTTTATATTAACTGTCTTCGTGTCTGGCTTTTTGTTTAATCATTATTTTTCTGATTTTCAGGTGAATATTGCGCCGACGTCATAATGAAGTGGAACGACGTCACCGATATCAGTGAGTTTTCTTCTTTTTACTTGAAAAATATTTAGTTTAGTCTTATTTATTAAAACCGTACGACTATTACGTAAGTGTAGGCAGCTTTTACTACAAGTTGTTCCACGTTGGTCGTTTTGTCTTAACATGTGACAACGTGGGAACCGATTGTTTTTTTTTTTTTATTTACTATTACTCAATCTCTTTCGAAAAATACATACATCAAAGTGCCTGCATGCCGAATAGTAGTACTTAGATCCAAACTTTTGCTATTAGCGAAAAACAAAGGTGCCTTGTAAAAATATCCACGCGCTTGGACCGCATTCGATTTGTTTTGGCCGCTGCCTATGTCTATACGGAGCGCTCTTTTGGCACTGACCGGTCGCTTAGAACTTGGCACGGCGGCGAGGAAGTTGTGATCTCTGTAGGAAGACAGCATTGACGCGAAAATAGAGATTGGATCTCGCGCTTTGTTCATTATACGGAAATGTCCTCGAGTATCCACCTAGGTATATGTGTAGGTTTCGAGCATCACGCGAGACCTCTGATGTCGAGTAATCTCTAGCTCATCGGATGCTCGTTGGGGTCATTTGCACTTCTGTAGTATCACTGTCGCGTTGCAAATAAAATGTAAATGTTCGTTCGAGCTTAATCGTTCGTGTAACTGCGTGCTTGCGGTTTCGCCGTGAGCTTTGCGGTCCGTATCTCCTTTACGCAGCTAACGCTACGATGTTCGGTCGACGGTCTATCTTGGCTTTGTTTATTATGTTCTCAAAAGGCTTACTCTCGTAAGGCGACGACAATCGTTGTACGGCGGCGTAAGCGTGACGGCGGCCATATTGCGCCCGCGCCGAAATCGAGATTACATCACTGCGCAAAAAGTCTCAGGTGAAGTGCGGGTGGAAGGCAGTGGAGGGGAGGGTAGTGAACGGCCTTGGCCTTGCTCGAACGGCCAAGGCGAGCTCCGCCTCGAATGTGCCGCAATTATACATACGTTCGCCTCGCTCGCAGCCGCCCACCGGTCTGCTGGAGTCGAACGCGTCGTGGTCGCCACCTTGACTTATCGCTGTTCGAGCTCTTCCTAAGAAAACGACTAATGCGATGTATTTATACCATGTACATCATTGCGGGCAATCGTATTCGAAATCTGCCAGTCCTCAAAAGTTAGTTTTTGGGTAGTTGTACATCAATTTGCATTTGTGACTTTACAGTTGTCAATTTTTTTCCAAAGTTGCTCCAGTGTTTTCGGAAATTTTCTAGCGTTTCCCTCTTCTTTTCTAGCGTTCTGGTAGAAATCCAAGAACCAAACAAGCGGAACGCACATATCGTCAAAATTAAGATTTCTCTTAAGTGGTATGCGTACCAACAATATTCCACATATAACGATAGCTTTAGCTGCGAAAACTGGTCGTATTCAATAAATAAATTGAATCGATACGCGAGCGGTAAGCCGAATAATCGAATAGTAATCCAGATTAAATCGCATCGCCCTCGTATCCGTGTCGGATCGCGGATGAAGGGTGAAACCCGGACACTTCTCTGCGAGTTCTGGAAATCGCAGAAGAGTTCTTGATAACGTCGCCTACACAATTATTAGGTGGAATATGCAAATAGACATTATATTCGGTTTACGAAAGACGCTCAGTGAGTCACATCAGGTCTGTCCGTGTGTATAGGACAGTGTCCAATGGGGCAATTCTTCCTGATAAAAGAGATTCCGCTCGGCCTCTAATTAAATGCTATGGATGCTAAACCGCCCGGTAATTTGAAAAGATTAACCGATTAACCACTGATGTTATTTAAATAAAAATATTTAACACATAATATTTTTAACGCAGTGTTAATGGAATATCAGCATAATTATCTAAAAAACGTTGAATACCAACACAGTCAAAGAGTTACTTCCCTTGTAAGAGTATTTTAAAGTTAACTTGTGGTCACCGTAGTGATTGCGTGTCTCGCCCCTTCAACGACTGAATATCGGTCTTCATAACAAGAAACTTACACGCAAAAGTGTCATGTGTGTGTATTGAATAGTCGATAGTGAGATACACTCGATGTGGGATAATCAACTAAATACGAAACAGAAACACATCATACCAATGTTATGGTTATCGTGTTAGAAAATGGTTGTATCCAGATTTGTCTTCGAGTACGGTTCGCCATTTGATTTATGTGCGCTTATTCTCATGACTCTTAAGTGACAGTTCTTCTGCAAGAGAGGGGCGCCTAGGACGGTGAGCGATTCGAGGAATTGCGCTGATATTTGATAACAACGTTGGCTGAGCGCGTGGTTTGGCGCCGGGCGGTCTGCTTTATGCAAGTTCAAGTCCAGCCCCCTCTCTCGCCCCCCGGCGTCGTTGCACCCTCGCAGCCGAGCTCAGCGTCAGCGTTTGACTAATTTTGTACTTAGCTCTTTTGTTGCCGGCGACGGCTTGTACTTTATAATTGTGGGATGACTTCCCTTCGCATCTTTTTTCTAAATCGGTCGTCGAACATATATTAGTAATCTCGTCGATCTACTTGCGCACTAAAAAATGAGTCTACCGACAACAAACGTGACCTGATACAAACGATTATTCGCGTTTTTTCTATTTATCAAAATTCGAAATTAATTTAATTAGCAATTTGATTTATATTGTGTTTATTCCTCAGAAATAAATGAGTAATTATGTTTTCTTTTTTTTTCACATCACTCGACAACATTTTTTAACCTTATTATTAACAATTCTCAAAATATATCTATATGTTAGAAATTTTGACAGTTATTGATAGTAATTATTTAACTTAAGTTCTCCTCCCAAGGTTTCATTCCAAGTTATCTTTGACTTTTTGCTATCGAAACGTCGCGAGCGCAAAGCAAAGTCTTCCTTTTTTTTAAACGAACCGGAACCGGGTATCGTTGATATCGCAGCTATACAGTGAATGGGAACTGCTAAACACGGATGGAGTAATAATAAATCGGTAAATAATGAGAGTTATGTATTTAATTTTACAAGCACATTATTCGTTCCGATGCCACGGAACTTGCGCAAGTTACAGCAGTGATTGGCTTTCTTTCTTCTAACTCGTTCAATCTTCAGCCTTTATCGTTTCGCGCTGCCGAGATTCGTCCTTTCTCTGAGTACTGACAGATTCATTTGTATTGTAAATTGCAATCTGCACTTGCAGGTACGAGCGGCGAGGCGTGCGCGTGCGCCCCCGCCCCGCCCCGCCCTCTCGCTGCACCGGAGCCCGATCAGCTGTACGATCATCACTCATCCGAGGAAGAATTAGAGGTACACCCATAATTATAGTGCGAGCGATCTCTCCACATCATCAGAGAAAATCTTAACCGGTACGATAATATAAGCTACGCTATTCGGGAGCGCTAGACGTTTTTGTCTGATTCAATACTCGTAACGGTCGCCTAGACAACTCGAAGATTTAAAGTTGAGTCGTGTGACTTCCATGGCTTTCGCCCTTACAATGCTTCGGGGCATAAATACTGCGATCGCGGGCTCCTTCATTATTAATTAAATAATGATTTGTCAATGGCAAGTCGTAATAGTCCTCTTAGTTCTCCTTCTTAAAACGTTTTAGTTTAGCTAACAAACATTACATAGCTGTGTAATGCATTCGCTTTCCTTAGTTTCTATAACTTGGAATGGATCGCAGCGGTGCTAAGTTCGTTAGGTATATCGCGACAGGTGTCTGCTCCCTCACATGCCACATTAATTCTGAACGACACACGGCAACTAAATTATCCTCTCCCCTCCACTCTGCACGCGAGATGCTGTCGGGCCTCCCCGTCGTCGAGGGAACTACTAAGCCGGCCCAAAACACCGTCGTTTAACAAAACCCTATTATGGAACGCATGGCAGTAGTCATCCGATATTGACGACTATGATGTAAAACTCTGTACGATGTTTCTAGTGTCAACATTCTGGGTTTGTAGAAATAATTTCCCACGTTTCGTTTTCATACGAGCCCTCAAATCATAATCGGACTACGTCGCGTAATCTATTCGGAAAGATTTCGAAAGCGCAGATCGGATAAAAGTATTCTAGCGCAGGGTGAATGCCCTTTCGCTGCACGCGGGCAAAAATTAGTCAACAAAGAGTGACGTGCGTTCTCACGCCGAGCTACCGGATTGTTCCCGGTGGCTCCCGCACCCGGCTGCGAATAGAGTCGATCCTTTGTTTCGTAATAACAATCGATTTGCGCAGAGTCGATGAGACCTTCCCCAGCTTGATCGTTGCCTTCAGAGGTCGCGGAGCCGGCCACCGATTCGTAATCTGCGCGGCGCTTCTTCTTCGTAACCTTTTTCGTTTGCCGCTTACAGCACGCTCGGTTCTTCCGCGGGGCTGGGAAAAAAATAGAAATGCCTTTGTCCGCGCCTCAATCATAACGAATAAAACTACAATAATAAAATGAAATTGTTTCATATGCGACTTCCTTTTATTAGATCTCGCGGAAAGCGTCGTTAGTTTTCGTATCGAAGGGTAGACTGGTATTTATTTCGCTTCGCTGTCCTTCGCTCTGCTTGGCTTTGTTATTGCGTTTTAAACTCTTAAGTAAATAGGATACTTCTTTACGGGGCGCCCGCGGGGCCGAGTCCGTTTTTTTGTAGACTCGCATCCATAATAAACGAGCGGGCAGCCGCAGCATTTCGTGAGCTATTTCCAGCAGTTTTCTTTTTAGTCGGAGGGAGGGGCGCGGAGGGGGCGGTGACTCCGGCCATTAATTCTGCCGCGTAATGACGGACGAGAATTGTGACTTGTACAATTACATGTTTAAATATTCAGCGTAGACGCCGCGCCTTTTCTTCCCTCTTCCGCTGCCGTCTCTTTTTTAGAACGTTTTGTGTTATGGCGTCGTCCGCCTCACGTTGACCGCGTCGGTTCTAAGCCGAATTATGTCCGATCACGCCATATTGACCGCATGCACTCACGTGAAGCACTGGACAGGTAATCAACGGAGGGCCAGCCGGCGTCGCGGCGGCGAAGGGCGAAGGGAGACGACGGGGCGCCTCCTCTCCGGCGCGGACGGCGCCCGAAAAACGGCGCTGGCCCGCGGAGCCCTACGACGAGCTACCGGCGCGCACCCAGTCGGACGACGACGACGACACAAAGGTGCGCCATCTAACCTCACCCGCTCATTGCCACCCGACCACTAATTGACCACTCGCTCAGGTATTTATCGGATGCGCGACTTTTGAGCTTCGGCGACCGACGCGACTGGGGAAAATCGCTCTCGCTCCGCGCCGGTCGTAAAGCTCTGTGTGGCGATTCCAGGTGGAGACTCCCGTACGTTTCCGGACCTCCCCCCCGCTCGAGGCTCTGAAACCGCGACGGTCCGTGAGTGGCGCGGCCGACGCGTGCGGCTGCAGCCCGCGCGCCGCCGCCCGCCCGCCTTCGCCGCGACGGCGCCGGATGCCCCCGCCGCCGCCGAGGAGGCACAGGCCCGCGCTCGACTTTGATAAAATGCAACAGGTAATGAGGCCAGGGCTCGTTTGCTCGATATCTAACGCGATTTATTGCGGCAAATGCTACTCTGCGATAGGCCGTGCAACTCAAACCAATTGCAAACGGCAAGGAACCGGCCGCTCTTTATATCGCCACGTTCGTTATTTTTTGTTGAGTTTCCCCTTTCCCAGCAGTCGCATACAATAGCAGTACCAAAATTTAAACTTAAGCACTGTCACTGGGGATATACGTATTGATTTTTTGCAAATAACCTGTACGTAGTAATGAAATCAAATGTGTATAGAGTATTTTTCCTTACTTTGCATTCTGGGTAAATAAACGCACAATTTACTGGAAATCGTGTTCTCGCACAAGATTCAAATTGATTCACACTAAAAACACTTTGAGACACTGGAATAAAAAAAAAAATAAAAAACAACCCAAATTCACCTATTCATGCTATAATAAATCCTAAAATTTGCAAATCCAAGTTTTATAGATATGGTATAAATGGATTTATACAATAAAACTTAAAATGATAATATGTAGACACGATATGCAGATAATGTTTAATCGTACAATGTAAATAATAATCAAATGTAATATAAATGTAACCAAACAACAAAACGTTGAGTGATCGTTAAATAGATTGCACAGAAATTGTTGTGAATGCGAATGTTGTGTGCTTGCACGGGGAACAGAAGGATTTAAGCGGTTGATTGCGTTCATCTTATCTATTTTGTTATTAAACAAACCATCAGCTAGAATGTGTGTTAATTTTGAATATTCCTTTAACCCTATGTCATCTATGGCAATGACTACACTATAAGAGGCATCACTAGTTCTCTATGGTTTGAAATCGGCCATATTTGTTGTGGACTTTTGCCGAGTAAGGAAAAATACACTATACCTAATCTCGTTAAAGCAGTAGGAAATTCGTTAGTTGTAGTTAATATTTACTTTTCCTATAAATATTGGTACTAGGTGTATGCTGTTATACGCATTAAATAGGTCTAAAACAATTGAGGCCGCTAGAGCGCGAGGAGCCTAAGTGCAATTTTTCATGATTGACTTATTTATATTTTCATAGTCTAAAAATGTTAAATCACAAGACCCCACAATAACCAAACATTGTTAACTTAAATTTTACACAAATTCACTTTGGCCTAAGTTTAAATTGTTAAAAACCACTTTGCCATAGTGACATACATTAGTAAAGGTGAGTAAAACGATTAAATTTCATTAATTATTTACACATATGGTTAATTATGAATTCTATTTCTATCATTCTTATTATTTTTATGTTTATTTTGTGTTACACTGTTATTTCAGAACCATTCGCAGAAAATAACACAATACAGTTTTACTGATTAAGTTGATTTTAAAAATGAAAAATAAATTGAAAAAATTTTCGACTCGGGCAGGACATACCGGCATCGTCTGCGTTCCGTGCTGTTGCTCTACCAATTGAGCTACCGAGTCGGAGTCGTAAACATTTTTTTCAATTTATTGATACATGCACCTATCGCGCAATGTAATTTCATCCTTAACACTTGCGTATTAAGTTAAGCATAAGACGTTGTTATGCTTTGCAGCTTAAGAAATCATTGAAGATGAAATTACAAAGTTATAACGTTTGAAAACATCAATATTTTTCACATGTTATTGCACATGAAGGCACCATATAATTTGAAAATCGAAAATAAATAGATTTTTTTTTATTAAGTTTAAGTAATATGTATTACAATAGATATACCTACTTCTGGCCTTCTTGATATCTGTAAAGAAATACGTAATTTCAGTACATACTATGAATTTTAGATATATAACATAATATTAGTTAATTGACACTAAGATGAGAATTGCCGCAAAAAAAAAAAAAAAAAAAAAGGAGAACAGAACATAGAGACGATATCATGGAAGCAGAAAACCTTAAGAACCCAGTTATCGCAGAACAATTCCACGTTGAAATCAACAATAGATTTAGTGCATTGAAAGTAGACGAAATGGATGCAGAAGAGCTATGGGAAAACACAAAAGACCTGGCTAAAGAAGTGGGTTTAAAGGTAGTGGGAAAAAAGAAGCGCAAAAGAAAGAGACGGTGGTGGACAGATGAGTGCGAAAGAATAGTGGAAGAAACAAGGAAATACCGCATCCTCGCAGAAGAAAATCCATCATGGAAACGGCAGTATGATGTCCTCAGAGTGCAGTTAAAAAGGACCATCCGTAGAGCCAAAAGGAGGCATCTGGAGGATATCATCGTAAATATGGAAACCCTGATGAGAGCCAACGAATCGCGAAAGTTCTTCCAAGAAGTGAGATCCGTTAAGAAGGGATACCAACCTACGTCACAATTTCTGCTCGATGAGGAGGGAAATCTTGTTGCGGGGACTGAAGAATTGAGGAATGCGTGGCGTAAATACTTCCAGGAGCTTCTTAACTGCCCCGAGGTGGAGCAACGTGTAACTCCGGTGGTGCAGGTGGTACCGGAGACATATGTCGCTCCTTTGTCGTTTATAGAAGTTAAGAAAGCGATCAAGAGGCTAAAGAACAACAAAGCGCCGGGTGTGGACGGACTGCCAGCAGAAATATGGAAGAATGGAGGAGATGCTACGATACCTGCAGAGCGTACACTCCCTGTTTGTGGATTTTAGCAAAGCATACGATAGCATAGATAGACTCTTTGTACGTTATTCTGAGCAACTTCGGGATCCCGCAAAAACTAGTCTCCCTGGAACCTTAAGGTGGCAACCGAGAGCAGCAGAATGCGTATTAGAGTAGGGAGCGGACTATCAGAGGAATTCGTGGTGAAGACGCCGACGATTTGGCTCTTCTAGGCCAAACAAAGAACTAGGTGCAATATCTGGCGAGAACATTGATCTCCAAAGCAGCTGGAATTGGTCTGAAGTAAACCGAGAGAAAACGGAATACCTCCACATGAAACGCTATAAGGACAAAAGAAAGCACTTGAGGACCTACGGTATCGTGGACGGTATCTCATTCAGGGGCACAAGTAAATTCAAGTACCTCGGCTGCACAATAACACGGACACGAGAACTCAAGGGAAGAGGAAATAAATATCCGAATCCAAAAGGCCCTCCATAAGGTGTTAACGTCCAAATTACTTACCCGGAAAACCAAAATCCGAATCTACATGACCGTCATCCAACCTATTCTACTGTACGGATGCGAGACATGGACGTTGACGCTTAAGGAAGAGGAAAAGTTACTGGTGGCCGAAAGGAGGATTTTGCGGAAGATTCTTGGCCCGACGCAAAGGGAGGATGGAAACTGGAGAATTAGGAAAAACGAGGAGATCAAAAACGTAAACGTAAACGAACCCAATATTATGGGGGAAGCAAAATTCCATAAACTCCGCTGGGCTGGCCATTTGGAGAGAATGGGAGATGATCGGAGTGTCAAGAAAGCATATATCGGAATTCCAACTGGCCGCCGTCCTGTCGGCCGGCTGATAATAAAAGATATCGCTGAAGGGACGCCGTGGAGAAGGACCTGCGCGAGCTCGGTGTAGCCGAATGGCGAACAGGATCGGCAAAAAAGGCGCTCTTTAGTTTCGGAGGCCAAGACTCACTTTGGGTCGCTGCGCCAGCGGAGTAAGTAACATAATATAGATGCAGAGGAAACTAATACTTTCATTAAATCATTTCAGTAAACACGAATTTGATCTCATCTTTTCATCCAATCTTCATATTCGTGTTTATTTTCTATAGTTAGGCCACTCTGCCCCTAGCAGGCTCACTTATTGCCTTACCTTATTTTTTGTATCAAATAATTAGCAGGGACAGCTCTTCTTAGTAACATTTGTAAGACATATTCCTATGGACTTATTTAAGTGGTGGTCGCTTTATTGTCTTTGTTTCATTTTCAGTTGAAAGTGGGCGGCGGCGGAGTGCGGTCATGGCGAGCGGTGGGCGGAGCGCACGGCGGAGAGCTCTCCGTCTTCTGCTGGTGATGCACGCGCTACGACCACATTGCTGGTATGCGCCTGCGCAGTTTACTACGCTGTTAGCGCTCGTTGGGCGGGGCAACTACTAAAAGGTGGCGGTGCTTTTCAGAATCCGGGAGCCGCTCGCGGCGGGCGCAGTTTGCGAGCGAGCGAGGCCGCCGCCGCCAGTTCCTCAGCCCTACGCTCTAATAATGATCAAAGTACAAACTTACCGATAGATGTTAGTCGCCGGCGCCGACCGTACCTACTTTTTCGAAGTGTTTACTCGTTTTGAATACTGTCTTTAAACTGTTATATATCGGGGATGTGTCAATACGGGCGGAGCCCTGTTTGTCTATGCGCGTTGCGATCCGAAATTGATTAAAAAAAGCAAAGAAAACCTCAAAAAAATGTGGTGCGAGTGAATCCAGTGAATTGAATGACAAGGACATTTAACAAATTTTCAAATTTAATACAATAAAGTACTAAGACTTTTTTTAAATCGCTTGGATAAACATTGAATGTACATAGTGTTAAGTGTAGGGTAAGTGCAGTCTTAGATGTAGTAGGTATAACAAATTGTATGGCGAGACTCGTTCGTTCGTTTCTCCAAGGTCTTGCTTTGATTCATGTTACTCTCCGCCGAACGACTCGGCGCGACGATCGATCACTGGTGATATTTTACAAGATTATTTAGTTTTGTTTTTATATATCGAATTAACAAGCGTAATAAAAGTGAGCAATGGCACATCTTAACGTTGTTTTATTTTCATTCTCAACAAATAAAAAACTAAATAGTAGGGTACAGTGTACAGGTGGGAGACCCGAAACATCCATAACTTCACTTACAGCCGAGTAAAGAGATCTTATCGTTACAACACAGCATCGCTTATCAGGTATTTTTCACAAACCTCGAAGGAACCACAACCGTGACTCCAAAGTGTTTATTATTTGTCAATTTTGCCAACACTGAAATATTCAAGTAAAGTTCTGTTTTTGTTACGTTTTGGCATCCTCTCCGTGGCCGAGTTCCTCCTCGGAGGAGCGTTCTCCCTCGGGCTGACGGGTGCGAGAGAGGTGACATTCTTTTCCTCCACTTTACCCATCTTCTCCCGAACCATCAATGTCAGCCAATTGGTACTATCCCGTTTCTTCTTGGCCGGTGACATCAGCCGCATGTGGGGAGCCTCGCCATTCAAGACGAAGTCGGGAAGATTCTTAGTGGGCGTCGTGAAAGAGATGGTTCTCACTTTGGTCGGGCTCACTTTGTCAGGTGAACTATTCGGGGACAACATTTTGGGGCTCTTGGGAGACAAGAGTTTACAATTTTTCTTCTCATAGTTCTTCGTGGGCGTCGTAAAGGAGCACCCGGCACGAGGGGCGTAGCACCAGTCCGAGGACGCGCTCGCCTCCACACATTTCTTCTTGGCTCCGGGAGCGGGTGATTCCGCGCGCCGTTTCGCCCCGACGTCTAGCGGTCGAAGCTCAACGTCATCAGGAACATTGTCAAGTTTCACTCTTTTAGCCGAGGATGCCTCATCCTCTTTAGTTGCATTCATGAGATATGCGAGGCATCGTTTCGTTCTTTTTCCGGAGGCACTTTCCTTTCTTCCTTGTTGTGCGTTTTGCATAGTTGGTGTTCGCATCATCTTCCGCTTTAATGAAGTCGGAGTTTTGTCCAGCGCTCCCCACTGGGACCGGTGAGAGGCGTTATGGAGCCACGGTACGCTCTCCGCTTTGCCCTTGAATTCTTCGTCACTATCGTTGTACTCGGAACCGATCCGCCAGATTTTATGGCGGGCGTCATCGCTGCACGTTACGATTTTCATATCTCCTTTCGGGCACCACGCCGCGCAGGTCACCTCGGCCCAGTGGCCCACCAACTTAACGATCGGCTCGGAGTACTTCACGTTCCATATGTAGGCGTTCTTGTCGCTGCTACCGCTCACCAAGTACATGCTGTCAGGGCTGAGGCATGTTTTAATGTAGAACGTACTGTTTTCGTGACCGATGTATCTCTGCTCTGGGAGGGAGTTGTAAGTGGATATGTTATAGCAGTAGATAACGTTGTCCATGCAGCTGGCGTAGAGGCGCGTGCGAGCATCGTCGATGATGAGGTTCGTGTAGCCGTTTTTCGTGGAACTACCGCAATAAGGTATGGAATGTTTGGGGAGAGGCTCCCGCTTGTAGACGCTATAGTTCTTGCGGAGGTCCCACACTTTGATGCTTCCGTCGCATTCGCCGCACGATATCAAGCTGCGGTCGTCTTGAAACACGAGACCGGTGATCGAAATGGCGCGCGCATCGATACGAGGCCTCTTCGAGTGAGAGCCGGGAGTTTTAGGAGTGAAGCTAGAATGACAATTCATTAAGCAATTGTCAGGCTTTAGGACGACTGAAGATTGATTATTGACACGAACATCCCAAACGAGGATGTGACCGTCTCGTGCGCCGGTCGCGAAAACGGCTGGCTCGTCAGGACAAAAAGTGGCAGTTTTGACAGAGCAAGTGTGGTAAGAAAATGACAGAACGCGTGTAGGACCAGTTTCATTTACATTCCAGAGACAGGCTGTGTGGTCACCTGAAAAATTAACATATAGGATATAGAATGATTTAGTATAAAATTAAACAAATTCACCTATGAGAAAAATGTTATGAAAACCAAAAGTTGACACTTTCCTACTGAAACGTCTTCCACAATGTGACTTATTCATTATAGTATTTTAACTTCAAACCTTATCTATCACACTGAAAGCTCACCACTCACCTGAAACAGTCACAAAGTTGTTGTGTTTAGGCATCCACGCCAGATCAAATATGGCATTGGTGTGACAAATGTAACTCTCAACAGTGCAGGCTGTTGATGCATTTGATGTATCCTGAAAATTATAATGTTTAATCATAATATAACAGTTGAAGCATAATTATTCGCTATCCAATAGACAAAATGCAAGATTTTAAAACTACAAATAACAAAATACATGTACTACTTTCCCTCGCTCTACTTCATAATTTGATATGTATTACATTTGAAAACTTTATTATTTTTTACATGTTATTGCACATGAAGGCACTATAATATAATTTAAAAATCGAAAATAAATTGAAAAAATTTTCGACTCAGGCTGGACTTGAATGTTGGCATCGTCAGCGTCAGAGAAACAGCACGGAACGCTGATGATGCCGATGATTCAATTTATTTTCGATTGTTAAATGTATTACATTGCTTAGATTAAAAGGTCCCAGGCTCATCAAAGGCCCCAAACACAGTCTTGTTACAAACAACATTAATACCCTAAGTATCTAAAAATAGTTATATTGATAGACCCTCAAGAAATAGCTAAAAATAGAATCTTCTATCTCTTGAATACTTGGTGATGATCATTCAAATATATACATATATGGTAGGAGAGCACAATTAATCCATACAAGTGATTTTGATCATGGAGAGGAGATGACTATTACTAGTTAAACAATACCGTTACAAGTTACATACCTGTATAGCGATTTTACCATCCTCATTGGCGAGAGCCAAGATGTGTTCGTATCCACCAGCTTCTGAGAATCGACAGGCGAAAATAGGAGGATCCTGTTCGAAACTCCGCTCCTGTGTTGTGTTCTGTAGTCCATAGAATGACTCATCTCTGTTTACTACGAACCGCTTCAAAATATTATCGTAGTTAAACCGGGTATCTGAAAAATAATACCACGATAAAACAACATTAACTTTAATGGGCTTAAAGAAATATAGGAACACTTACGTAGGCCCAGCTGGCGGTCGATCACGCATTGCAAATCGTTCATTTTATATACACAACATCACGTACATATTTCATATTATCTTACTACAACAACAAATAAAAAGTACTACTACACCCATGCTGTTATGAATATTTTACTAATTTACCCGCAAAAACTGAGGGACAGACTATGCATAACTAAAGTCAATATAACTTACACAGATCACATAAAGAACCCATTCACAGAGTCATCACTCCAAACCATCCCAACTAGGCCCAGAGAAAAAATGAAGATGAACCAATTAAAATATAATTTATATAATATAATGTTACTCCGATCAATAAAGATAAATATTACAAAATCATACTTACCTTTTAATATGATATGATACATTTAACACCACACTTACCGCAATTTTATATATATAGACGTTTTTTTCGCTCAAGGAATTCACGTAACGTAATTACACGTAAACGAATTTCGTAACATTGGTATCTGTTTCAATTGCCGGGTTAATATTAGAAAGACGGGAATAATAATAATATATTAGCATAATAATTATAATTAAATTAGTAACCGCAGCTCATCACAGCACAGCTTGTTCTAATCTGTGGTTGCAGCCTAATGCTTAGATATCTTTCATTACCTGTTATTTCCTAGAATTATCGTGTTTGCTGTCAAAATAGATATATTTCCATTCCATACAAAATCCCTAACTCGTTTTCTTTTTATTTTCTCTATATTAAGTACACTTTTTAGTTTCTTCAATTGAGCCTGAGCACACGAAAAGCATTAAAAATTAGCCCTGAAGATTTAGTTCGCTGAATAGATTTTGATGCACACGTAGTTTTCCTTGTTGGAAAAAGTCAAAATTGTATTACTTCCGATATTTCACCATTTCTGTGTTTATTGAGATGTTTCCAAATGCTTTGGCCCTATAAGCGTTTTTAAAAGTGAGTAGAAGTTAATATTGTGACATATTAGAGATATTTTGCGTAGGAGAGTTTCCCTGTTATGATATAACTATTCTCATAATCATTGTACATCCTTATAGGTGCATGGAATGTAACGAAAATGGCTCGGAATGTTTGTCACCGGCGCGTGGGGTCAAGCGAAAGCGAGGAGCTGATGGTGAAAGCAAACTGCGTGTGCATCACGCCGATCCAATGTTTGGCCCGTCTTTTCCATCGATGTACAACTGTCTCCTGCAATCGCGTAGAGTCCAACGGTACAGCTTTCACCACCCCATTGCGAGAGATCCCTTTATGAGCAACATGGACGAAATATCGTATTGGGTGTTCACTAAAAGAGCACCTTGCCTTTACGATTATGACAAACTAGTCAAGAAGCAAAGTGGAGAGGCCCACAGCTCGAGACAAATCTGTGGACCCACATACCCTCTTGAAAACGAAGTTCCTTCTACTAAAAAGAAGAAGAAAAATGTTCTAGATGATGATTCTATTCATTCACAAAATAAGCAAAATGTGTACTTTGAAACTCCTATGATAAATTATAAAAAGGCAATTATCAATTGTAAATCCATATCCCCTGGGCCCAACATTGAAGTGAATATTCAAAATACATCAACTCCAAAAGCTAAGAGACCAAGGCTCCAGAAAAATGGAAGAAAAACTTGTGCTATGAGAAAAAAAGTAGTCAGTTCAACCCCCAAAGTAGAACAACAAAATCTTAGAAGAAGTTTACGTCTCCAGCAAAGTCTAAATAATAGTGCACCATTCGATTCTTCCTTAGAAATTCTTAATGATAGCCCCGTAAATGGTATTAAAAGGCAAGATTCGGCACTGATCAAACAAAAAGGTGACAATAAAAGAACTGATGTATTTAAAAAGGAATCATCTAAAAGTAAAGACAAAAATTTACTCAATGGTGAATTTGAGGATTATAGTGATGTATCTGGCTTCACTGCTAACTACATCCGCTCCACTAAACTTGCTAAAACACCAAGAAAAATTAGAAGAAGGCATAATAGGAATTTAGTGGAAGAATCAAGACAAAACGTTGATCCTGAAAGAAGCAAGGTTGTTATGTGTGTCACTAAATCTGTGAACACAGGTGAACATGCTTCAGCTGTGCTCAATCACAGTACAGACTCCTCACAGAATGTTATTAATCTTATAACTGTGAGTGACAAAGAGAAGTCAAAGAGGGTTAATCAGAGCACATCCATGCACAAGTTTGTAGATTCTCCAGGCTGTAAGAAAAACGTTAAAAAGAATGTGAATGGGAATTTTATACACGACTCATTTCAGTCCGGCAGCAGTGCTGCATCGCGTTACCCTAAGAGAGGGAACAGGCAAATTAAGCCACTATCAAATGAAAGGAAAGAAAATTCTCCAGAAAGGATAGTTTACAGAACCAGAAGTCGAAAGCGATTGACTGAAGAGTTATGCGATCAAATTACTTCAAATGGTGAAAGTTCCAAGGCGATCATTAATGTAGGAAGTCCGGTTCTGAGTGGAAAAGTTGTGGACACTTTGAAAGATAAGGAGAGTGCCATTTTGCGGAAATGTGTAGGCCGTGTGAAAAAGTCATTAGACAGAAGGCATTTAAAAAGGGATTCACTTCGTGACAAAAGTGGTTTTGCTAATCTTTTTTCAGACAGTGATAGTGATGTCGAATCTAAGTCACAAAAATTCTTTTGTTAAAAACTTTAGTGATCTTTGTAAAATTTTGTTATGAACTACGAACTACTTACGAAAGCTGCAACTGTAAAAAAGACTGGTCGGATTCAATGTAACAACAGTTCAGTAACAATATATTTATATATAGGTATATCCTAGCTTCTTGGATGTTATGTAATATAATGCAAGTAGATACATAGCCCACCACTTGCCCTATACATTTTAATGATTCGGTGCCTGTACAAAGCACATTATAAACTGATACTGATAGAGTTTAGAGATATTTCAGTAATAATAATTTATTCACTCAATACATGATGAGTGTAATTCATAATAATTGTAACATATTTTGTGCTATATCTTATAATGAAGTTTTATATGATGCGATTGAAAGTATTCTAAATAATGTCTTGAAATTACAATACATCACACTTTGAAGGAGTTATTAGATGTTGGCATAAATAGAACTTAAGGACTACATTTGTCATTTCCTTTTTTAATTTGTTTAGTCATTGCATGTTGCCCTGAAACATGAATACAGAGGATTGAGTTATTAAATTAATAATCGGATTGGCTGACTAGATGTTTAATGCCACTTTGAGACACTATTTTATCCAGTTTTTTTGATTTTAGATAGAAATTATTAATTGTGGTGCCATTTTAGCGAAGTTATGTCATCTTTTAAGAAGTTAAATCAATTGCCTTTCCCATGACAGTTTCCAATAGGTTTTTTAAAATACTTTAAGTTTTTACAAAATATTTTATGTTATGTACGTATGAAATTTTTGTATAATATGTGCTTGAAATTATGAGTAATAAATTAAATTGTTATAGCCTAAGACCTGTTTTCATTTAATTTGTTCGTTTTATTGATAGATTGTTTTATCTATTACCAGTAATGCCATCGGTATCAATTAATAATATAGCAAAACATTAACTTAACCAATACAGGTCAACATTTTACAAAATAAATGCTTTATTTATAGTAAAGCGAATTAATTTCATTAATAAATGATCTACACTTTACAGAACGTTATTTATAAATTTCTTTGCAAACAAAATACCCATCGCAAATTTATCTTCACCTCTGTATTAAAATCTATCACTAATTTGTAGCACGACATCTAGCATTCAGACTAGACACTCACTGTCTGTTTCACGAGCTAGAGTATGTACGTTTATGAATATATTGTTTGAATTCTCACTATTCAACAATAGATGTCACTGTATTAAGTAAAATAAAAGTGTGCGAACAGTTCATTATTTTTCGTTGCAAACTTTTCGTCGCGCATTTTTTTAAATAATTTACTGAGGAATAATTGTTTCATACCAATTTTTTTGGTATCTGAAACCGTTTTGGCAGCACACGCAACGAAAATCCTGAATTATGAATAATTTTCCTCATTTCCCAATGTTTTTTTCCTATTGGTCACAGCGTTTAATAGATTTTTCAATTTAAACAAAAAACTTTTCCTCTTTACAATATTAGTATAGATTTACTTTTAACCCTATTGACGTCCATAAGTCTACGTAGTTGATGTGATTTGAGTTTTTATGATACATAAGTAGTTCTTTCTAATTCTAAACCACAATATTTATGTTGATGTTCAAATTTAATTTGTTGGCAACGCAGAATGCATTTTTATTACTTGTTATTAAATAAATTCGCATATTATTATTAAATTTGTATTTTCTAGTCAACTATAGATGTCGCTACAAGACAAGTCGGAAAAAGAAATTCATGTCAGTATTTTATCTTCAAATAAAAGAGAAGCTAAAATATGTATATAGTAGTAAACGTTTAATAAGTTATTTCCCTGTTTAGGAATAGATTCTCGAGTCACGCAGACAGTAGATATAAAATTTAATAAACGGATGTATTAAATACTGTCTATAGTTTACGCGAGTAGTACTTGAAATGTTGAAAATTATTTTTAAATTCGGCCCGACGTTTCGGATGCTTTGCAGCAGCCGTGGTCATGGGGAGACCGGTAGGTGTTAAAAATCAGAAAACCGGGCTGAAGTTAAAAATAATTTTCAAAGAAGTTTAACTAATATATCGCGTTTTAAACCGTTAAAGTGTTTTATTTAAAAATTTGATGTATTTTCCTATTTTATCAAATCTACATTACCGTAGAAATATCTATACTAATAAATAGAGCTGAAGAGTTTGTGTGTATGTTTGATCGCATTAATCTAAGGAACTACTGGTGGAGAAAGGCTGTAGGCTGTATAACATGACGCTGCGACCAATAGGAGCGAAGAAACAGAAATAAATGTGGAAAAAACGGAAAAAATTATTCATCATTGTGGATTTCTGTTCCTTACGGTGCAAAAAGTTTCAAGATACCCAAAAATGTTGGGGTTTGACAAAATGTTTTCCCTTTAAATGCTCTAAAGAATGTTCTCGATCTATCTCTTCCATCTTTTAAAATTAACTTGCAAGAACCGAGGGACCCGAACGAGAACGGGACGCGACCGATGTCGTGGGTAACAAATTAAATTGAAAAAGATAAATAGGAGGTCTGCAAAAACCAATTAGAATGTCCAAAAGAACTATTCTCCGCGGGCCACGTCACTCACGCAGCTAGTTAATACATAAAAAGACATACTTAGGGCTCTCATTGCTGTTAGTTATAATCCACTGCATGCATTATCCATCTTGTTAACATTTACCCTTAATTGGTTTATGTCTCCTGTAAATTTGAATAACTTGTAAATGCAAATAAAAATGTGTTATTTAGTAATTACTTGTATTGTTCTTTGAACAACGTTGAAGTCTACAAAACGCGTTAGTTCTTCGCTTCATGCTTTTCAATCATAGGAAATGGTAAAATGAATGATGGTAGCCGCTAATTCTGGTTACAATATATATATGTTTACTATGTATGTAGAAGTTTATTTGAATATTAGTCACTATTCATAAATCATAATATTTCGAGTTTGAATAATGCAACCTAAAATCTATGTTAACTATACCATCTCTATTTGTCTTCTTTCTTACGTTTTATGCAGATTCATACTATGTGTTTTCTTTTAAAAAATAGTTAATTAGTTGTTATTAAATAGTAATAGCTTATACGAGGAGTATTTAGGACAAGTGCATAGTACCGGCAAGGAAGCCTAAACCGCTGAGCGGTTCGGTAATTTTAATTTTTCGTCTTAACTCTAAAGGAAAGACGCAAAATTAAGTTTTGCAACTTGTTTGTGTATGCTTGGAAAGCTATTCTTTTTATTACTTCGTGGACTGATACCTACTTACATACATAAGATAGGTTAACTTGATGGACAAGGAAATATGACCCAGCCTTATATTGTTTTTTTTATTTTTCATACCTGGTAACTCATAGCTACACTGAAACCAAAATATTGCACATTGACACTTAACGGCTTTTCCCTCAGGCATAGGTGGTTCGTGATCTGGATTTAAAGTCCAGATCGAGGACTTTGGGTCTACTTTGTATAGAAACATTAGAATACGGCTTTTTTCACGGAGTTAATTTAGAATCGGCTAATATTAGAATATTATTAGCTGATTCCAAATATGATAAATGTTTATCCCACAAAATACACAAGCTGCCAATCACGCTTCCGCGGAATATTAAATTAAATCACGGAACAAGAAGCGATAGCAAATTGCTAAAATGATAAAGCCTGTAGCTACACACGTTGTGCGAGAGATTACTATTTACTATTTCCTATATTATTGCGCACGCCACCACAAACTATACACCACACACACACCCTTTCCTTGCTTTAAACCCCTGAACAATCGAAACAACTCAGACGCGTTCCGATTAAGTTGTTGATTTAATGATCACCATTAAAGCCGGTCAGCTTACGTCTTTGATAGAATTTCTCCTATCAAGTGAATTCTCTTTTTGGTCGAACAAATCTCGTGTGTCAACAGATGTGCCCGACGTGTTTCAGGGGCGCGAACGACGTTTCAATATTTACTTAAAACACTGAGACCGTATTGTGTATCAGAAGATATCCAACAAATAATTAGTTGACGGGTACGGTGTATCGCGACGCGCGGTAACTCGAGATCTATTTGTACAACTGTAGCTCACCGGCGCAAAAAAAAACAGACGACCCTACACATGTAGGTGTTCTAAGATATTCCGTCGGCTGTGTTTTAGCAGACAGAGTTGTATTTTTATTTTGAGAACGCTCGAATTATACAGCCGAAGAGTTTGCTCGTTTGTGCGTTCGTTTGTTTGTTTGATTCTCAGGAACTACTAATACAAATTGAAAAATTGTTAGAGCATTTATCGAGAATTAAGCTTTAAGTATTTTAAAACTAACTAAAAAGGATCGCAATAGACAAAAATTATTATTATTAAAAACTTTGACCCAAAGTGACTATTCTACGCAACGATTGAATAGTAATTAATAAAACTCTAAAAGATCCGCTTCTTTTTTTACTTTACAAAACAATAATCAGTAATAAATAAAAAATAATTAGAAAAATAAAAAGTAAAAAATTATCTTGTCACTATCAGGTATACTGAATTGAGTAAGGAAAGGATAAGAAGCTCGTTTGAATAGCATTGCTCATTTTGGAGTTGAGGTCGAGTGCGTGTACGCTTATGAAATAACAAAGACGTAACGTGGACGGGGGGACACCAGAGCTTCCGGTCGGCGCGAAATAAAGCCTTCATTTGAACCACGCCCTCATTCCGAGGCCCGAATTGAAAGGCGCTGCCATTTGAGTTTTGCCCCGGAAATGTGTCCCGCATCCTCCCCATTTATATGATGTACCTAAACAACTGTAACTATATAAACCTATATAGCTATATACAGACGCATCGGCGCTCGACGAGATAGATACGTAGACTGCGGACTATTTAGCAGATAGAACGTAACTTATTTTCAAAATGATAAACGTTTAATTTACCCAAGTAAATAATTTTGACTGCTTCACGTTTATACCAAACCATAATCTGTCTGAATCTGAATCTTGTCAGTTTGCGTAGGAAAAAATGTTACGCTACAATTAAATAAAACAAAAGATTACGGTTATCGGAATGATATTTACACTTTGTTTGATGTTCTCTCGCGATCTCGCGATCTCGCGATGCTGCCTCTCGCGAACGTCGCGAGTAATTGCCGCCTTCAAAAATCGCATGTTTAAAAATAAACACTGCGTTCGTGACAACTAAATTATCTGGCCACGGATTTATTTGTTTTTTATTATTATTCGAGTCGCAGTAACGGCGAGATTTAAATGAACCTTTGATATAGAACCTCTATAATGTACATCCGAAAGAAAGTAACAAACGAGACGCGTCGTTAGAGGAAAATGAGCTTTATCGCGAGTCGGCCGAGGTCCGCGGAGAGGAGAGCGAGGTAACCCTTTAAATAAATTGTCTCCGATATACCCCGGCGCGTATTTTACAAGGCATTTACACCTTCGCGAGGGCGGCGTACACTGAGATTTATTCCTAAACATTTCAAGTTGCGTATGTTTGACGCTGAGCCCGATCGATCACTCCGTCTTGGTTCGAAAAGAGTATTTACGATACCTATTTAAATTGAATTAACGGTTAAGTAGTGTTGATACCTTCAATTAATTACTCAACTACCGCTAAGTATATTTCAGTGTATTTGTGTTGTACTGTACGTAAGTAATATCCCTACGTGAAAAAAAAGATTAACTCAATATTACTTTAATAAAGAGACAAGAAAGAGAAAAAAGAAGAGAGAAATTATATTACGTATACTATAAGTAGGTCCCTTACTAGTAAGACTACTACGAAAATGAGTAATGCGAAAAGTTTTTGTTCCATCCGAGCAAAAGAACATTCGAAGATATGTACGTATGAATTATGTGAATCGTCAATAGTCGCGGTATTAGTTAATTATATCAATTCTAGCATATATTAGCACTTTCTTTCCATTTACTTCTAATTCGATTGTGACATAGGTGTGTAAGTTTAATAAGATTATTTTTGTTAAAATTTAGGTAGACTATTTCATTTTGCTTATATTTTGAAACAATTCGGCGCAGGTGTACGTCGACCCTCGCTACATTTAAGCGGCGTATCAAAGAGGATTATACGAACGGTATAATATGGCCGCCGAGATTATTATAATTTGAATAATAACATTAAAATAATAATAATGTGCCTTGTGCCGCGCCGCCGATAGAGATGTCAACTCTTAATAGATTTATCTGTGGCCATACATCAAAATTACTATATGCTAGCGTTGTTTAACTCTTTAGCGGGATCGGGCGTCATTATCGCTCCATTAGTCACCCACCGGACTCACTACGCCGCTTTTTATCGATCGCGTCGAGGATCGTCCCTCCGATATTGGTCGCTCACTCGTAGATCGACAAATTGCAAATACACGAGTGAGATTCGACCCTAGAATCGACCGTGACAGTCGACGGTGACAGTGACTGGATTTATAATATTTGGTTCATTTTGAGAAGGATTTATTGGGCCGCTGCAATAAATCACTGTGTCAATACGTCGAATCAATTACACGCAAACAAACAAGCAATTGAGTAGACGTTATTTATGCGAACGGAACTAAAACGAGTCCTTGGGCAATCGCTTCGTTCGGCAGTCGGCTGCAGACGGAGGTTTCAGAGGGTCGTGTGCGGTTTATTGTTTTACGAAGCTCGTAGGCTCGGCGCGCACAGCGACGGGACAAATGGAAGGAATGCCGTTGTCAGATTCGTTGACGGAGTGCCGCCATATCTCTGCCTGTCACGCGTCCCATGCGTTTTGTCCGTCCACAATCCACATCTACCCACGCGCTCTTATTTACAATACATCTAACAATATATGACAATAGCTGATATTAGAGTGTGTAAGAGTGTTTCAGTCGACGTATATTATGTTGTCGAGTTAGCCCGTAGTTCTCCCGGAATAGTTGCGCAGGAGTGACAAAAGTCACTCGGCGAGCGAATTACCAGCTGGAGGTGGACCTTCTTTGAATCCCGAGCACAATAGACGGACACGGCGCTGCGCAGTTCGCGCAGTGTTTTGTCTTACACTCGGCTCCCTATTGTGCGAGTGCGATCCATCACTGGAGCTACTGCGCGGTTTCTCGACCTTCGGATCGGTTCCGTTATTTAAATTTCAACTGCTTATACAGAGTGTAGCCATAACGACTGTCAATTAACCTTATCGAAATTTAGACGCTTGAAGACGACAAATTGAACGTAGAAGGAATTCGACGCGTCATTATAACCTATCGATGTCACGTTCGACTTTAATATAGATAGTTTAAAAATTATTATTTGTTACAGATGATATTACTACTGGACTTATTAGCTACTTAATATATTGAGGCTAACGATTGTGAAACATCCCGTAGACGTGAACGTAGATTTACAACGCGTCTTTGCAACCGCATTGTCCTTACAGTGGCGCTCAATGGGAAGCCTAATGGTTGTTTATCATTGTTTAAAGCTAGAACAAAGTGCCAACACTGGGACATGATGCGACTCAATGGCAGATCTGCTCTGAGCCTCGTTCTAGGAATGAGAAAGTCGACATTGACGCATAAAATGGCGCGGATTGATGGATTGCGACGTTTTGTTCGGATTAACTGCGTTATACTAGTATGTGTGTTTTTATAGACGATGCGCGATAATTATTTACTACCGGGCCGTTCGGTAGGAATACGCTGTTATATTATGTATTCGTTATTTATCGCAGAGACCACTCGGTCGATCACGTTTCTTAAAAATTTAAAACATTATAAAGATAAAATTTACACCCAGCCGCAGTTTGATGCCATTAAAATTTTTATGTCCTGTGAGGTCATAAAAGTGAATTGATTTAGTCAATGGACTCTTAAAACATTCGTTTAGCTTTGAATACATTAATGTGCTTTTTAACTCATTAGTTTTTACAAAATATGGCCACTGTCTGCCCGTTTTGAAACGCGTAACATTTACATCGCGATTATTGTCACAGCCGAATAGTTAGAATATGACTTGAAAAGCGCACACTGTTCTCTTTATAATATTTACGAGGAATTGGTGAGGCCGTCCCCCGTCGATCCGGGACAAATCGAAATTTAGAACAATGCGACGCACAATGCTACAATTTCGTAAGACCAAAACAAATTAAGGATTTCTTTATTTTTTTCATTAGTGACCATTCAGGGGCACCATAACCTGGAGATGCCAAGATATATGGCAGCCGTAAAGTTTGGGCGGCCGGGGGTCGGCCATTGTGCTCTACGATTCTTCTTTATTTCACATTCTAAGGCGTAAATCGACGTTTGCGAGAGAATTTATGTTTTACCAACGCGAAGACGACTCGGTCTCTGGTTAAGTGTCTTGTTCATAGGTGAAGGTTATCTACGTAGTTCACTTCGCATCACTCCTGTAAGGGCTTCGGGCTTCAATTGGTTTACCGTACTTTGTTTGCCTTCTATTTGTGTGTTATTGGGTTATTATAGTTTTCTAGTTATGATGTTTGTTTTTTGATTTCACTTAGTTTACGCGTTCAGTGAGAATGCGTCGAAGAAATCGCCACAAACAAAAACCTTAACTACATAAAACGCCCTATTTCTGTGCGTATTTGAAGTAGGTATAAAAATAACGTGTTCTATGATTACTCTTTCTTTTTTGAGTATTGTCTGTAGTATACGCAAGTAGTATCTACACATTTAAATAAATCACTTTAACGGTTTACGAAGCAATATATATTTTACTTTGACGTCAGAGACATCCTCCATCTTTAGTCTCCCCGTGACCACGGCTGCTGTAAGGCATCCGAAACGTCGGGCCAAAGTAAAAATATAACTCAAAAAAGTTACCATAAACAATATTTTATTGAAATGAAACTATTCATTCTACGACGCGTAAGAAGAGATTACTCTCACTCCGATGTTCATTTAGCCAATGCAATAAGATATGTTTGTAAAAAGATGCAATATAAACAATTGTAAAATGTAATTTACGATGACTTGTGCTCAAATATTTATGACTTTACGACTCCAATGCCACTCAAAGAGGTAGGATTGACTGGTTTGTGTTTACAAGTCATAAATTTAGTTGTAGATGTCGTTCTTGTTGACAATTACAATTTTTGTTATATATAAAGTACAATTAATTCTTCTTAAATCCCGAACCGAGGTTAAAATACTTCATTTGTTTAAAGCAATAGATGTCAAGAATGTGAGGACGATGGCAAAGAAGTCATTTGTACTGAAGAATCAATCAATTCAATGCACATATTATTGTGTTTTGAGTATGTGTTCTACAGGAACGTCGGTTGATCGAAATGTAGACCTACATTTACGCATTCCCCAAAAAATGAATCTTTTTAAACTCAGCATAATTTTATTAAAATAACAAAGCACGACAGCAACGGTGAGTTATAAGTAAATGACTAAATTAGACAACACGACTCGCCTAGCACCTGTTGATGGGTTCCGCGGACAGAGGGCGTAGCAGCGGGTAATTGATGAGTGACTTCGGAACCCCTGCCGACATCTAAGAGCCACGACTCCCGGCCGGCCCCGAGCTACAAGCGGCGGCGAGTTGTCTACCACACAACTCTTCAAAAGTCCAATTAAACAAACAGAAACAAGCTAGGACGTGTGAAATGTTCCTGAAACCCTGAATAACAATAACAATGACGAAAATAGACTGGAAGCGGCTAAGGCCCTGGAGAACCACTGACTGATTATATCGAAATTGATTCAGTATAATATTATCTCTACCTCTCGTAACTTAAGGTGTCGCGCCCCATAGCGTAAACGACTCCACGCTTGCCAAAATAAAACATTAATATAATATCATAATTATGAATATAATACTCCACCTGCCTTAATGAGAGAAGATTTTTTATGGCCACATTTTACCTGCCCTATCGAGACATCAGAGTGAATTTCTTAATTACTTTATCGTGCCTCGTCGAAAATCCTGATAAAATTCTTGATATCGTACGCATTCAATATTAATAACAGGACAAATTGTGTTTCATTTAATAATATGCCGTTTTAACTTTTGTTTCTGCTCAAGAAAGAGCGCAAGTTTTAAAGAGATATAAACAGAATCTTATCGAGCGTTTACGGCAATGCCATCGTCGTGTTTAAATAACCGAATGGATTTCATTCGGTTATTTAAAGCTTTAAGGGGTAAATTATTCTTACAGAAGCGAAAACTCTATGATATTCAGCTATCCGAGGACAGTCCATAATGAGAAGAATACACAGCTCAGAGGGGGAGTGAAATTACCTTACAAAGGACAGCCGAGCGCACTGCAGGACGCCTATTATAACAACTTACAAATCTTTATTTGTTATACAAATAAGAAATGACAGAGGTATTGATCACTATATAAAACTATGCCCCCTGGCTAAAAAAGAACCAGGTTGGTTCTTTTATAGCCAGAGTTGCAGTTGAGACGTGATAGGACACAAATTGGACGAGATTGAAGATAAGACAATATTAAAAAGTAGGGTAGGTACGTAAGCTTTAATCCATTTTGAGTTTTGACTTCCAATATGAAGGAAAATACAATTATTTCGATTGCAACCATCGTTGTTATTCGGCATGTGTCCGTCTGAGTTTCGTTTATTTATAAAAATGTAAAAACTTTAAATTAGACAATGAAGTTAAATAGTTATTTCTGAAACGTTGGTCTTTTTATATTATACCTAAGTATTTCTTGAAGTTTCAGGATCGCGAGTCATCGACCAGGACAGCTAATGCTACTTATGAATACATACGGGTGGTCAACTTCAGTCTCGAACGTCGGCGTCCACCGCAATCGAGATTTAAAATCACATTAAACTAAGCCTGTACTATAAACTGTTAAGAAAATATATCAGTGTGTTTAATTGGTATTAACGTCACCGGTCGCCGATAGAGTTAAGTTCGACTTTCCTTATCTTTTGGCTTCTTATACAGCGATATCACGCGGGTGAATTATGGTCTCGCGTAATGCACCACGTGGGACCCTGTCTGAACTGTGATAGTCGTTTGGTTTGACTCGGTAGAGGTTGACTCTGCGTGCCTTAAAAATGCAGAACACAACGAATCACAGGAGCGCCTAAAGGTGACTTTATTTGTTTCTCCATTGGTTGGGACGTGATTTAGCGTATTTTTTCATCAGACGTACTCGTAAGTACCGTTTGACAGTGGTGGTAATAAAGCTCAGAAAACAAACTCTCGTTTACGGAACTCGGGTGACATTTCCAAATTGATAGCCGCCATAATATTTTTAATGGGCGACCGCGGCTGCATCATATGGCTTTCCCACTGTTTCATATTTTATTTACAAAACATTTCTTTGTTTACTTTATCGACTTCTCTAAACAAATAAAATTTTAGGCCCCGGTAGCACGGTTAGTAAATGTCTGAACACGTCATAAGACCACCAAAACATTTTTAAACAAACATAACAAGGGTTTCTTTAAGTTGACGTGAATATGCTTATTCAATATATAATTTTAGGACTTAAACTATACACATCTATTTTATAATATGTGTAATATTAAATTAACTTACTTCTAAATAAATTTGTCAAGAGTATGTAGGTATTCCAGGTTCTTTATTATTCATATAACGATATATCATGAAATTTATAAAATCAATTTTAAGAAATTAAATGTTTCAAGCGACGCATGGCAGGGTATGTAGTCCAGTAATTGCTACGGAACCACAATATTATCTGAAATGGACATATTCTATTTTATGGACAATAAAATATTTATAACCGCGTTATCGACGCTGTAATTTTAATTGTGGCCCACCGTGCGTTAATTTGTGTTTTACGATCTTTGCTTATTTTGTTCTCTCTATTTCTAAAACTTGAAGATTAAATTAATGTTAAATTGTGTATTTTATTGATAGGGTTGGTATTAGTAAGATACTTAAATAAAAAGGCATATTGAACCGAGTCTGAGTCACGAGAGTGGCCATCCGTCACAATGAACCACAGCAAACGATCACATTCACGTGTTTAATCATAACTCATACAATTAGTGCAAGTATCGAGTAAACAGTGCGCACGCGCCGGCCAGCTGCCCGCACTCCTCACCGACTTCCTCTGATCTTTGACTTGGACAATTGCACGCATCTGCCCGTCTTGACAGCGCTCATCACCTTCACCAGAACGAGACGATCCCTCGTCGGCCGACTCTTCATAAAGCGACGACGAACGGTGCGGGTCTCCGGGCGCTGGTCGATATTTCTTATGACAAAAGATTGTTTACCGTTGAAATTGACTCTAAGAATTCGGTATTTAGGGTTTAGTTTCGCTCGACGGAGAAGTCAGGACGAGATTGTAAGAAATATGTTACTCAATCCCCTGTTGTCGCGAGATTATGAATTGAAGTGGTTCGCGATCAACTAGATGCTTCCGCTGCATCAGCTGTTAGTGCCTTAATCGTATTAGCTATTATTTTATTCGTGTTTCTCATTCTTCTTCAGGTCAATAGTAAGCGTCCTTCTTGTTACGGTGACGACCTGGTCACAGTGACACTTGGTTGTCAAGCGAAAACGTAAACAATAATAATAACAAAATTTCAAAATCAAAACAAATAGTATGACTCAAAGGCTTCATAAAATCTATGGTACTAACCGACAAAAGCCAAATTGTGACTCTTCACCGAGACCAGAAGTCTCATTTGAAGACGCCGAGAAAATGTCAATCGAACGAGAAAAGATTCGAAACAACTACGCTGTAAAGTATCCGGAAGATTCAAGAGAGTTTAGCAATTGTTATCACGGGCATAAGGTAAACGATCCATTGCATATTGCTGCTTCTCATGTTGGGTGTGCCGCAGAGCCAGAGAAGAAAGCTTTAAAGAGCGGTATAAAGAAACCAGCGATACTTTCCTTTCCGTCCTTCGTGCCGGGCTCCGGTCTCTGCTGGAGTCCTTCTCTTGAACGATCTACTGAAAATATCCAAGAGAAGGAGCAACTTGTATGTAGGCGATGCAGAAATTGCAAACAAACCTTCGTGTCGGAAAGAGGGCGCGTGTACAAGGATAACATAATGCGATTTTCTGACATCAGCACCATGACCCCTTGTCTAAATGATGCTGCCTGCGGCCCTCCCATAGAAGCATCTCATTCCTCCAGTATATCACTGTCTATGTCTAACGTAGCGGTTCGTGACGAGCCCGAGCCCCAAGTGCGTTTCACCCCCAGTCCTACCGTCAGGAGTATAGACGATGACGCCAGCTTTAACTTTGATTATTATGAGCAAAGACCGGTGGAAATTACCGAATGCTATGACGAAGTTTACCAAAGAGGCGCTATCGAATATACGAAGTCGCGGCGAACCATCCTGCCCAAATGTTCAAATCTGAATGAGATCGGTGAAAAATTCACAGAACCTAGAAAAAACTTATACAACGAGGGAATTAGCGATACGATAGCCGAAAACTTCTCCGGTCGCTGTCCGTTAACTAACAGAATACAGATTAGCGAGAAAAGAGGGTACAGTAAAACTTCTGTTTTCGGTAAAAATGCTGAAATTCCATTCGCGCATCGAAATCGCTCGAAATATCACTCCGATTGCAAGACTGAGCTGAAAAAGAAGCCGCTCCGTTGCGGAGTATTGAGGAAGGAAGAAGTAAGGTTAGCTGCGGAACCTAAAGCGATGCGATTCTGCCAACCTGGAGCTACGGATCGATGTGACGTGCAGCCTTGCATCAGGATGCCGAGGAAAGTTTTGAGCTCGGAGCGCAATATCGACTCGTTTATACTAAGTCAAAGTATACGTCCTAAATTTTTTTGATATCATGCAACTAATATCCAGTTTCTATTAAACAGATTAATCTCGTCGGCTCACAATTAATCCATTAAGAACTAATATCATATTATCTTGATAAATCGAGATCCGCGCACTGGTGGATCGTGGCTCCAGTGCGGGCCAGAGGTCAACAGCTGAGAAAACAGCTCGATTGGATAATTCCACTGCAATTGGATGCAGGGGGTAACAACCTTTACATAATTATATTTTTAAATGACCTACATCCTACATAACCGACGGTCTTTCTAAAGTTCTCTTATAAGAGTAACAATCGCCCTATGAGTCCAAAAAGTTTAACCAGGTAAGCAATTTGGAAGGAAAGAAGAAAATTTCCGTAACTCGGAACTAATTGTATCGACCTGTATACACACGACCTGTATCGGTTCTGTTTTCACGCTTAATTAGTTCTCTCAAAAGAGTTTACACGATGTGAAAATGTTTGTTAGCCCTCTTCGCGGGGGAACGGCACGCGTCGCACTCGTTCCGCGATCTGTTTCAAATCCAAGTAAAGGTCTCGTTGGTCGCACACGGTATCAATACTTTACATTTGATGCCTAGTCGACTACTGCTGATATACAATACGCAGTGTATTTTATTTCTTCTAAGACACGTCTAAAAACATGTACCTAGTATAAAAAGAGATACACAGGTGATTGGTATTAACCAGCATAAAGGTTAATTAAGCTTAAGAAGGATGAAATCCAATTTAGTCGTAGGTGTAAATGTAATAAAATTATGAGATAACAATAAAGATAGGAGTCATCATTCACGGAGCTATCACTCGCGTCGATCTCATTGTTTTTTGTTCGGCCGTTTGGCGTTTACGCGATTCGGTGACGTGTTTGTGGGGTCGAAATTATATTACGACTGTCTTCATCGAGATCGTAAAATTGATAAAATTTATAACTATATCGCGCGAGGGGCGCGTCTGAGTTCGTTTTAATTGCTGTGTCGAATTAGTGGAGTCAATATTGTCCCACGTTTCTATGCGCGACGTTCAAACAAATCTTAAGAAAAGCGTTTACTATTTCAATAATGAATTTGTAGTAAAAATTATATAAGTTGTAATAATGTCATAAATGACTTAAACTCAAAACGGTATATGTACATAAATGAAAAATCCTTTTTATTTTCAACAGCGCAATAAAAAGTCAGCAAATAGTTTCTAGAATACCGTGCCTAAGAGTTATTTTCAAAGTATAAAAAAATCGTTTTTGTTGAGAAATTCACCGGCGGTGGTAAATTGTTTCAGCACTTGGTTGTACCTTGGAAGGTGTTAAAAAATATTCCTTCTGCTCTCTCTCTTTATTGCAGCAAAATATAAGCATCTTCTCCATGTTAAAACGTGGACTTGTATTCTTGACCCGTCGTGCGCTAAAGCGAAGTCGATGCTAACCTTCAGAGAAACACGTGTAAAGTTTAAATAATTTCCATTGTGCTCCATTTAGGCACAATATTTGCGAAAGACTACACGTGGAAACCTGTTACTTTGTTTCGTCTATTTGCACACAAATTATTATTGATCAATTCAAATGTTCAAATTCAAACAATTTAAATAAACAATCCATTGTGTGAACACGGAAATTTCTAATGAGGCATTTTTCATTACGACTATTTTCTGGAATTCATTTGGGGTCATTAAGTAGGTAATTCTTGTTTAGTAGTGACGCTCGACAATTTCACGAAATGATACGAACCTGCGACTGTGAAGATGAGAAAAACAGGGTCGTCAACGCATCGTAGTAAGATGTTGTGCGATTCTATTTTTACCTTCCGAGAACTACCTTATAATGCTATTAAGTAAGTCGTAGTACAATACTAATAATCGCTTCTGTCGGTCGCCAGATCTAAGTTAGTATATTGGTATGAGTTGTAAATAGGAAGCTGCGCGAAGACGCTCGGTTGTCCCTAATCATTGTAGTGATAAGGATGTGTTCACTTGACTAACAATTGTTGGCTGGCACTCCGCTACCGTATCCTTCGCTCTAGCGTTACAGCTGTTCTCAAACTGCGTTAGAAGGACATCTAGCCCTGGTTAGAGCGCTGCGATTCGCGCCTCCCGACGAATCCAAATCTGTGTTGACAGATAAAGGCACGTTGAAAAATTTTGGATTTATGGATATTCTTTACTTTTAAATATAACACTTTAACGGTTTAAAACCAGATATATGTATATTAGTTAAAAATATTTTTAAATAAGTTTAACTAATATGTATCGCGTTTTAAACCTTTGAAGTGTTTTATTTAAATGTGTACTACTCGCGTAAACTGCAGAGAGTATTTATTCTTTACTTTACAAATTCATTACAATATTTGATAAGTTCTGTTTCAATATTTACACGACGTTTTTTGTTTAACGCTAACGCTTAAAGCAGGATCTGTTTAGTTTGGGCCTCAAATTGTATGTCTTTACTACACATAACTTCTATAACGAGCTTTTTCGTTTAGTGCATAAAGTACGTTTCAATTTTAAATTGTTATTATTGGTTTCCAAGTTTAATTTGTTTTTAAACGGACTTGCTTATGCGACTGTTATTTGCATGTTTGAGCACCGCTGAACGGAAAATCAAGGAATGTGACAACAAAACGTAGGTGCGCGGGCGCCGGGGCATAATCGCGTCTTGTGATGCAACTCCCCCGTTCTATATTGACGCAACAAACACTTACACTACCCAACTGTGTACTCGAATTATATCGACACATCAACAGGTTGAACTGAGTATTTTCTGCCAGGCAGACCTCCATTTCACTAAATAGAAACTTGAGCTACCGGTTAGCTTCATTATCTATAGGAAGTTAAGAAAAATGCTTATAGTTTTATTTACTAAACATCCGTATGTTTAAAGATAAAGACAGATACCTAGGTTTGATTTGCGAGAGTGTATCGAACCTTGCCAATATACCTCCTAATGGCTTGGCTGACATTTACTTTGTTTTCATGGTACCTAAAAATACAGAAGTTCTAAATTGAATGAATCTTTAAAATAATCATCGGAATCAACAGCGCTTGTTTGGGTTTGAGTAAGACGCAATCAAACACCCATACAATTATACTAAAGATTATATTTTAAGAAGCCGAGTGCAGGTCAGCGCAATTAACCTGCGCGTGCGCCTCCTAATGAAGCGTTTATACAAACCTCACGACGTCGTATAGACCGAGAGACAATACTTATGTGTTTGTGACTTATTGGGTGGAAAATTCTATATGACAAGATACCGATTTAATTTTGTCTTTTCTAAAATTATTATATCGCATTGTAAAGTACAATAAAGCTCTAGTATGTTATTAATTATAGCACCTCCTCAGTACCTACCGGATGTGACGGCTTCCCATTTAAAAAACGAACACTACACAGAATATGTATGTATAGATACTCACTACAAAAACAATAAATGACCCCTCTTAAAGAACATCTCGTAAGCCCATACATCACATTATTAGGATCGTATCAGATGTCAACAACGCCTAATGCACCAACATTAAAGACTAAAAAAGCCTTTATACAACCATCTGACAAATTCTAACACAACAATACCGCACAGAATGATATAAGGGTTAAAGGAGATATACCAAGTTGATCTTTCCGCCGTCGCCGATCGCGGCTCTCGGAAAACGGACTCTACGGCCCGGCGCTACGTCTCTGCGCAGGTACACGAGGTGACTCGTGGAATTGTGGGATAGTTCAGGACTATAGAAGTCGGCTCGTTTGATAGCGTGTCGGATGTCTCAATTGAGAAGGCTTTGCCGCGCCGCCGGTTCCACTCCCACACTAGGTATTCTGCAAGTTCTTTTTTCATAATTCATATTTCATCGATCATTGAGTAGCGCTAAGGGATTATGTTAAAAGGGAAGATTTTTAACTCGCTTAACTTTTTATTCAATTTTTTCACCGTAGTACACGACTTCAGAGATTAGAACCTCGCAGATATTGTGCAAATCGTATTAAATTACTCGCCAATACCAAATAAAGTTTTAGGTAATAACAATAAAAAATACGCATGTAGAACTCCTAGTTATGCTAGAAATAAAAACGTTGCCACGGCAAGGAAATCATGATTTTTTTACCCAAGTCAATGTAACTTAACCAGGCTTGAACTCTTCTGGTTTATAGTTGATCGGAATAAACTATGAATGCTATACTTATTCCGCCATATGATATGATGATAATATGTAGTAGGGCAATAAAGGTTTGATTAAGTAGTCAACTTTTTTGTTTATGATTTCTCCGACCAGAATACAAATATTGCATTTAGTATAGTAGGGGTTTGACAAACTTCCATGTAAACGAACTTTCTTAAATGTGCAAATAGGTACACACTGGAATTGTAAAATTTCTTCTGCAGTAAATAAATCAGTTACACTAGTTTGTAAGATGGGAGGCGAATAAAAGCTAGAGTAGATCAACGACAAATAGAAAATACATCAGATTCTTATTGTTATTCCCTTAACGATTCTTTGAGTTACTGCAACATCTGTCGGTTCGAAGACTGTGGATCCCCGCAGACTTGAAGAGCTCAAAGGGTTAACGAGGTCAGTCATGTTAATAAGCAGCGATGCGCGAAAGCAGCGCATCTTACGCACTTAACCGGCCCAGAATCGAACCTCGTACCTCACAGTAATCTCTCTCGACAAAATCACTAAGCCGGAAAACGCAAATTATACAACAAAGAAGTAACACATCTGCGGACTTCGTTTTCGACGGGGTTCGCGCGCGAATTTCGACTGTATTCAGCCGAGATATGACGACCGACTCATTTCTGATATCAGATATGTTTAATAAGAGCGAGCAACGGGGCGGACGGACTCCACTCGAGTGGCTGGGGTGACCACGCTCTTCACTGTTGCTGTACATTGCTTCAAAGAGTTTGCTACGCCCTCATTCTGCGTCAGACTGTATAGTTTCCAGGTCGTAACTCCTATACAATTAAGTTACATCTCGATAGTATTGAAATAGTAAAAATAGGACCAATTTAATTATTTCATAAATGAAATTTGATTCGTAATGTTTCATTGGATACCTACGTACCATATGGTCACCGCGTGAAGTTTAGCAACATGGTTCCGATCAAGAGAGCTTAACTTTAAAACATACTGTCTTTAGGAAATGCATAAACGAGCGACTGAAAGAACGAGAAACGTTTAGTAAAAGTGTAAAAAGCTCACTCGTAGCACGGCCGTAGCGCTCGTAGCGGAAATCGTAGACCAAAGCACACTCTTGTGCCTCGTGAAGTCGTGAACCTCGTCAACCTCACTGTAATTCTAGTACTGAATATAAATCTCTAATCCATCTGTGAAAGTGTGCGTGGAGTTCACAATATCTCGACAGTTTATAAGCTCGCAACTACTAAATGAATGCCTTATTTAAATTTAATATAGTCGCAATTACCCGCGAAGCCACCAAAGAACGCAATGTGTATAACGACCTTAAAGGAATACGCCACTTTAATATTCACGCGTTATTTAACACAACCCTTGCACTTAAACGTTTAAAGGGATTTATAAAATAATCAAATCTTAAATCCACCACTATGATAGGCCACTTGAGCAATGGTGTTTATAAAAAGTCTCTTTCTGTGGCAATGTAAGACGCGACGAAAATGAAGGGATTACTGCACTACTTCGCTTCGACGATTCGATTGTTAAATATGAAATTACAGTAAGTAAGTAAGCGGATTTAATAAATGTGTAGTGAGTGAGTATTAAGTTTACCATCCGCTTATGCTCGATTCGTTAACAGTTAACATTAATATAACGAAGGCACTAGTACACAATTGTTTCTTCTTATTCAAGTAAAATGTTCTACAAATTATAAGGGCCTTACATTCTTCGTATTCGTATTTAAGCTAAATGTTCAGCACTTATGGACACCGCAAAAGATGACATACATTATGTTTAAATTATATATTTTGAATACTCTCTGCCGTAAGAACAAAGAATTTTGTTTTCAAAACTACAGTATACATTTTGCGTAAATGATATTTAGAGACATCAATAGAGATCCATTAGATAGGCGCGTGGTCGATCAGAAATAAGACGTCACTGTATCGCTTAATAGTCACCGTATCGACTATCGAGCATCTCCCGCCTTATCGGCACGATGACGGCCGTTGTTTGTATATCGATTAATTAATAAATCGAGTCCCGAACCGAGACGTCGATCGAGAACGCCGCCTCTCTAATTGAGCCACGCCGCACGGAGATATCGAACGCAAACATCGATTCTACCGACGCCGAACGCTCCGAGCTCGATAACCGCACCAGTGTCTTCGCCGTTAAGGTCCACCGGCCCCGCGGGCGGTGCCTTGAAAGGATTCACGAGATAAGACGAACTAAATGCCGGGCATTCTACCTGTCACATTATTAAAAAATAAATACTCTAGGCCCGTATGGGAATCGATACGTTTTTGATTAATGGAGGTTAAATTCGATTATCTCGTTGGCGATACTGGGTCGTGATCGATCGGTTCGTTCGCGAAATGAAACGTTAAGCGTCCGTCGGATGCGACGCGTCGTTAGATGGAATCGTCGCTTTCTACGCAGCTAGAAACGCGCTCTAAGCGGTGAAAGAAGGAAGAAGTCTTGGCGAATTGTGCACGGCTCGTTCACCCGTTCTCACCTGTCGCTCGTTCCCACAAAGCGCGCATTTCGGCGCAATTCGGCGCCTTTTGACACCTAAAACCCGCGAATGTAACGCGATATGGATCTCGTACCTCTTTGTGCCGACTAATGTGTTAGACAACTCGCATTGTGCCTGCATTTTCCACAAATAAGCCTTTAACTGTAAAAAACTTAGCGAAAAGTGGCCCTTTTTTATTCTTTGTTGAGTTTTTTGAGCGGTTACAAAGTAGCGAGAGAGAAAACAGTTTTTATTACTGTGGTTACCAGGCTCTCAAGGTGCGCTCTTCTATTTTATGAAATCTACGTAGGTATACGGCAATTTGACTGGGAACACAGAGACGTTATATTTTTTAACTATCTAATTCTTCCGCCTTTGATACAGTCGAATTCGCTTGAAAGTCGGGGTAAGGTTACACAAAAGTGAATTCGTTTGCCCCGACGTGTTACGGAGTCGTGGACTCGTGGATTGTCTAAGTACAGGAATAGGTCAGAAAAAGAGCAAAGTGGAGCGGTAAGCTAATACAGGTCGATCTGAATGCGGCCGGGCCGGTGTCGCGTTTCGAGGACTGAACTTAGCGCATTAAGGTGTCGGTAACCGAAGCCGGGTTTTCGCTTGTTTTGCTTAAAACTGAGTCCCGCTTCAAAAGCTAATTGTTCCTCAATTATTCAATCGCGCTCGGCGTCGGGTTTCGTGTTGTGCGATTGTGTTGTGAGTGTGGGTGCTTTGCTCTGTTTTTCGACGGATAAGGTGTTCCTTTGATGGAACGTATGCGGACTGCGCTTTTTCACTACGGCGACGTGGCCGGTGTGAATTCCTCACCGTCGACGGCCGGTGGACGAGGGCCGATCGCACGCCGGGGACGACGAACCTACGACCCACCCTGTTTATTGCAACGTTGTCGTCTGATGCTGAACACTATCTGAAGCCACATCGTTAATATCAGTAAAGGTCTAAAAGTCAACACAATGACACGCTTGTCTACCCCCTAGTATTGATAAGTGATAACGTTTAAACACTATTCGTACAATTTTGGTGCAATTTTATGAGAAACGAAAGCTAACCTATACAGAGCAGACAAACTTTACGATTGTCAATTAATAAATACTTATATACAGTATGATAAAACTTACAACAATTTAAGAAAAAATTATAATCCTAAAACCGCGGGGAAAAAATTAATTCTTAGTTATCTTAAGCTAAGATGTATCAAGATGATACATTTTTAGAAGGCATGGCTAAAAATAAGTAATACCGTTTTGAAAACTTTAATATTTTTACACTTATTGCACACATTAATTAAAAATAGATTATCGATAGCCGATAGTTCAATTGGTTAGGCACGGGACCGGCATCCACAGCCGATTCGATTCCTGCCCGTGTCGTAAAATATTTTCAATCAATAATCGATTTTTAACTATTACTGATTTTACGATTACAGTCGGTAATCAGTGCAGACTTATTCGTAGCGCGGGTCGTAATTAAAGCATCGAAAGTGTCAGACGTGAACATGGAAACTGTTTTATATGATCCCCCTGAGCGAGCCGACCGAACCCGCTTCAAACGAACCGATCGCGCTCGGCTGGACTCACACCGATCAACTATTAGCCTCCTTCCAAGCGGTTCAGTGCTTCATCATTTGTTTGCGAGCCTGATCTAAGACGAGCCAGCCCGTTTTTTCAATCGCCAGATTGGGGTTTACATGCGTAGCGTAACGTCTATATGATGTGTAGTATGCTTCTCGAAGTATCTATAGAGAATACTACTATAATTTTATTAAATTTTAAGCTGTTGTAGTACGTTAAGATATATTAAATACCTACAATAGTCGAAAAGTAGGTATGGAACGTAGTATAGCCAGTGCCTCATTAAACTTTTTCATCTTTTATGCGAATTTTATTGTACGTAGACACGTACACGTATTGTCTTCCACTTTATAATATTTGTAGTCATCGTCTTCGCGTAAAAAAGATGTTATTACATAAGTGTTTTAATAGTTTGTCCACGATTTGTTTACTCTTGAAGGATAAACTGTCTAAAGCCAACTTCTCAGAATGGCAATCCGCTTTCACTACGAAAAAAGGATAAGCTATACTGTATTTTAATTTCCTTTTCCGTCCTTCAAATCTCCCTTTTTAATAGAATAAATAACACGTCGCTTTTGTTAAAATCTTTTTTAAGATTATCTTTGGCATAAAAACAAAAACAAATAAAAAATTAATATCTCAAGAGCGAGTCTAATCCTACTTCACTCTTTAACGATAAGCAAACACAATAAGCGTTAATCGTTCGCGAATCTCCCAACGTGTGGACCGTATTCCGTCGCAGGAAGGGTCATTATAGGACGCAGACGTCGAATGTTTCTAATAATTAGTTATCATCGATCATCTCAGCTCGGCCACATTAATAAAGATATCCAATGCCCTGGACCGATCGCTGCCACATGATTATAGTTCCAAATGCGACGGATTTAAACTTCTTATGCCGCGGACGCGGGCAGAGGGCGGTGTGATCAAAAGGCGAACTGTATCGTCACCGAGCCGGGGACAAATCGAGAAAAAAACATCAAAATGTTTAGTCATTTTTTAAAGATGCATCCCGATAATATGCGAGATGTTAATACTAGGCGACACCCTGAAAGCGGAATATATCTGTATAAATATTTACACGGTTCGAGAATCATAGGTCTCTCGTGCCTCTCGAAACGCTTTCAAAAGTAATTTAAATAATTATTAATTATTCTTAGTTCAGGTATAAGTATAACGTGAAACCTAGCATTGCGTTAAGCGCTAGATTAAAACAATAAAAAATAGTTTTTTTTTCTAAGGGCAGGATATAACCGAATTACACTTACAATAATAGTAATAGATCACAGAGAAATATGACCGCCCCATGTACCTACCACGTTGCCATCGAAAAATTAGCTTTTATAATTAATGGCCTCATTCAATCAGCTAAATATATTTTTATTTCTTTAAAACATATTTGTATACAATTAAAATTTTATTAGGAATTTGTCTTAGGTAAGCTAAAAACAGAATATTACATATTCCGTACTGTATTTTTGTCTCTTGTTGTCACCAGGTTTAATTAAAATATTATAAAATTAAACATTCAAGTAGATTTATCCGAGAAATTTTGCCCTTCTTTGCTCCATATCCACAACTAGCAAATGATGTTTTGTTGTTTGCGAGATTCGTATCATTATGTTGATACAACTAACAAATAATTGGATATAATGGTATTCATTCCAAACAAATTTGATCACCATAAATGCGGTTCATGGGAGCCAATGTTACTCTATTTAATCTAATCTATCTCACATGCAACTACTGTTGTGGACATTCTTTAGATTTCATTTAAATATGTATTTTATTCTATTATTTTTATTCTCACCCTACGTGCGCGTCGAAGATGAATAATATATCACGCTGTTTCGACACCGTCCATTGTTTTTCGTTCCTATTGGTGACAGTGTTATGTAAAGCCTAAAGCATTACTCGATAAATGGCATATCAAACTCAAAAAGAAATCAATTGGAAACATCCTAGTTAAATTTGGTCCTGAAATTAGCGCGAATAAACAAACAAACAAACTCTTCCACTTTATATAACTTACATGGACATGCAAGCACCAAAAAGTAAAAATTGTTCAGTTATAAGGTAGCTTTGGCTAATAATCTTCGGGTCGCGGCTTATATCTCTACCGGGCTAACATGTTTTCAATCAATATTTTATTTTTCTAGGAAGAAACCGCATTTCTGTTGGTATTGTGCTGCATTATATTTGTTACCTAATAGTTTTTTTATTCATTCGTAGCTCGTTGTCCATGTACCCGAATCGTAGTTGTCCGTAATTTTTGCCTGATATTGTTGAGACTTATGTATATATAGCAATCGTTGAAATATTTTCCAAGGAAACTGAACCAGTACTTTTCAGTGAGGCTTGTCTGGCTTGGAATCGGAGCAACAGCACCAATGTTATATGTAAACACGGTTATTGTTCGACTGCTAACGACACGGTTACCTTTGATTGATCGGTTCTGCACTACACGTCCACCACGCGCGAAGGGGTGCTCAACATTTTAACTATTCACTACTGCCCAAATTAAATACTCCATTAAAACGTCATGATTGGAATATTTTGTTAGTTTTAGAAAAATGAATGGTATAAGAATTTTGTTGCTCGTTAAAAAACCATGAAAAGTGTTGGTCGCATCGTTCCTAGGATTTCTTATTATTTCAACTAATAATGTTTAATAACAATAACGTTCTTGTATTAGCTAACGTGCGGTTAGAGGGCAAAGACTTATAACCGATCGTCCACCTACCTATACTTATATACTTATAAATAATTTTGGATCAAAATAGCATTGTGTAAGTACCTAAGGCAGAGTGTGAATGTGTGTTACTTATATACGAATAATTAATATATAAGTGACATGCTATCGCAGTCAAACATATAGGGTATAATAGTAAGTAGTGTAAACATTAGCAGATATATTTTATTTGAATTATTAGTATATCGGATTGTGGACCCCTGCCGCGGCGCGCTCAAAGCCTTGATCCGTCAGAATTTTGACATCGTTTGATGATCACCGACAAATAATAACGAAATCATTAATAATTGTGCATCCGTTCCTCCGGTTACTTCATTAACAAGAGTTCTGTACGGAGATCGTTTTTATCGGTTGTTTGACAATGCGAAGTACCTAAATCTTTGGCGCTTTACTTTGCAGCCGTTTATACTCGCTTAGTATGCATAGGTATACATAACAAATAAGCTCCATTTACCTACTAATATATCTCATTTTCATTTTAAACCTACCTATATAAGAAATCGCCATAGGCGATAAGGCCGCCTTTGCACAAACATTTTAATTATACCCAGATATTATTTTAAGTATCTATGTTCTACTTCGGTGTAAATATATTGGTGCAATGAATATAAAGAATTTTATTATTATAAAATATAAGTAATAACATTTCATTGTATCCAAATCGACCAATAATTAATTTAAAAATAATTAATAAGTATTTAACTTCAATAAACCTTCTGGGCACGATTAAAAAACAATAAATGACACAGATAATAATGAAGAGAAGTAATAATTGTTATCATCCAAAGTAGGTCGCGGATAAT